TGCATTACTATAAATTATTATAATTTTTTTTTTTTAAACTTAGTAAAGAAGCATTGCTGCTTTATTTTCATAACATAGTTTTTCAATACACATCTAAATGAAATGGTTTTTATTGTTGTTTGTTTTATACTACCTAACGATCAGCAACAGTTGGTAGAGATACTAAATTTACGTTTTTGTAAAAGCAAATGCGTGAGTATTTTTGTCTGCATAATTCGTGCGAGCAACCACATATGTATGTCTATATATTTACACGCAGACTCCCTGAACTGGCTACATAAACACCTCCAGCATATCTCTCAATAACAATATGCAATAGAATTACAAAACAAAAAGAAAAACATTCAATCAAAGCCGAAAGCATACGCAACTTACAAATATACATACATATGTATGTATGTATGTAGAGAATATATAATATATACATATATATATATATACGTGTATATTTTTTTTTTTGTAATTTTTATTGAAACATATTCATTTATAAAAATTGATCAAAGCAAAGTGGAATTGTATTTGATTGCGTTAAGCCTAGGGGGCAAGTAATGCATTTCACGGCATGGAAAACATATTTAAGGACCAGTCTAGGAGGCAGTAGGAAATACGAGGTGTGACAATTGAGAAATGAGACTGATTATATTGCCTCGATGGTGGTAATCCTGCGACCTTGAAATTTCCTTTCCCTTCTCCCAGCATCCTCCTACTCTCCATTGATATATTTACCATCGGTCTAGCTTGTTTAGTTCACCAAGTACTCGAAAGATTGCGAAAACGAGTCAACAGGGTGCGCCCAGACATCGCTGGAAGCTGGATCCTTCATCACGACAACACGCTGTGCGATCACCGTGTTGCAACAACCGCATTATTCGCCCGATATGTTACTCTGTGACTTTTTTCTTCCCTAAAACAAAATCGGTGGTCAAAGGAACCAATTTTGAGTCGAAGCGTTCCAAAAATGTTGCGAAGCAGAGAGAAACGCACTGGAATCGTTGTATAGCTGCCCAACGGGACTACTTTGAAAAGCATGGCAGAGATGTAGAATAATTTTGAAATAATATACTTCGTGGTTAAAATTAAATAAAAATTTAGAGAAGCCAGACGTTTAAACTGTGAGTTAAGAAGTTTGAATGGAGTTAAATGTTGAAATGAACTTGCTTTTTAATCAATGAAAGTATAGGCGATTACTGCGCAAGAGTTCCATACAAGTACAAACCAGAGTTTTAAGTTCGAAAAATGAGAGAGCTGGAGGATATGGCTCTTTAGGATTGTCAAGTGTTCAGTAACAAATAGACTTTGAACTATCGTCAGCCAAAACATATAATTGGGCCATTGTAAAGTTTCTTACCAAACAAGGGAAATGAGTTGCGATGATGAACATGATGATGATGACGGTTAAAAACCAAAATACACAAATAACGCTGTTCATATAAACAAGCATGGGGATTCCCTTAAGACGGCCGGGGGCCAGGCAAGAGCATCGAGGTGACCCATCAGAACTTATCAAAAAAGTTGAAAAAAAACACCTCCACGCGGTTCGACTATAGAAGAAATAACTTACAGAACTGGTGAGTATCCGATACAACCATTTTAAAAATTTTGCATGATCATCTCGTCTTGTCAAATCAGCGCACGTTGGAATCGAGATTGCTCATCTCTGTAGAGAGTTCAGGTAAGTTTTTGAACCTCTATAATTAAGAGAAGGTTGGTGTATTGAGTCGAATTGTTTTTAGAGATGAAGTTTGGGTTCATCATTATGAACCTGAGTCGAAGGTGTCATAGAACAGTTGGGAACGGTCTTTTGAGACTCAAGCTAAGTTGTTTCTATAACTGGAGAATATTTCGTTTTAAAATAAGAACGACTAAAAGAAGCCATTAAAGGGAAAAGACGACGAAAATAAACGAAAAATGTACCGAGTTGTATTAAGTGTGCTCCGGTATTTTAAACAACCAACTCTACATCCCGACCCTGACCTCGAGTGATTGTTACCTGTTTCCAAAATTGAAAGAGGAATGGGGTAACAAATGAATCACCGATGACGAAGTCAGTTTCGGTGCAATTTGAAGATTTTATGGGGATATAAATAAATTACTTGAAACATTTGAAAATCTATCTGTTTTTGTTTTGCAAATATTTAATACCTACTTGCATCGACAGAACAACTATTTCGAAGGGGCTTAAATAGTACAACCCGAACAGCACAACAGTATTAGAAGGAGGTTGTTGCCGACTCTGAGTGAGCCAGGTGCTGAACTCAGTTGGTGGTAGAATGGTAAAAACAGCAAAGCCTCAAGTATCTTCGTTCCAAAGCGATATGACTCGCCTTTGTTGGTGAGTTTCCCAAATTATCGTAATGGGACTAATCCAACGAGCTTTCACCTGCTGCATATTTTCGAAGTGGTCAAAAACGGGATGAGGACTTTGCTGAGTTAGTCTTGTAGATATACCTAGATGCTCTATCCGCCTGAGGCACGGTGACACATTTACACAAAGTCACAACGCCTTATCAGATTGAATAGTAGTTTAACAGTTGCACAAGACTCATGATGGTTTACCAGTTGCCGCATCAACTTTTTGAACTTCCTGATATGGGGATCTCTTGCTGCTAAGTATGCTGCTACAACTGGAAAAGGCATTTTCACCACAACTCATAAAGAATGATGAAGTGAGAAGTAACGATACTTAAAAAATTACTCGGTATAAAAGTGGGAAGGATTTTTCTGCTGGATATACAAAAAAAGGTGGAGTAAGTAAAACTACAATTAATAAACAGAAGCAGAAATCGCGAAGCATTTAAATACAGAGTTTTAAAAAATTCCGATACCATCGCGCCGAAAGTTGCGCCGAAAACCCCGTCGTGAAGCGAAGTTAAAGTTTGCTGGAAGTCATATCATATGGAAGAAAAGATGGCACGTAATGGTTGGTCATGGAATATCCAAAATTATCTCAGATTGATTGACAATAAAAAAATTTACAGAATTTCCCATGATATTCCAGCAAGATACTGCGGCTGTGCATACTGCAAGACTAATCAAGTCCTTCGTTGAGAAGAAAAATGTCAAAGTTTTACAGTGCCCTGCACGTTTACTTCTAGCAATGGAAGTTTATGCAGATAATAAACAATGCACTATCGTTAAGAAACTAAAAAATGCTATTGTGTCAAAATTGAAGGCGATTCCAAAAAAAATTCATGCACAAATTATTTAAGTCAATTCAAAATCAAGAAGGATCCAAACACTATTAAACAACACTTTCAAATATTGCGTACCTATTTAATTTTATGTTTATATTATATTATATTTATTTATACATTTGGTTGTAAAAATATATATATAATGAAGAAGGTATTTATGTTAGATTAAAATTGAAAACAACAATACAAAAATTTAAATGTGCGTTTGTCTTGAACTGTATGTTTGTATACGAGTTCACGTGCCTCAGAGTTTAGATGACATTACTTGGAGATTTCAATTTCAAAATATTCTGTATGTCAATCTTCTAGACAAACAATGAATATTACGAAAGTATAGAAGAAACTGCAAACATACAATGAACATATGTATGTATTCAAAATGCATAACATGTGCATTCATATGTATGTAAGTAATTTAAGTAAGATGTACGCATGATGTTACTTTAATGTCATGTTAACAATGCTTCTGGATTAAGTGACGCCACATCGCCTATTGTCCAGTGCAAGGGCTTTGTCTTTGCCACATTTATTCGTTTACACGTCCATACACGCGTATGTATGTACATAAATTTATAAATCTTTGTATTTATTAATAACTGCCACAGTAAAATGGACATTTATGAAAGCTGTGTGTAAATAATATTTCCATAGTGCATATGTAAACTTATATGTAGGTATGTATGCATGCGCTTAAAATATTTTTATTTACGTTGAAGTTGAAAGATTTTTTAGTAAACCATAAAGTATTCCTTTCCACTAGGTTGGCTTCTTATAAAATTTTATGTAAGCATATATATATGTTCACACATTTGTATTGTACATTAAACCCTCAACAATGTGTGTTGTCCGCTTCTCAATTTCATTTATTTCTGTTCAAATTTTGCGTCTGGTCAGGATGTTGAGGATAATCTCTAACCTTTCCCTTTAACGTATGTCCTGCATGCAATAAATCCCAGCCAGTATAGCCAATTCATTCTATGGCTCCTAAAACCAACTCATCTTACACCCCTTAACCTCTAGTCTGAACCCGTTCCATTAGATAACCTCGATAAGGTAGTCTGATTTCTGCCTGCTTCTTGTTGAGGTTTGATAGTCGCTACTACAACAACAAAACTTTGACTAACTAAAAGCTCACACAAACATAGGAGTTCATTTGTATGTATGGCTTATAGTTTATTTAATATTGCAAAACTAAACATTTTATGGAGAACCTTCTAATACCTACATTCGTACATATATACATATGTATGATATATTTAAATTTTTTTCTAGAGTATGCTTTTCATTTCACTATAACTATATCTACTAGAAAATTACACATGTTAGGTGGACTTTTAATCGTCAAACTTATACTTTTCGAAAATATAGTATATGAATTTATTTACATACGCAGTGCTTGAAAAGTATGGATAATAGAATAAATATTAATTACCTTATTAAGATTGTAAAAACCATAAAATTCTCTATAATTACATTTTAATTTTTAATTTTTTATTTGTTAGGGAAGTGAGCAAAGGTGCGTAAGCATTAACAAAAAAAATTTGAATATAAAATTTCGTGCACTTGGAGAATATGTGAGATGTTGCAACTCAATGTAAGTAACTAAAAATGTCGTAACCATAACGTCCAATGTCTGTTCTACATATTATTCCAATGATGTATAAAATATGCAAAATTATAGTCCATAAATTGTATATGCATACATACATGAGTAAATGCGATCTAAAAACGATTGCACCGGATATGCTCTTATGTTTTGCAATAAACCATAAAATTTCATATTTATTATTGAAATCATTAACTTACCTTTTTCACAATACTAATTTTCACTTTAATTTGAACTTTTTTATATCATTGGCAAATTTTAACAAAGATTAAGTTAAATTTTTCCGCTTTCTTTTATAATGTATTTATTAAATGAATATTCACAATCCATATTGTAAAGCCTTAAAAAAACTTCTTACTGGATTAAATGTAAAATAAGCACTTCTTTTCCACAGCTGGCGGATAATTGGAGCTCTTGTGTTGGCTCAGCGATATGCTTTCCAAGCTAATAACATAAAATGCATTGTACCCGCAGTTTTGCATGCTTATTATATTCAGTTTGCGTTCCTCGATGATCAAAAATCAATATAAACACAAAAAACTAATAATTTAAAAAATTATTGAGTATATTTCACAGCTTTTCCGCTTATACATCGAATAAACAAAACAACTAAGTACCCAATAGCAGAAAATAAAAACAAATTTATCCGCCATATAAAATAACAACACGATTGGTAAACTTAAAAGCCACAAATGCAAAAAACGTACACTTCCATGAACACATGCCAGTGTTGCTTCATTAATTTTTAGTGGAACGCATTCCGTTTTGTGCTTGATGTATTGATTGACACAAAAAAAAAATTATGTGTTTAATAAATATAAAACTCCAGAGAATATATGCAGAATCAATTGAACGATGCCCTTAAACAAATCACAAAAGTTAGGGCAGTTAACATGGTTATAATCATTCAGGTCGACACCGAAATTTGTATAGCCACAGCTTGACAACACTACTCAGAATAACAGCTGGGATCAGCGAATTCTGTCACGTTAAAGTCGATTTATCAGCTGGTCGCAGTGACATTTGCATAAATTTTATAAAACTCTTCTTTTTTACGTATACACATAATTGATAATGGAGACAGTATTGACTATTGCAGATTCTATAGCAATTAAACTATTGCGTGGAGCTATACTTACTGGTAAAAATTTGTAATAGCTCCTAATAGCGGCACTTTAAAACATTAATAATATAATTGCAGGCGTTGGCAATGAATTACATCTATATTCTTCGAAAACATGTAACAGAACTGTTCTTGCCCAAAGACTGCGCGCTAAAGTACATGGCATTACTGAGGTCTCGTTGGGTAACATAGAAACAGAGGGTGGAAAAATAATTGTTCATGGAGAGAAAGAATGTATGTTAATGGAGTATGACTACACAGATAATGAGGTGTAACTGATATTATTGAAGTTAATGGTGTTTTCAATTTCAAAATTTGCTATTTACTATTTAGTACACATTTAGAGAACTTAATCGTTTTCAACTTTCGGATTGGATTAGTTCAGCTGCTTTCTTGCAAGATTCAAATGAATTTATGCTTCTAACTGCCCATAGTGTTGTTTTGCGAATTTTATATGAAGAGAGTAAGGATAGAGGAAATTCATGTAGAATTATTTCCATGTGTTCTTCCAGCGATAAGTCGACCCTTTATTGCTCTCATATACACGGAAGATCATTTGATGATCTAGTGATTTTTGCAGGTAACAGAGGCATTGCAAACGCGCTAAGTTTTTTTTTAATTTATTTTCATTAACAGGAAATGCCTTTGGAGAACTTCTGATATGGCAGCCATTTAAGGGAAATAGCTCTTCACATAAAATTGACTGCAAAACAACTCAAGTGGAGCTAATGTGCAGGCAACCAGCTCATAATGGAGTTATATTTTCTATCGACTATAACGATGAGTTTGATTTATTAACAACTACATCCGATGATAGGTCCATACGTTTCTGGAAGGTAGAAAGAAAAACGAATCATAGTTGGAGCGAGCTAAAATTAAACGTATTGGCTAGTGGGTATGGTCATATCGCTCGTGTATTCAAAGGAAAAATTATAAACTGTGGTAAACACGCATTCATTATATTATTATTTATAAATATATATATATACATATATATGTATATGCAAATGTATACTTTATAGATGGTACGGCGTTTGCAGTAACAGTATCAGAAGACTCTCATACTTGTATTTGGTCGAGTAGTGCTGAATTATTGTTAAAAAAACGTATCCAATTTGGAGCTGTAATATGGAATTTCGAATATGATAGCGAAACCAACACACTATACTCTGTCGGGTCCACGGGCAACCTGTTGGCTCTCAATATAGAAAATATTATAAAAAGCAACACAAACACGACTTCTTCAATGGTTGCAATGAGTAACTTGGAACCAAAAGAATATGTGGCTAAAGCAAAATTTATTGACCATAGTATTATAGTGGGTATAACCAATAAAAATCGGCTTATATATTCTTTCCTTCATAACAACGAACCTAAATTTACACAAAAAGTTGGGTCATGGCAAATCATAGACCAGCATAAAGCATTTAAATGCACCGTATTTGAAGTACAAGATAAAATTGTAGCTATCTGCGGCTACAAACGACTTACATTGCTTAAGTACAACTCCACAGGCGTGTTCAAAAAGTTATTCGATGATAATATTACGGATGGAGTGATACGTTCATTCCATTTTTTAGATAATAACGATTTTTTGATTTCCGATGAAGACGGGAAGTGTTTACTTATTGAAGGTGAAGACCTTAAAGCTCGCTTTTACATATCGCTACCTCATTGCAAGGAACCATGGACTACATCAGCGCTCCGAATAAAAAGCAAAAATTCGAAAGAATATCTTTTAATAAGTAATCGTATGGGAAATATTATATTGTTTCGTTTAAATTGTGTAAGCGGTGAGTGCAACTACCTCCACACTATACGACAACTACATGGCGCATTGGGTGCCACATTTTTTCGCCTTCAAGAATTACAGAACGATAACATTTTTGTACAGAGTGCAGGTCATGACGGGTCACTGCGGCTGTTATGCATAAATGTCGATTCGGATACGATTTCCGCATACCAACGGACACCTGTACCTGTAACTTGGGTGGAGCACTTAATTGTTTTTGAAAATTATGAGTTTCTTTTAGGATTTAATGACAATCATTTCGTGGTATGGTCTCAAGAACATGACTTTTCCGTACAAATACCATGTGGTGGTGGTCATCGATGTTGGCATTACAGTATAATATCTGATGATAATAATACAAAATGGTTGCAATTATTATTTATAAAAAATAAACAGCTAAGAGTTTATAAGCAAAAGCTCTTCAATTTAACCGCTTTAACTACAAAACAATTGCGAAATCAGTGGCACACACGCTCGTGTAACATTATGTCTGTGGTTGAAATAAACAACACTGAAACATCCGCATCTATACTTATAAGTGCTGGAGACGACAATGTAATAAAAGTAACCAAGTTAATGCCACGAAATCGTTTATCACAATGCGCAGAATTACATTCACATATTTCCAACATCAGAGCATTAAAAGTTCTTCAAGTGAAACCCAATAAAGTTTTAATATTTTCAGGTGGCGGTCGAGCTCAGTTGTGTATAGCTCAACTGAATCTAAAAAGCTTTCGTATTCAAGAACTTTTAAGTTACACCCTGAACAAAACCGAACGTAACAAAGACGAACGTTTAAACTCTTACAAGATAAATCCAGAAACACGCATAATGGCTTGCGATGTCATTAAAAGAAACCTTAATCATTCACTTGAAGATGTAGAGTATCTTGTGTTCCTATGCTGTTCCGATGGATTTTTACGCAAAGTACACTTCACTGGCACTTTCGAAGTTGTTGCCGAAGTGGCATTCCATTATGGCTGTTGCTTGCTCCAAATACGTACATTCGGCAACGCCTATGTAGTAACAGCAGGTACTGATGGAAAAATACGTTTCTTCAATTCAAATATGTCGGAGTTGCCCATTATTTTGGCACATCACGGGAGTGGAGTTAATGCAATGGATATATTCTATGATTCAAATGATAACTGTCTACATATTATTACTGGCGGTGATGACCAATCAGTTTCTTATTCATCTATACTAGTGCAGGAAAACGGCGTATTTCAAATTAAGAGCAAATTTGAATTAGAAAATGTTCACTCGGCCCAAGTGACCGCGGTCCAGTTTATATTTTATCACAAAACTCTTTATGCATATTCATCTGGCTTAGACCAGAACATAAATAAGATCAACGTACAAAAGCAAACAGCAAGTATAATTTGTCATACAACCATATCCGACATCAAAGGTTTATGCATTGGTAGTTCTAAACGCTGTTTTATTTATGGTTGCGGCATCCAAATCTTCCAGTTGGAATGATAACTTTTCCATTTGTATTTTAACATCATTTTCATTTTACATTTCATGACATTATTTTCCAAATAACAATTTTTTAATGTATGTATATTGTATGAATGTAAACGGAGTAAAACTCTAGAAATACATATGTATGTTAGCGAATTTACAAAATGAAATTCAGTTTTTCCTTTAACGATAATATTTACTAAGAAAAAAAATATTTACAAAACTCATTCATCTTCTACTATTCCAATTGGTATTGTTGAATCTGAAGCCGCATAAGGCGTTGTGACAAGAATTTGAGTGTTCAAGTGTTCCATATGACCTTCTTTTGTTCTACGGTAGTCCAGCATAAGTTCCTTAAACGTCTCAAAACTGTTGAACGAATGTAAAAGCTCAATGATCTCGCCACTGCTTAAAATATCGTCAAAAGCCTCATTTTCCCTGTGTACAAAAATGGTAAGTTATGTACTTTTAAGTAGGTATTTTAATCGTTTGGATCGATTCGAATTAAATAACGTACTCAAGCTCCTGTTCAAATCGACGCATATTAAAATCGGGGATTCGAGCACATAATTGCTGGATAAGAAAAGTCTCAAAAGTATTTGTGTACTCTTGAAATATATCCATGTATTCCAGTTTATTCTCTTCAGTGTCCTCTATACAATGCCAATATTTCTCCAGAAAGTTGTTGTGTAGTACCTATGTACATTCATGTGTATATATGTATTGATTCATATTTTGATTTCTAAAGAGAGCATTATAACTAAATGTCTTAAAGATAAATTGTGAATGTTTTATATTGTAAATTAGTTAATTTTTATAAGAAAGCTTTTATAAAATAAAGCCACTCTACGTCTTCACAGTCAAAAATAGGTCGTGCAACTACTTAACAAAGCTGTCTTTGTTTTTCCGAAAAATGTTTTTATTTCACTTTTTAAATTAGTATTTGGTTGCAAACCCTTTACTGTCAATTACGGCTTCAAATTTACGAGGCATTTGCTCCACTAAACTTTTGCAAATGTCCTTTGGGTTGCGATTCTGTTCTTGTGTAACTTTTTTATAAAAAAAAGCTGGAAATCTTTAACTTTGTAGAAACGAACTCTTTTCTTCAAATATATCCATACATTCTCGATTGGGTTCAAGTCTGGACTGCTTGAAAGGCAGTTTAATAGTCACCATATTATCCGACTTATAAATCCACTTCACGGGCATATAGTCATCAGCTTATAGTAATTTTATGTTGTCCATGATTGATAGGGAATTAAATTGGTCCATGTGCCCATTTTTCAAAAAGGACAAACCCCTCATCATGACATTGCACCCCAAATCGTTATACAGCCGACACCATGTTTTAAAGTTGATCTGGTGTACTTTGGGTCCAACTCTTTTCTTCGAGGCCTACGGACGTAAGTTTTCCCATGTGAAGAATTCCTGTTTATCTTAGTTTCATCATTAAACTCCTTCCATCGGACGGTATTTCTTTGCAAACTTTAAACGTCTTCTTCCTTCAAACTCTTCCAAAGAATCCAGCCTCGTGTAATCGCCTTTTTACGATATCTACAGTTGGAGCATTAAGATTTTTTTTAATATCGTGACTCGAATTTCATTCGCCGTCTTCTTTCTTGGAACTCGTTTTGTTCTTTATTCTTGTTGATATATTTAACAGCATTAAAAGCTATGCGTTTGGAAATATTTAGGGCCTTTGCAATTTTTTCGTACGATGCCCCATCCTTGTGCATCTGTACGATAACATTTGCTCTTACACATTTTTACAAAAAATATACCTAAACACCACTAATTTGCAAGAAATCTTAATAATTCAACATATATTGCTAATTATAATTACTTTAGCAAAAAAAAATCAGTAACTGTTTCAAAATAACAAAATTTCTCCAAAACTTTTTACAGCTAAATCTGACCATACTTTCATAGATGAGAAATAAAAATCAATTCCATTTTAACACTTAAATTTTTTACGGAAACGGTGATATAATCTATAGGGACAGACCTTATTAATTAGATGCAACTGTATGTATATACATATGATTTTTTTTATATCGATCGTCCACATGAATATGTGTATACTATTTTGTATTAACCTGGAACTCTTCACTAAGTACTATATCCTCGATATGGCCAATAACATCGTCGAAGAATTGGCTTCCTTGTGTTTTGCAAATAATATCAATGGATTCATCCGGAACTGTTGTATCCATCTTATGTATGTCAATTTAGCAAAATGAACATATATTCGCTATTAATTATATATTATAAAAATGTGTGTACATATGTATGTGAACATCTTTTTTAACAAAAAAAAATTTTCGGTTTGTATTTAACTTGCCAGCTTTGGCTGATACTAAATTTCATGTTTGATTTTTTATTCATGTGTTTTCTTTGTCGTTGCTATAGTGATTAAGGACACTGCGTGAAATTATTCGTTAGCCTTCTGGTTTATTTACACTAGTTTATACGAAATAAAAAAAAAACCTTTATTGGTTAGTGCGTTGCATACACATCATTAATTAAAAAAAAAAATATTTGTATGTAAATGAAATAATCCTTTTTAACATAAGATAAAATAAAAAATAAATCTTCATTTACTATTTTTATAATCACAACAGATTCCCAGTTAACAATAAATATTTCTTAACGGATTTCATCCTTTGATTATATAATCGCTGTAAATCATTGTTTATCTTTGGTCTTCTGTTTTTCCTCAAACTCTTCTAATTTCGCAGCAGCACGATCTGCTTTATTTTTCTCGTACATCTGCATTAATTCTCGCTTGCTAGGCATTGGTTTAATATGTCCAGCTTGAACGAGATATTTTATAGACACCGTTGTACCACCTGTAGATCATTTTTTTTTATTTTATACATTGATATTGAGTGTTTTTGTTTTGTAATGGATTTCAATGTATTCGTATACCAACCTAATGTGACAGCATATCGTAGCGGAGTCGCCACTTTGTAACAAAGATATGCTATTGCATAATGGCCCATACTAGAGTTTTGAAAACGTTCCACGATGCTCTCACTGAGATGCATATGTTGCAATAACAATGGAATATCCACACCACTAAACCAGTACATATCAATGAATAATTATTCAGTAATTCCAGAAATTATACGTACCTTTTGGAGAGATAATAAAAGCCTCCAAACCAGCCAATCGACGTGACAACATGAACTGGTAAAAGCACGTACCAGTATTTTTTATACATTAATTTGAATTTTGCAAATAGACCCAGCTTAGATGCTTCACCAAAAATATCCTCATCTGCTAAAACTGGCGATGATTTTGTGTCGGTTTTACCAGCTAAGTCTGGCGTTTTCTTTGTACTAAAAGAATGACGGCTGCTTGCAATAGGCGCAAGAGACATGCATTGTGTTAAATTTGGGAATTGCAACAGGGACCACGATGTCTTGGACTTTGTGTTTCCCAAAACTGTTAATTGGATTCGATAACGCTGTTGCCAAAAGGCACTTTGCCCGAGGCGGGCTACCATCCTTAACGTTGCCATTCCTTCAAATATATATGTATTTTCTTTTAATATTGAAAACAAAAACGTTCCACATTCGTTTTATTGACTTTATTAGCCACAACTTTCCTAAAAAAATTAATTTTCATCACCGGTAAATGTCGTACAACCAGCTGTTGTGTAGAATCCCAATGTTGCAAAGAAACGCGCGTTTTACCCATGTTGAAATGTATATTATGGAAAAACTAAGCTTCAGTTAAGAACATTTTTTTTGTTTGCTGGCTGATTTACTTTCCAAATCAAAAGATTTTAATATATACACTTTAAATATAACCAATATTGCGTTCGAGTGTTTTTACCTTACAAATATTTTTTATCACTATTTTTATTAGAAAGAACGGTAAAACTGTTCAAAGCCACACTGGCTCACAATCATCACGTTGCAAAATATACACTTTCTTACATAAATATCAAAGTTGTTTATTGAAATTTTATTATTTTTGTAAATAATATAAGTATCGAGAATGGAGCAAGAAAAATTGCAAAATAAAGGAGAAATAAAACCTATATTCCGAAATATTGATGGAGATGATCCAGACCCAGAAACTACAGAAATTGAGTCTGCTTGCATGAATTGCTTCCGTTCTGGTAAAACACGTCTACTGCTTACCAAAATACCCTTTTACAAAGAGGTTGTGCTTATGTCTTTTAAATGCGACCATTGTGGTTTTGAAAATAGTGAAATTCAGTCGGCATCCGAAATACAAAAAAAAGGTGTACGCATTGAACTTAAAGTAAAAGGTGCAGAAGACCTAAATCGGCGGGTAGTGCGTTCGGATTACACATCAGTGAGTATACCAGAGGTGGAACTGGAGATACCATCTCAAAGTCAAAAAGGGGAAATAACTACCGTAGAAGGTATAATTGACCGAACAATAAGAGGACTAACTCAAGATCAGGAAGTTAGAATGAAAGAACATCCTGATGCAGCATCTGCCATTGATGCTTATGTCGAAAAATTAATTTCTTTGAAAGAAAACCAAAGTAACTTCACCATTATTTTGGAAGATATTAGTGGAAATAGTTTCATTGAAAATCCATTAGCACCATCATTGGATCCAAATTGTAGAATTTCTCATTTCGTACGAAAAAAGGAAGACGATCAAATACTTGGTAAGGAGTGTGGAACCATTTTGTAAATTTATTTAAAAAAACGCATTCACCAAAATGTTTATGTTATCCTTGTATATGTTTATATTTTTATGTAGGCCTTTATACAACAAAAGATATATCCAACGCTGACGGTAAAAATGATGTTAACGAGACGCAAGAAAAACATCTACTTAAACCAATCGCTGAAGACGCATGGGGAATTGAGGATTTGCACGGAGAGGTTCTTCAGTTTCAGACATTGTGCTCGCAATGTGGCTCTCCATGTGAAACGAATATGAAGCTAACAAACATTCCGCATTTTAAGGAAGTTGTTATTATGGCAACGGTTTGCGAATCTTGTGGATGTAAAACTAACGAAGTCAAGTCCGGTGGAGGAATAGAGGAAACGGGAATTCGTTTTGAAGTCGGTGTCGAGAGCAAAGAAGATCTAACGCGAGATGTATTGAAATCTGAAACCTGCAGCCTAAAAATTCCTGAGTTGGATTGTGAAGTGGGGCCTTCGGCTCTTGGTGGTCGCTTCACTACTGTAGAAGGTATTTTAGTAGCTATGAAAGATCAACTACAAAACGAGGGTTTCTTTTTTCACGATTCAACTGATCAAGATAGTAAGAAACGCATGGAAGACATCATTGAAAAATTCAATAAAATATTGGCTTTCGAGTTAAGAGCAACTCTGGTTTTGGATGATCCAGCCGGAAATAGTTACGTGCAATCTTTGGCAGATGATGATGAGCTGGATGATAAACTAAAAATCCAAAAATACGAGCGAACCTTTGACCAAAATGAAGAACTTGGCCTTAACGATATCAAAACAGAAAATTACCAAGAATAATAATAATAATATTCCTGTTTTCTCGTTTATAATAAATTTTATAAAGGCTTTAAACGAACTGTTAATGTAAACAATTACTATGGTTAAATAATGCCTTATAGAGAGTATTTGGTTTGAACTCTGACCAGAGCGACATTTACTATTTCGAAAATAAGTGCAAGTGAAATGCATTTAAAATAATTATTTAATGAATGTTAGTTTTCAAAAGAAGTTTCTTTGCTATAAAACCATATTCGCTCGTGTTGTCTGACAGTTAGTATTATGTTGTTGAAACCAGATATTCAGGGATGTTACAGAAACAGATTTTTGTCGGAATCAGAATTGAAACCGACAAAATTCTGTTAAGAGGTTACACATTCCGATTATTGGTTGCATATCGGTTTCATTTTTGAAACAGAATTTGGGTCGATTTTAGGTATATTATAGTAAGGTATGTTTTCTTTAATTTTGAATTTTTTTTACTTACACCATTTAATGAACTAATTCACATAAGTTTTAAATTATAAACATAAAATTTTTGGGCTTAAAAGTACAACGTACTCCTTGCTTGTTGAATTTTAAATTGTTATAATGTGGCAACATGTATTAACATAGTCAGCTGTTCGGTGGAATCGCTTTAGCTCGTGTTGTATAACGTTCGTGTACCTGTTCTCAAAAATATTGTGAGTTCTATGAAAATTATTTTATTTAATAATCTGTGTTTGATTTAATTATATTCTTTAGATTTCAAATATGTCTGCTTCGGCTGTGAGAAATTCTCATGGACTTCTAAAACGAGCATGGAACGAGATTCCAGACATTGTTGGTGGGTCAGTTTTAGCTCTCATCGGATTAGGAATGGCTGCTATTGGTGTCAGCAGATACTATGCCAAAGACGGTGATAATCGACGATATAAAATGGGTTATGTTGTAATTCGCCCAGATGATCCACGGGCAGAAAAAGTTCGCAAGGATTAAATATTTGGATTTGTGAATTTCAAATCCATATATGTAAACAAATAAAAAAAATAAAAAATACACATGCAAAAGAAGCTTTAGTATACTGACATACGTTTTTTTTAATATAATGCATATATATAGATATGCCTAACGTATGTGTCAACATGTACAGTTAAATTGTTTAAAAATTGTATGAGCTGCATACTTACATATATTAATTCCGTGCTGCGTTTGAAAACGGCTTTAAGATTATAGAGAATCAATTTATTCTTTAGTGCACTTCATCTGCAAATTTAGGGAAAACTTTTTGTAATTCTTAGGGTTCTATAGGTACTACATAAAATAAATATATTTTAAGCAAGTGTAGATTTCACATTCAATATTTTGTGGGGGCAGCTAAACCTCGTCAAAGAGCAGCCAAAACTAGGTTGTTGTTAAGGTCATCTTAAAATAAACAAGCTGTTTTTCCGATGATAGCTGGATCTCCAGAATGGCATTGAGGGCTTGTCGGTATGCTGTTGCTGTTATTCTCGCCGCTAAAAAACTTCTTAATGGAGTTTGTAGGTAATGTTGCGGGAGTGAAGGTTAAGATAAAAACTCGAGTCGATCCAAGACCCGACTCACAATGGATTTTATCCTCTTTTTTTATGCAGGCATGACTTGCCACGGCAAAAGTTTAAATTTATTTATCAGGTCTATAAACCACATGAAGTTTAAATGAAGGACCCTAAACATTGTCAATTGGTTAAATATCTTTAACACTGGGGTTACATAAGTCGATTCTTGTTTCTCGTTTTCGAAAGATTCTCGTTTATAGTTTTGCATTCTACGTACACGAAGAGAAGCTTTTCTCGGTATCCCCTTACAGTAAATTCTTTTTGGTAACCGTTTGACACGGTACTCTCCTCCATTAACTTTCAGTCACTGCAAAAAAAGTTTCCAAATGGGATCTTAGACCAAGGGCGTCACAATAACGTGTAGCAAAATGTGCTAGATCAAGCTATGCGCGGGTGTTTTCCCTTAGTTTTCAACTTCAAATTTAAATCTGCTCTTTGTTTTGCATTTAAATATGGAATGGTATCTATTGCCTGCCACAAACTATCGCGTCTCTACAATCATTGCTAATTTTCATATCAATATTAATTTTTTGTTATTCGTTCTTTCTTAAAATTTGTCATCTAATTTGATTTCAAAATGGTCGCGTTCACGCTACTACTTTGAGGAGTCTTGTATTAATATTTTCTTAAATGCAGTATTTTTATCTTCAATTAGACAGTTTTATCACTTAGCCTACGAAGCAACTCTACATTGCTACCGCCATTTCTTTTCGTTAAAAAACTTGCCGTTGATAGCTCGTTACTTGTTCGTTTATTCTCGTTCGTACTCACGCGTTTCTTCACATCGTTGTTTCTTTCATCGTGGTCTTGCAAAAATTAAAAAAATATATACTTTTAGTGAATGTTCGGAATTTAAATTTGGTGTAAAATCTTGGCCTATTTTATTGCCAATTATACGTTGTAAAATTAGTAGTATTTTTGATCGTGTAAACGGCAAAATTTGCATAATTGAAAGTGCGAATTGCTTACTGATTGATGTATGAAGAAGTGGCAAAAGTTGGCGAAGACGTTGACAGCGACAAAGTCGAAAACGGCAGAAAGAAGTTGTGATTTGGAATGTGCTTGTGAAAAAGAGAAGAATAGTTAAAATCAAAAAAGCAGATAAGTGAGCAAGGGAGAAAACAAATAATCTGCTTGTTGAAAAGAAGTAGAAGTAACGTGCCGCAAGAGCAGCGTTGTCCTCGGCTGTGACCAGAGGCCATGAAAGTCTGACTTTTCTTATTATGAAGTCTGATATGAAAATATTCAAATTAAAATTAGAGATCATCTGTTATGAAAAAATATAAAAAGGAGATTTAAAGATAAATTGATTTAGCCTTGAGGTGATCTCTGTTATAGGACGTAAAAGTTTCATCGACCTCGAGACGTGAGTGTGGTTGTTTGAATCAAATTGAGTGCATGTGTAAGTTTAATGTATAGGAATCAGGGTTTTATCAAGCATATTTTTAATCGAAGAATAGTGGTCCCCTGCTGTCGTTAGTATCCTCGCTATGTCAGCGGACAATGAAGCAAGTTGCACTGGGCGAAGGAAAGACATAATGCAAAAAGCAATGAGAAATGACAGCAGCAGCAACGACGACGATGACACCTTTGAAGATCTGGCGGGCTCTGCAAATAATGTGAGTACAGTACTTGTAAATATGTACATGTAAATTAATCTGCTATTAGTGATTAAATATGGTAGTTTTTAGTTAAACGAAAATATTTTCGGTCCTATTACAATTCAATGTATTAAAATTTACAAACAAATTTTATTTTACTTTACTGTTCTATTTTTGATCTCTATTCATATTTTAACATAAAATTCGTGATAAGTCCGATTTTTTATTCACTTATTGTTTTTGAAAACTATAATTGGAAATTTCTTTCACTTTAAAACTTAAACTTTTCGACATTAAAATTAAAAATCAATGTTTCAATTCCCCTTACAGTCAATCATTGGGAAAGTGAAATCGCGAGTGTCTAGCATAATTCCCAGCAGTTTATCGAAATGGTTTTCTCCGTCAACAAGGAATAATGATTCCTTAAATGGAAGTTTCCGTGCAGGCACAGCGCGCCGTCGTCGACGATTGGAAATTGAGGACGATGATGAATATGTTGGTGACGACGACGGCGATATTAATGAAGATTGCATTGTTTTACGCAAAGAGTTTAATGAAAACTTGTCGGGTCACGTTGATAAAGTTAATAATGATTTCGAAGAAGGTGATAGTGACAAAAGTGAAGACGGTTCAATCAATGAATCTGTAGTGTCAAAGCAGAGAACACATCGGACTGTAAAACCGTGTGGTTATAACCAACCGCCTAGTAAACGATCACGAATTAGTGTTGATGTAAGAATTTCATGTAAAGCTGTTTCTTAAATATATTTTATATAATGTTCTTTTCTTCAAATTTACGAAGGCTTCTAGCATTCATCATCCACCTTTTGTAGCGTCAACGCCTGCAATTGGTATAAGTCATCGAAATATTAACCATGCTCCCAATGAAAACACAACAAAAATTAGACCTACATCTTCTAACGTAGAGGAAAATGTTTATAACTACAAAATAGCTGACAAAATCGGACCATATTCATTTCCTCCACAGAAAAAACTTGCGAAGAATACGATTTCAAATGAGAAAGAACTGGATAATTTTGCTGCAATAAGGTAATACATGATTGTTACAAACACAAAGAAATTATGAACTCATATAACGTTGCTTGTGGTAGGTAAAATCTATAAACTACCAAAAATTCACAAGATTTCATTAAATAAAGTTCTTCAGGCCCATTATAATGGTAGTCTTTTTTTTTTTTAATTTCATGCCGTTTGAAAGCTAAATATTGAAATTATATTGTTTAAAATTACAAATTATTTCAAAAACAATAAACGTTTTTAATTTTCAGTTCAAGACGCACATTGCACCTTCCTTCAACTTCTCAAGCAGCTAAGGAACGGGAATTATCAACTGCTTTTTCTAACTGCCAACGACAATCGATTAGCGGTAATATTCAAAAAGCGGATACACAAAGTCAAGAAGATTCGCCACTTAGCAAAAACAAACAACCAACAGATTTACCAGAAGTGATGTTACGTCGAAATGCAAATGGAAATACCTTATTGTTAACAGGCGCTAAGAAGCAACGTCTAAACGGCACCGATCCAGAAGAAAATAATGCAGATGATGATGATTCCGTTTCCGACAGCAGTGAAGACTTACTTGGTAACAGTTCTGATTTGCACAATAATATACCATCAGTGCAACGTAAAACTGGTCTGTTCAACATGTCTAATTTGAATAGTCAAAACGATAACAAAAGCCGAACTTCGTCTTTTGGGAATGGTATCAATTTTTATTCTCACTTAGAAGGTCGCAAATCGCTTTTTTCTGGGCCAGCAAATGCCAGCGGATCAACTAACGTACTCAATAATTCAACATTGTCTTTGACGTCTCTTAACAGGCGTCAATTTAACGCTTCCATTTATGGTAGTACCTCGGCATTGAGTGATAGTAGATTGCTTAATACTTTCTCGCCTTTCTACAAGGGAAAAACAACATATGGAGGCGCAGCAGCCTATAAAAAATATAGTTCCGGCACTGGCGCGAATAAAATTTTTAATATTACCCCGACTATTATTCGTCCCACATCGAGCTTATCGACACTGTCATCGTCAAATAACTCTGCAAGTGCGAACGCTGGTGGAGCAATTGCTTCAGGTGGATTGAGTAACAACGGCACTGAAAATCCTTCTGCCATTTCTAACACAGCTAAGCGTATACTCGATTTAATAAATGATTTTGCTACACCCTTAAGCGAAGCTAAGAAAATGGCCAACTCTAGCGTTAAGACAAATCTACAACTTTTACCACAAACAAAATCACGTATAAATGAATCGGACCTGCAAGCCTCGAGAGCAATACGCTTGTCTCAAATTCGAACACCATATACCCGCCCAGCCGTAACCTTACTACCAACAATCAAGAATACAATTTTGCCACCGCCAGTGAAGGAATTGCAAGTACCATCAATGTCACAGTTATTACAGATGAAGAAGATGCAAAGCACCACTGAACGTTCACGACAAATAACAATGCAAAACAGCAGCAGCACCACATGTTCGATAGCGAGAAGCAGCGATTATGTCTTACCAGTTTCAAATGAAAACAATACAGACTACAAGGAGTGCACACAAGCACGACCTCAACAGCAACAGCAACCACATACGAATAAAATAAAAAGCAAAGTACGTGTGTCTTCTCGCATAACTGCTTCGAAGAACGCTGCAAATATTGAGGCTGATGAAGCGCCAGTACCAGTCAATCTGCCCAATATTGCATTTCCTCTTATGCAATCTGTGCCAAAATTTGACATTGATCTACCTAAGCCACAAGCTGCGGCGTCGGCGACAGATAGTACCAAGTTCGACTTATCTACACCAAAGTCTTTATTTGAAAAGCAGCCAGCTAATGATAGCGGCAGTAGCAACAGCAGTGTTTTCACAAATAAAAATTCATTCACTTTCAGCGCAAATAGCAAAAAAATCGTGTCTCCCATTAGGGATCTGAACAACATTAAAAATGAAAAGAAATCACTAGCCGAAGAGATGCAAATGAATTTTAAATTCTCAGCACCTTTTACATTTGTCTGTGATGGTGCCAGTGTTCCAGCGCAACAAAATCTCACTGCTAATACTAAAACATACACATTTAGTGCTCCGAAGGCGTTGGGTTCTGAAGATAAGGCAAGCTATTCCTCATCTCCTGCAAAATCCGTAGTGGTTCAAACTGATGGTACCACTGTATTGCCCCAGCTAAAAAGTGGCAGTGTGCTTGATGCTCTGAAGAAACCTTTCAGTTTACTATCTGACACAAAAGAAAAAAAATTGATCGCGGGTGTAACTGAGGCGAATAGTGGTTTTGGAGATCAATTTACGAATGCTACGATGAATAAATGGGAATGCGACACTTGTTTGATTCGCAACGAAAGCAATATGGAAAAATGCGTTGCTTGTGAAACGCCTAGAGCAAAGCCAGTAACAACAACTTCAAAAGTCACTGCGGGCACGCCTTTTGCCTCTGGTTCCTTGAGCTTAAGCGCTCAGTTTAAAAAATCTTCTGATGAGTGGGAATGTGACGTTTGTATGATACGGAACAAACAACATGTGGATAAATGTGTTGCGTGTGAAACTCCACGGAAGGGAAGGGAATTATCCATTATATGTGCGACAAATAAGTGGCAGTCGAATTCATTCGGTGACGCTTTTAAACCTAAATCCAACACCTGGGAGTGCCCCACTTGCCTTATAAATAATCAATCCGATTGCAGTGAGTGTGTCGCTTGCCAGACAAAACATCCTGGTAGCGGTAGAGATGGTGTCAATAGCAGTAATGCTTTTACTACAAACAATAACCAGAACACAACTCAATTTAAATTTGGCTTCGGTGACACTACTAGCGCAACTTTTGTTCGACCAACCGTATCTGTAACACTCGATTCTGGTTTTAAATCAATTGCGGCCTCCCAAATGTCAGCCAAGTGGGAATGTGATGCTTGTATGACGCGAAACGACGCTGCCCGTAACAAATGCGTTTGTTGTGAGCAAGCGAAACCTGGCACCACAACACTGGACGTCACTGAGAATGGTCCCAAGTTTGCTTTTGGGACAGCCGCGTCATCGAAATTCTCTTTTGGTTTCGTTGATGGTGTTAACGGTACGTCGACAACAGAGACTGGTAAAGTGCCGGCATCGGTAGACGGATCCAATGAAAAGACTGATGAGGGGACCGCCAAGGGGTTTGTCTTTGGAAACACGGCTACGGCGGCTGCATCAACCCAGTTTCCAGCTGGTGCTGGTAGCTTCAGTTTTGGGATTAAACCGTCCCTTGCTTCGAATGAAAAACAAGCTGATAAAAAAACTGACGTGAGCAAAGACGTCGCAGATAATGGAAAGAGTTCTGCCAAGACATCAAATGAATTGATTAATAGTGGATTTAAATTTACTACAACTACCAGTAGTAAAGACGTGTTAACTAATAATGCCACATCCAATTTCAAATTCGGTGTACCATCCACCACTGCCGCTGTTGATGCTTCTAGCTCGATGCCTGGTAGAACCCCTACAGTCAACTTCAACTCAAAAACTTCTGCTACCGTAGTTGGGGCTGTATCCACACAATCAACTATCACCACAGCAGCGCCGAGCAGCAAAGACACAACTGGAAGTTTTACCTTCGGTAATAACAGCACTGCAACTACAGTTACGCAGCCGTCCACTGGTGGTTTCTCAATCGGTACACCATCAAAAACAACTGGCGCAAAAACAACAACGACAACCACAGCAACAACTTTTTCCCTCGGCTCCTCAATTTTTACCACTCTTGCTGACCAAGCATCAGCGGCTTCAACTACCACCACATCGACTGCTACAATTAAACCGATGTTTAGTTTTGGCAGTACTACTAGCTCTACTAAGCCAGTAGAATCAGCTGCGAAAACTCCAATCACGTCTACGCCATCATCTAATAACAGCCTGCCTACTACGGCTTTTTCAAAACCAACTGGTGGTTTTAGTTTTGGGATTACTGTACCAGGCAGTTCCAGCGCCTCTACAGCCACAAAACCGGTTTTTGGTGGTTTCGTAGCTCCCACTGCTGTTTCGAAAGCTTCAACGATAGGAACTGCATCTGCGGAAAATACCTTGCCACCTGCATCCACTAACGTGTTTGGATCTTTCGGAAGTACATCTTCTGCAACAACAACTACTACCTCAGCCACACCGACAGTAGTAAGCCCAGCAGCATCGATAGCAACCAACACAAACTTGTTCGGCAATATAAGCCAAGCTGTTGCGCCCAATGCATGCGACGAGTCCAAACCTACCGCATCGGCTACGATGATTTTCGGAAGTACTGGCAATGCCACCAACACTGACAACAAAACCACCACCGCTGCACCATTTATTTTTGGCTCGTCATCGTCGAATTCCGTAACGCAAGGAGCAGCGAACAATACTACCACCAGCGGCAGCATAGTTGCAGCTGCGACAAGTTGGCCAAAAGGTGGATTCTCCTTCGGGTCGGGCACATCGAATGGTGGTGAACCTCAAAAACCTATATTCGGCAGTTTCGTCTCTGCTGCAGCCTCTCAGTCTACAGCAAAGAGCGGTTCGGTTTTTGGCAGTTTAGGCGGTAGCAACACAACTCCGAACGCAAACTCCTCCTTCGGCAGTGTAGCTGCCAACGCAACAAGTCCCAGTACTTTGTTCAGTGCTAACGCTTCAACAATCGCAGCGGTTGCGCCAATACCACCAAGTCTGTTTGGTAATGTATCGGCTGCAGCATCGTCGTTTGGATCACCTCCTGCTTTCGGTAGCAGCGGTAATAATAACGCTAACAGCAGCACGTTGACGTTTGGCGCTACTTCCAACTCAGCGACATTCGGTAGCATTGGCGCGGCTGCGGCCAATGCCAGGAGCGATGGCGCATCGGCTCCAAAGAAATCTGAGCCGGCTTTCAATTTCGGTGGAAACACTTCTCAAATGGGGTCGAGTGTAAGTTAGATTTTAAATAGTGTCTTAGATTTTAAATAGTTTTTATACATATACATATTTCTCATATGTACAGGGAGGTTTCAATTTTGGCGCACCGGCAAGTGCGGTTGTAAAGCCAGCTTTTAACTTCACAGCTTCAAGTGCACCGGCTTTTAACTTTACAGGCTCGTCCAGTGATGTAAGTCCACTAAATTGTCATTATTATTGCTTACAATTTGCATTGTTATGCATCCATATCAATCTAATATTATCCGAACTGTAGTTGTAGTTGGATTTCATACGTGTATACATATTTTTTTTACAGAATATATGTATTATTATAAATATATAAATATATATTATTATAAATATATAAATTTATATTATTATAAATATATAAATTATTTATTGAGTCTTTTGAACGTATCTTATATGTTGGATATATATGTAGACTTATTATTTATTAGTTGTATTCCTTCTCTTGTAGATAATCTTTAATTATTCTTTATTCTTTTTTACTCCGATTTTCAATGTAATTTGCATTCTTGTATTAAACTGTGATTTGTGAATTCTTAATCGCATCTCCGTATAATAATATAATTTATATTGATCGCCTGCTCTAACGGATGCCTTCAAATTCAAAAACTGTGTGAATGAATGTTGTGTGCTTTTTTGACATGTTCACTGAATGACAGACGGCGAAACCTTTCCAATTCGGAGCGGCACAACCAGCACCTGTTTTCAATTTTAGTAGTGGGGCTGAGGAGGTAAAGTAGTAGTGGAGGTTTATTATATTTTATATACAATTATTTTCCGAGTTACATCGTCTGCACATTTCAAGCCCATGTCACATCGAAATTAGTTCATGTTTATATATCGTCATAATTAATATCAGATGCTAGCTACGAAGTGGTTTTTTTTTACTTTTCTTTTTAACAGCATGATTTACGTTATATATTTGTATGTGCGCCTAACAAACAATTAAGTGATCACATACATAAGTATTAATATTGAAAAGAAGTTTTTTTTATAGCAGCGTTTTTTCGGATAACGCTAAATTCTCACTTAACATCCATTTCACTTGAGCTTAGAGTGTAGTTAGGAAATTCTGAAGAAAAAAGTCTATGAAGTTGAGGCGTTACGCCTCTGTCGGCTGCGGCAAAATGCTTGCATCTCTTCCTTTTCAGAAAGTAATCATCTTTACTGCATTTAAATGTATACATATGTACACACATATGTATGTTTATATTGTATTGAGGGTTAACAACTAAAATACTTTGTTTGAATTTATGGTAGTTAAATACCAACTACTATTAACTATATTGCAAATAAAAAGGAACAATAATATTAGAAAACATCACATTTGCTAGGATTTTTTGCACTTACAACAAAAAACATTAAGTTTTTTTTTTTTATTGAGATACGAAAGAGTCATTTGTCTTTCGAGAGCAAGCGTGCGTGTGTGTATTGTTTTGGGTTTATTAAATTTAACTTTTATTTAATATTAAAATGTAAAAAAATAGTGTCTGTCATGACCGTTTTATGTTATTTCACTTATTTAAACGTGTAATCAGCTTACATAGGAATTAGTCAAATTAGAGGGTGTTTTTCTTTGATTCTCGTTGACCTGTTTTATTATTCTGCTCCATAAAATATAATTTAATATTTAATACTTGGAGAAATGCATGTTGCATGGTATAATTGGTATAATAAAAATATAAAAGCATGGCGAATTTATAATTTCATTTATTAACATTATATGGTTTTACTTATGTACATATGTGAATACGAAAATTGTTTACTTAAACTGCATTCGAAAATTGTTAAGCGTTTCGGTACTCGGAATTAAATGATTTTAATCGTTGTTGTAAGGGTTCTATATCAAAAAATTCATACATATGTATGTACGTTTTTGTCTCTAATAAAGCATCAATTAACTTTTATTTGAAGGCACTATATCATTTTTTTAACGAATCACTTCATCACGTGCATAGAGGATAGTTCTATATTGACACACACATACACACTATTTTGAACTTTTTATATTTTTCAAAATTCCTTTAATTTTGGAACTGTATAAGAAATAAAATTTACAAATTGAGAGTAAAAATTGATTTACCTTCTTTTACAGGCCACACCGAATGCACCTTTCCAATTTAATGCAGGCACTACGCCTGCTCCAAGCAATATATTTGCGTAAGTATAGCAGTGAAAAATTTTTATGCACAAAAAATAATTATTCACCGAATTCGAAATATTTAAAAGAAATGACTACTGCTACAGGAAAGGAAGCGTTTGCGCGGCTAATCAACCACGCTATGCAATATTCAAACAACTGCACCCGCTAACACTTTTAATACTAATCTTTGTTTATGTTTTGTTTCTTTCTATTATTCAACTTTATTTGGAAGTCCTTTTTTTTTGTTCCTGCGTTCATTTGTGTGCATATTTGTTTTCTATTTGTGTTTCTTCGTGCATTTTATTTCAATTTACCACCTCATTTATATACGTATGTTAATATAAAAAATGGAATCAACACTTTTGCGTTATTTAATTCTAAACTTCATAATTTAAACACTTATACCATTCGCGATGTAGCTTCTGGGCAATGGTTTGAGAAAATCATTGCATCAACGGGAAGTATTACAATTGTTTTCAATTCGATCAGCCAATGTCTCCAATAGTAAGCTTAAAGCTTTTCAAAAGGCAATCGGCACGTGGTTACAAACCGCCTTAACGTATTATACATATATTTTGTCTTTGTTTTCTTCCATTTTTTATTAGTACGAAAAAAATAATTATTTTGGTTACTTTGAAAAGTTCTGTCCATAAAGAAATAAGAATAGTTTCAATATTTTGCAAATCATGTTGAACTTAACTTATAATTTTTGAAGTTAGATTTTGGTTTTCGACCACTGGGAGTTGTCTTTATTGTTTACTATAAAACGCAGCTAAATTCCTTGAGCATAGTTAACTATTTTCATCTACATACATAGATATACAAAGTAAATTATCTAGATATAATCAATCATATAATTTTGAATTATCAAATCTACAGACCAACGCCATCAGCATCAAATGCCCCGGGTGCCATGCAGGTTCGACGAAAGATCCGTCAACCAACAAGGCGTCTCACACCACGGTAGAGCAATTCATAATAACGGACGCCTCTGAGGGCATGGACAAACAACAGCAACACCAACTGACGGGACAGCTACTATGGTCAAAACAAAAGAAAAGCCAGAATAACAACAACAGCAAAAGCAAGGACTTCGTCGAGGATAAAGTAAAAAGGATAATACATATGCATAAGGATCATAACAATGACATCGGTGAACGTTATGAAAAAAATATACCAAATACTACAATAGTGGCATATGATAGAGAAGTAATTGGTAGCGGTAGTGGCATTACCACTGTCCTTAAACCCCAAATGAAAGCAGCAAGCAAATACAAATACATTCGGAATCTCGTCAACAACGATACACAATATGCTTGTAAAATAGCATCTGCTAAAGGTGAACGCAATGAAATTTCAGGCAAATCAAGGGATATGTACAAAAATAACAGTAGTTTGCATGAACTTACCGATCATGATCTAATCCCTGAGAAACGGTTGGTAAGACGCAGCATTCGGGTGCAACATAAATTCAGTAACAATAAATTTGAGCATAGTAGCTTGCCGCCAACATCGAAAAATGAGTCTCCCCCGCCGTTTACTTTAAACCAGTATCGAAAAGTAAATTTTAAAAATATCATTAAAGGATCGACAGTAGGACAATTTGCGGAAGCAAATAGTACTTTTGAGACTAGAATGCAGTCGCTACCAGTACCGACAACGTTGCCGTCATTGATTAATCAGTATCGTGTCGTACGTAATCTTAACTACGAGAGCTCAAGGCTAAACACAGTGCAAAGTCAGTGGAAAATAAAGCCCTTGCCTAAAGAGAATGAGCATGTAACAATTAATGAGACGTTCACTGAGCGAAAAGTGTGTAACTCATTTGTAATCACAAAATCTAACAGAGCCACTGTTGCGACAGATATTATCGACTATTCTTAGACTCTGCTGTTGTGACCACCGGCAATTAAATTGAATGAACATTCAAATTCTGGTAAATGACAATGAAACGTGACAGGTTCCATAATTATTGATTTGTAAAGGTTACTTGAATCAATTTACTATTTTAAGAAAACTAATATGTATAAACAAGAATTATGAAACTGAAAAAAAGATTTAACATTTAATAATGAGGTTATGATACATACATAGGCAAAAAAGCAGTTAGAAAATAAAGAATAACAAAATCAGAAAATGAATTTCAACAATTACAGAAATCAAGACGTGTGAATATGAGAGAAATACACATACTTAAATTAAAAGAAAAAAATACAATTTTACACTAATATAAAACTAGTAAACTAGTAAAAAAGAGGATGAATATATAAGGATGTGTTCAGTTCTACACCGCAGTCATTATTTGAGCTAAATGAGTGGTCCCTGACAGAAGGCAATAATTTCAAGTTAAATCAATGCTGCAGGATTTTATGTATGTATGTATGTTTCTGTTTTGAAATTATTCTTACCTTGTTAATTCCCTTGCAAAGTTACACAAATATATATAAATATACATACATATAAGGTGATTGATAACATTTTTATTTACATTTAATTTGAACAAACCTAATATGCGAAAGAATTCGTACCCTGGGTTTACGTTGTGGCGATATTTCATTGAAGGATATGCTCTCGCGCGACCACATCAAATTCAACCATAAATATTTCTATTAGTGCTTACTTGCATATTATTATCTATTATTATTATATTTTGTTACTTTTGTAAGATAAATATTCGTTCTACTTGAAGAGTTTAACAAAATTATAAATCTTAGCCTAATTGAATATTTTGAAATTTGTTTTGTAATAGAAAAGGAACAAACTAACATCCAGATGACCATTACAATTATAAATAAAACAATACACAATAAATATGTACATACATGTAAGCAAATTTATCAATTGTGTGTTTTTAATAGTACTTTTGGACGCTAGGCTAATCCAAGCTATTGGTTTTACACAGAAAAGTGTTCTTGTCTTGTCTTGTCTTGTCTCTGATGTGTTCGACTGGCTTGATAAATGAACGCATTTCGCTTTATTCTATGGCGCATGCGTTTATGAATAAAAACTTTTGCAAATAATTTACTTATATAGGTATGTATGTATGGATTAATGAGAAAGTTTATATATTTGCTTTGGAAATCTATTTGTTTATTGCGAAAAAGGAGAAATCGCATTTTTTTATATACTAATGAGTTTGCATTGCAAGTCTGTTTTTCAAAGTTTTCATGAGAGCAGCTTGAAAGTTCAGTCTTTCTTCATAATCCCCAATCAAATTTGTAGGTTTTATGTGAATAATTTCGTTCTTATAGGAATGAATTTAATACGATAAAATTGAGTTAACCGTATCAACGTTCATAAGCAAAAGTCAAAATTCGGTCGGCAAAGTTTGCGATGTTTTTATTATTTTTATTATTTTATTTTACAAAGTAACATACTGTTACGCTCAATTCTGCTTATTAACAGCAAGCTTTGTCATTCGTATGAGGAATATGGTACGATCAGAGCGTAAATACAACGAGAGGTTCAATCAGAGAACGTAAATATATCAAGAAGGTTCAACTAGAGAACGTAAATACAACGAGAAGGTTCAATTGCTGAACAACGTGTAATCTGTCAAAAATGTCAAATTACGATAAAGGCATTTCCTTACAGGCCGCCAGAATCTTACAGATACCACTTTTATGTTTCATTTCTACGCGTGTTTTGTCTACTCGGGTTAATGCTGCAACTACCAATCTTATATACCTTCCGTCCATAGCAACCTATCTTATGAGAACGCCATGTAAACAAAGAGTTGTCACCGCTTGCCCATGCCGTTACTGACGGTTGTCCCGCAGAAAAATGCTCGTTTCTGTTAGTGTCTGTATATCCTTTTATATACTAAGTTTATGCTTCATTTCTACTCGGGTAGCTTAAACTCGCAAGCATCAACACTTTCACCATGAGATAAGACGTATACTCGGGTAGATTATACACATTTTCTCCCATATGCAGAAGCGTTATTTCGGTAGCACAAACGCGGGTTGAGTTGAAATCAGCTAATTTGAATTTAACCTGATTGATACAGAGTTCCGGTGTTGCTAACTTATAGCCAAAACAATTACAGTTTAACTAAAATTTAACACAATTGTGCTTGGCAGCCCGGGTATTAAATCCATTCTGAATTCAACTCGAGTAGAACGTTAGGCGTTTATGCTTGTAAGTTTAACTCGAGTAGAATAGTTCCGCGTAGAAATGAAGCAAAAACTTAAAAACAGTCGGATGTTATGGCTGTACGGTATGTAAGATGGATAACTGTAGCATAAGTTTTCATCAGCGTATAGAGAAGTATGGAAACTATCAGCTGTTGTACCGCTCAAGATAGATGTTGATGGTTGCATGTATGGTGCAATAAGATTTTTGTACAAAGCAAAGAACGTATATCAATATACGTTCTTTGATATAACTTTTAAACGGTTATCTTACAAGTTATACATCAATGTAAAGATAATTTTGTACTCTAGTTAATTACTTTATTTTTAAGTAGGATTAATACGACACTTTTTAAAAAAATAATAGTTTTTTATATAAAAAATCCTTTTTTTTAACTATTCTCTTTTTGTTAAAAAAATATGGAATAAATATGTGCATGTATGGGTGCTCCATTAAAGGTATTCAATTTATCTGTCCAGCGGTACTACTCCTATGAAAATCAGCTAAGTAGTTTTGAAAATGGGGGCATTTGAAATATTAGGAGGACGCCCATTTCCCACCCCCTGGAACGTTTGCACAAGAAATGTTATATACTATTAAATTCATGGAAAAAGGAGGAACCACGCCTAATAATTAATTTTTACCGGTGCGAAGAGTCTGTATTCTGCACTTGGTCCTGAATTTCGTTGAAATATTTTGAATATGTCAAAATCACCCCGAAAAGCTTGCTCATTAGCATACTACTATTTTTGAATATAATAACAAAGTATTGTATATATAAAACATTATTAATTAGATCACGTTTCCTATAAAAAAAAATCCCCCTTCCTGCCCAATGAAACACACGTTTCACTACATATTTACATAAATACATTTTATTTAAAGTGAAAAATTATTTTTGTACTATGTTTTATTTTCTGATATATGATTCATATGTATTAATTTTTATTAACAGATTATTAATTATATACTTAGTGCAATTTATTAATTTATATTAAGCAACTGAGCTATCTGAAAAATCTTCTTCACTTTGTTCTCACTATTATGTGTTATTGTCAACTGAGATATATCTTTAAAGCAATGTCGATGCTAATTGAGAAGGTAAATGTTTACTATTTATATGTATATGGTGCTTATTTTATTTATTGAACATTGTATTGCATCTTTAATAAAGGGTCACTTTAACTAACATATTAAGTTTTAAATTTATGAGGATTCTTGTCAAATTTTTTTGTAATATTTAAGAAAATTACATAAATTTTCGTTTCTATAATTTCACGTCAAAATAAATCACTTCTGTTTGCCGCTAAAACGCTTTCTTTAAACAATGGAAATTAGAAAAGGGTATTAGTAAAGAAAATGCAACACTAATAATTTGGTTGTTTGTATGTGTCACGCGTGGAGAGCATTGACTCATTCGCCATTTTTATTTTTACAATTTGTCTTTTTTGGGTGTTGGTGCAGACGAAAACTTTAAAAATCGTTGAAAATGGTGAGGATTTATGGAAATAATATTAAAAGTTAGTTGAAACCTTACTTTTATCGAGTGGGAACAATAAAATGCATCAGATTATAAATAAGTTATGTTTGAAACAGTGTAAAACGTTGTAAATAATGCCGGGTGTTTCTAAGTATAGCAGAATCATTCATTGCCTGCAGTATTTAACATGAGGCATCAAATAATTACCATGGCACGTGCAGGTTTTGGTTTTCACATTATGAGTACTAAATAATAAAAATATGAATAGATTTTAAAAATATATAAATTAAGATAGTATGGAATAGATATATAGCTTATGCATTTGTAAAATACGAAGATTCTAGAAGGTGAGATAATATATTTAAATCATTAATTGGTAGATTCTTAATGACTGTAAACAAAATATACATTATGTTTATGAACAATTTTCATCATATTTAAATATGATAAGCATTTACAAGTAATCCTTATAGCCAAACTAAAAAAAATTGTGGCAATAGTGGTGAGAATGTAGGCTGATAAAGTAAGGTTATATTTTACATTTTGACTGAGAAAATGCGAAGAATGTGAAATAATTTGTTGTATATCTTTTGCATTTAGGAAATGTCTCTAAATCCAGTGCGTGTGCTGAAAAGCGAGGCACAAGAGGAGAAGGCGGAAATGGCGCGTCTATCATCTTTTATAGGTGCAATTGCAATTGGTGATCTCGTCAAAAGTACTCTGGGGCCCAAGGGAATGGACAAAATTTTAGTAGCACATGGTCGCAATGCTGGTCAAGTTGAAGTGACAAATGACGGCGCCACCATTTTACGGGCAGTGGGAGTAGATAATCCAGCTGCCAAAATATTAGTAGATATGTCACGTGTTCAAGATCAGGAAGTTGGAGACGGTACCACCTCGGTAACAGTGCTTGCTGCAGAACTTCTGCGAGAAGCTGAAAAATTGGTTGAGCAAAAATTGCACCCCCAAATTATAATAGCCGGCTGGCGTTTGGCTACTCAGGTGGCGCGCGAAGCTCTTATTCAAGCTTCTCAAGATAATTCTGCCCATGACGATAAGTTTAAAGAGGACTTGTTAAATATAGCCCGTACAACATTATCTTCGAAAATCTTGCACCAACATAAAGAATTCTTTGCAAAATTAGCTGTGGACGCTGTTTTGCGCCTTAAAGGATCCGGAGAACTGCATGCAATTCAAATAATAAAGAAGACGGGTGGTACGTTGGATGATTCATTTTTGGACGACGGCTTTTTGTTAGATAAAAAGCCTGGTGTACATCAACCACAACGCGTATGTATTTGAATTTTATTAAAAATAAATCCTTTTATTTCAGAAATCATATGTTCTTCATCAAAGCGTCAAGAGGGTTGTGAAGTATGTTGCAATAGTAAGCCATATCACAGCCATTTTGACGAGTTTGATGTCGAAACGACATCAACATATTGTATTTATCAACATTATATTTTTATTCTCAAATTTGTAAACTTGAAATATATTTTAAATATTTATTAATGCAAACTCACAGATTGAAAACGCCAAAATTTTGATTGCGAACACACCTATGGACACTGACAAAATCAAAGTATTCGGTAGTACTATTAAGGTTGACTCCTTGGCGAAAATCGCTGATTTGGAATTGGCAGAGAAGGAAAAGATGAAAGACAAGGTTCAGAAGATTCTAAGCCACAATTGCAACGTGTTCATTAATCGCCAACTAATTTACAATTATCCCGAACAACTGTTTGCCGACGCAGGCGTTATGGCTATTGAACATGCAGATTTCGATGGAATCGAACGGTTAGCTCTCGTAACTGGTGGGGAAATCGTTTCAACTTTCGACAATCCTCTGCTTGTCAAGTTAGGTGAATGTGACGTCATCGAACAAGTTATGATTGGTGAGGACACACTTCTTCGTTTCAGCGGCGTAAAATTGGGCGAAGCATGTACAATTGTGATACGCGGCGCAACGCAACAAATTATCGATGAAGCCGACCGCTCACTGCATGACGCTCTCTGTGTGCTGGCAGCCACTGTAAAGGAATCACGCATTGTTTACGGTGGAGGTTGCTCTGAGGCGCTTATGGCTAACGCTGTGTTAAAAAAAGCAGGTGAAACACCTGGAAAAGAAGCCATTGCAATGGAGGCATTTGCCAGTAAGTAAAATTTGGAATGTGGAAGATTTGCGTAATATTAATAATACATTATTTGCAGGGGCTTTGTTGGCATTACCTACAGCTATAGCCGATAATGCTGGCTATGATTCAGCACAACTGGTATCTGAGTTGCGCGCGGCACACGCCCAAAGTAAGTCAACCAACGGGTTGGACATGGAAAAAGGCAAAGTGGGTGATATGAAAGAACTTGGTATTACAGAGTCTTTTGCGGTTAAACGTCAGGTATTGATGTCCGCTTCAGAGGCGGCCGAGATGATATTACGCGTTGATGATATCATAAGATGTGCACCACGACGACGCGTTCCTGACCGTGGTTATTGTTAGATTAAGTTTTTACTGTATTAAACGCTACTTGTTTTGGCAAGGTAAACCAATGTTCTCCTCTTTTTTTTTGTTTTAACATTACGTAACAAATATGAAATTTTGTATTTACCAAAAATCCACTCAATACTTCATGATGTTAATTACAATGTATTCGAAAAATGCACATTAGATTAAAATATTCTATCGATCATGAAGTACAGATTTTTGCACTCACTTAGAGCTGTCACTCACTACATTAAAAATACTGATTTCTGCAATAAATATGCTAATAATGGAAATAATAAAAACAATAAAATTTGAATAAATCGCAGAAGAACTTTATTTGATTAATTCAGATGATTCAACAAAAATGTCTTACTATTGTAGTGTCATAAGTATGCTCCACTCCTTGCTAAACAACAATTGCTTGGTTTAAAATATCTTACGACGGTTCGAGCTTGATATGATAGTAAATATTTTTTCGAATACATAGAACATTATATATAAGTTGTAATTAGTTGAAAATCGTTTAAAACTTTTAAATTCGAAGATGACATTAGTATTGTATGTACATATATCAATAAATATGAAATACTCGTACATATGAAACTGCGGCATTCAAAGCCTGGCCGAATAATAATATACAGTGCATAAATTTAAGAAATTACACATTCCATTTCACCATGTTTTGGAACACAGTCCAAAACAAGTGCAACTGCACGAGCCATGTATGTCATTGTGCCATAACTACCACTGGGTGCGCTATTTAAAAGGGAAAGATTTAACGTATGGATTGGGATTATCATTTTTGTTGATTTTGTAAGATATCTCGTTTTACCTGTCATAAAGATGTTGACAGATGTAAGCAGCGCCGCCGCACAGTAGCATACCAGAAGCCGCCTGCTGGTCCTTACCCTCTTTGGATTTGGCACAACAAAGCATGGCATCGCCTTGAACTTTGCGCTGATCCTCTAGAAATAATTGATTGGCTTTGTGTACCAGATGTTCCACATATATAATCCCGCCGAGAGATGGCACCATATTGTGTTCTGTCATGAGTGTGAGCACCATTAGAGCTTCCACCACCAATTGTCTATATTCCGGTTGTGGTATTTGATTGAGTGCAGTTTCCACTTCTAGAGCGAATTTTAATTCGCCAGTTGTCATCTCTTGTGTCAAACTCTGCGGCAGTATACGACCTTCAATGGCCAATCCTTGACACTTTTCCAGTACACTCCAGACACGAGAGTAGAAATCGCGTGGAACGCGATTAAGTGCACCATCTAAGCGGCGACGTCGTAACCATTGGCCCTGACGGTCATCTATTGTCGCTATGAGTGCATCATCACCATCCTGTTCGCCGAGACCAATTTGACTTTTCTTGCTGACGCGACTTGACTTACAGCTTACAATCGAAAGATTTCCACGTGCAACTGAAGCATAAAAAGGAAAACATTGCTATATAAAAATTACCTACTACTGTTAGTTATGGCCTTACCACTGCTCACAGCAAACTCTTTTCCACTAAGTATGTGGTAGAGCAAGTTCTTCATTTCAAATGGCGAAAGATTGAGCAAGTGTTCGGAAGCTGCTTCACCATCACAGTTTAGTGTGCGCGACAACTCTTTTGCCATTACCTGAATAATTAGACCCACTCGAAGGCGTAACATTTCATGAAATAGCTGCGGTTCGGTGCGTATAAACATTGCCAAGTACACCATCAGTTCTTGTGTCAGCATAGCGGTACTTTCATCATCACCGTAAGTCTAGATAGATAAAGACGAAATTAAGAATCGGAAACCCTACTCAAAGAGGTTTAACCCACATCATGAATTAGCTGTCGCAGCTCAATTTCTGGCAAAGGTGCAGTTATTGTGTATTCATTATTAGGTGGCATTCCAACGGTGACCTGTATGTTTTTTTTTCTAAGTTCAATATTTTATACGTATATGCAGCAAAGGGCTTTACCTGTTTCTGTCGCACTAACAAATCTGTTACAGCCTTAGCCAAATCCTCGACCCGTTTGCCCAACATACCGGCTGTATGGCGCACCAGACCCCAAAGTTTCTGTTGGCAAGCCTTTTCGTAGAGACCTTTCAGGAGGTCACGTACCGTTACGACACGTCCCTCCTCCAGCATCCCTTCATTTGGAAGAGGTGAAGAATTAGTGAGAGCTCTTGTCTCTATGGTAACAATGGGTATGAGTGCTGCTTTGTCAGATAACTCTTCCTTAGTGACTGAAGCATTAGAAATGACCTCATCCGAAGCTTCGAGCTCAACATCTTTTTCATATTTTTTAATGCATTTTATATATATACATAAACACATATAAACATATGTACATATATCCATATATACATATATACAAGAAACGATGTTTAGCACAAAAAAATATTGGTACACACATAAAAAAGACAAGTGCGAACAAGGGAGCGTGTGTGTGTGCATGGGTGAAAGCTCATACAGGCCCACGGAAGGACATCGCCATGGCAAATTAGCAGAGTCACAGGGGAAGTGAATGTGGAATTCAGCGATAAGTGTGGGGGCATGTTGCAGATATTTGTACGAAATTACACACACATAACATACATACATACATATGTACATGGCATACGCGAGTTTATATACAAACATACATACATACATATATACACATACATATAATATATAATATAAACAAAGAAAAGCAGAAGAAAAGAGATAAGAAAAGAATTTATAGATTAAAACACTAGTTATATTAAAGAATAAATTTATCGTATTTTTTAGAAGCAAAAACATAAACATGTATGTATGTACTTATAAGCTGACACGTTCTGCTAACGCGTTTAAACAATGTATGTGAGCAATATGATGTAACGGTTCACCTAGGGAGAGGTAAGGCCACGATGCTCTTAACTCTAGTTCATAGTGTTTTACTATTGATTGCGAAAGCAAAAATTTCAATATTAATACCAAAGTCAATAAGTGTATGTACTCTATATACATATGTATGGTATGAACTGTGTATATTATATTATAAGTGAAATATTGAAAATACCTATGCACATTTAAATGGCAATCAAAATTTTCAAACAAACAGCTAAAGCTCTTAGCCAAAATATTATAGACAAGGTTTTACTAAATTTGTTACAATAACAGTTTCGTGTAAGAAAAATTGGAAAAAATACCAGTGTTTGTTTATCAACTTTTCATTTATGATATTATATATACATTTTACATTCGTTCTCATAAAAACCAGAAATCATAAGAATTTTTGTGTACACATTGGGTGCGCGCTAGTATTTATAGAGCAAAAATTCTTCTCGACTTACCAGAATCCTTATTCCTCAAACCTAAGCCAGCTAATAAGTGCAGATTTAACAAAGAAAAAATTAAAAATAAAATTAATATATATTTAGACATATATGCACTTACGTACATAAAATAATTTGATAGAGATTGACGACAATAATGGAGGATAAATAAGCAAGATTTGAGTTGAATGGAGGGAATAGGAAGTTGCGGGTACGGCTTCTACATGTAAATTTATAGGTGTCGTATGTAAGTGTATGCATGTATATATTATATATTTGAATAGTGTTCATATCAGATTCATATTATTTACGAATATTAAATTTTTCTTAATTTACGATTCTCGTGGTAATGTACATATGTATGCGTTTGGGTAGTTTATGTGTGTTTCTGCGCGCGTGCATGGATATGTTCAGTATATTTGCTGCTCATGCCACAAGAAATATACCATATATGGACATGTTTTATTTACCTGTATTGAAGTCCAAGCCCTGAGTGTCGACTAAATATTGCAAAATATCTCCTTGTTCTTCCAGATTTTCCGTTTCACGTAACATTGCAATCAATTCTTCTACTTCTGTGTCGGCGAAATTGGTATCGGTCCGGTGGCGTTGAACGAGAATTTTTGGTAAAGCTTGTACTGATGAACGTAAAATTTCATAACCACAAATCATAACGTAAAACCACGGTCAACCAATAACAACCGAAAGGAATTGAACAAATGCAATCAAATAAAAACACATACATATGTATACATAAGTAAAATAGTAAAATTTAAAACTCAAAATGTAATGTTCGAAAAAGCAGTAATTTATAACGTTTTCTTTTCGTATTGAAGACCTCATTGCTTTCTCGAACGTTTTCTACAACTGATCAAACTAAAGCAACTACTACTAACTTTCTTGTTGTCTTGTAAACTCACTGCGACGTTCAATGGCCGAACGGCTGTGATGTGGATCGATTGGGTAGATATTTTCACGAATAAGTGGGTCCACAACTACTGCAGGACCCTCCTCTGGAGTCGTCGCAAAGACACTAACATTATTCGCTTTATTTGGCTGCAGCCATGGTGGCGGGATCACAGATGACAGACGCCTTTCGGATAATGGTGTTGGTCCTTCCATCCCCAAGTTGTCAGCTTTGGAAATATAAAACATATATTTACATATATTAGCAATTTCGAAATTAAAAAGTGAATATGTCCATATATACTTACAATCAACGTTAATAGAACGCGTCTTCTTGATGGCGCCCTTGCAGGACATGCGCCTACGCAATTGTCGTGGGCGCAGATGGGCGCCATGTAGCTTCATCATGCCACGATGGCTAAACGACCGCAACAGATGTTCGTCCAGATAGGCCTGAACATCAGGATTCAAACGATCTGGATACCCATCTTCAGTGCTACCCAAAAAACTTAGATCCGTGATGGCTGACGTGTTGAGGAAGTCTTTTAGGTTGCCCAACATCACACGGGTGCCATTAATGTAGCCCGATTTAAGTTTTCTCATTGTTTGAATCATGGCCAGTGGTATTTTATCTTGATCTACATATTTATATACATACATATATATATAAATTCAGTTGTGTTAGAATTTATATTTACATTGTGGGGAAATTTTTAAAATCTTGTTTGTAAAAATACAATTTACATAACACGAATAATGGATTAAGGGGCAAGTCCGCTGTAGGTGCTTCAAAAAATTTATTTTATAATTATTAAATTGGCTTTTTTCTTACGGCTTTTTAATATTATTTCAAAGAGAGCCACGAATGGGATTTTCGATCATTTAAATAATGGTTACATACAATTAGGTGCCGTTTTTTTTGGTCTGAAAATAGGTTTAAAAAATGCTATGTTTTTTTAAATCTGTTTGCCATTCTTAACCTTTTCTTGTGTATATAGATAAACAAAAAATTTTATTTTGTTGCATATTATATTTTGCACCCTGTGTACTGCAAGTCACGTAGCTTTTAGAAGATAATTCACTTTACAAAAATGTCCAGTAAAATATATTTTTGATGTAAATTAAATTGTTTCTATTTAAATATAAAACTAATAAGACATTAAAACATTATAATTGTATTGCCTTTCTTTTCACATATAAACAATTCTTGAAAAAAGGTGTTTTCATGGCGTTTACAGTGACCATACCCCTTAAAAGAACCAACATACGGTTTTTTTCTCACACACCGTGGGTTTTTATTAACATGAGTACAATAATTTTAATTTGTGCAGGCGAAATTCGATCATTGAGAGGAACTGATATACATATATTACACACATATGTAAATTAATAACAAATAATAAAGAAGTTAAAAAGATTTCAAAATTATTTAAATTATTGTAGTGGCCAATTCAAGGAAATGTGAATGTATGCACATACATATACATACATGTATAAATATGATATATAGACCTACATATGTGCATTTATGATATATATTTTATTCGAAATATTCATAAGTTGAAGCAAAATTCATAGGTATTAGGAACAGAAAATAGGGATTGATAAATTAGTAATATGCAATACTATGAACAAGTACAGAACACCAAAAGAAGGGACAAGTATGCAATGAATATAAGAAAAGTGTGAGTGTAAGAAAGAACTAATTAAACACAATAGATAAAATATTTTTTTATAAATTAGCACTTAACAATACCGTAATTCAACTACCTACAACCTATTACGACAATTATAAATTAAGCGAATATATTGATTCTATGTAAGTAGCGTCTTAATTGTTTATTGCGGTCACTTATATACATATATATATATTTATATATACATATTGTATGTATTTATGGTATTAAAACAAGAGAGATGAACGAGGGGAAATGCATGCCGAAGATGAAAATGTAAGAGAGTATTTTAATTAAACAATATATTTATTATATTTTTTATCAAAATTACAATTTATATAAAAAAAAATAGTTTGATTGCATATAAAACCATATCTAAATTTTGATAAATTACTTGTAATATGCAAAATGTATTTGCAGCCAAAAGAAACTATAACAAAGTGCACACATATGTAAATACTATCTATGACTAAAAATACGCCTGCCTTTGTGTTGTACCATACCATAAAAATTGTGTATGTAGTTACCTAGCATGTAATGCGTGGCCATTAGAGTTATTGTCGGTCTTCCTAACATGTGCCGCCAATTGTTTGTTAGGAAAGCTAAATTTGTTGTGAAATTGCTAGCAAGCAAGTCAGGATCTCGAGTTGTGTAGTATTCTTCGAAGTCGATATTCTGTGACAAAGTTCATTCCAATCGGGTTTCATTGCATTAGTTAGTGAAATACGAGCAAATTAATTTAAATGTATGTATGATGGTCAAAATCTCAAGCAAAAACTCATTGTCTTGTTTTTTGCTTAAGCGACATATTATATTTGCCTTTAGTGAAGAATCTAAAACAACTTTTGATTTCAAAACGCACAATTTCGGACGAATAAATTATTTGAATGAGAATGTTGGCAAACTACATTTCAAGACACTACTTATATATATATGTACGTATGTGGCGTGTACCATTGAAATTCTATCCAATAAGTATGTAAAAGCAAGCTTTAGAGGATTTGGTTAGAAAACAGAACTTATGGCTACAGTGTTATATTCTAATATAGACACAATTTGTATATAAAAAATTATTAAAAAATGTTAAAACCCAATTCCTAAGTTATTTACCGAAATGCTCAGATGCAACTTGCTTTTACATGTTTGTATGTGTTTTATGAATATCTAGATCTACAGGGGGTGTTCTGAGGAGAAACTCAAAATGACTAAATATGTTAATAATTGGTCCCTGTACATAGTGTTGTAACAGCATGTATTATGTAGATACAAATGATATTGAGCAAAGAAGAGCAGAAACAAATATGTAAGTGATACATAAAAATGTTACAACATCATTATTCATTTAAAAGAAAACATATACGTAAACAGTATTTAACCGACCTAAATGAATTTTTCTCAAGACTAGTGTCACTAACGGACGACCGAGCAGATCCCAAGCAGACTTTAGGAAATTTATCTCTCCTTTTAGGATGTCAATCATTAATTCATTATCAGATGCGATATAAAACCGACTCAAGTCAACAAACTAACGTAAATAACAAGGCATCAAAATTTAGTTGAAATGTAATATTTTGAGAATTTATGAATCGTCATTCTTCTAAAGCTTACAAATGTATGTGTATCGCATTCAAAAAACTTTTTTTAATTGCGTATTTTTAATTACACAATTTTTTTTCAGAATACAAGTGTTCTGAGTATGAATTATGTAAAACTTTTATCAATGACGATTCATACGAGAATTCCTAGAGATAAATTTTTATATTATACATAATTTATTAGAAAATCAACTTACTTGTGGAGTAAAAGCGAAAATACGATCCTTAAGAGAATATAATTTACTTGTGCTCAATATACCCACATCTCGGGACTTACGACCTGTTAAACCTAACTTCCGATTGCGACCCAAATACGTGTATAAATGGCTAAGCACGCGTGCTGGCTGTACTTCGATCGGCACTACCTCGGCTATTGTTTGTACGTGCAAATCATGTTCTTTCAATTTATCACGTATTTCATTATCTTCAGCTATGATTACAACTTGTACAACAACATCGGGCTTCTTTTGAGCGCCTAGACGACGATTAAGTGGATCTAATTCTCCAACAGCTAAAAACCCCTGAAATATATTACATATATATATATACGCATTTACATACATATGTATATTTTAACAAAGAATATGAAAACTTTAGATGGACGATTGTTTTTTTTTGTACCTCTTGTAGCAAGCGACCTAATATAAATAGGGATTGTCCCCAAAGGAACGGACATCTGCCAACGACTTCTCGAGGTTGTGACCCCGGATGTTGATACTCGTTTGATACCAAATCATGTGGCACTGCATAACTCTCTGGTATAAGCAAAGTTCCGTCATCCGCTCGAACCATGATTTTCTGTAATTTGTAAATATAATGTGCCCTTTATGTGCATTTAAAAGATGTTCAATAAATACCTCTAGACGATCTGCATATTCTTTGACTGCTAATTTATCGCTTTGGAAGGCATGAAAAAGTATTAAATAACAATAAAATAAAGGCCATTCACATTCGATGTTTTCAAACATGCGTAGCTCCCAGCGTTCGTAGTACAAACGGGATGGGTCTTCCTTAGGTGTACGGTAACCGTCGCGTAAAAAGCGTTTGCAGCCATACTTTCCTTGAAGTCTAGACAAAATAGCATCCTTTGTGTTACGTATCAATTGTGGATCATCTGCAGCAAATGCTGGAAAGCCGATTACGCAAAGTAAACCAGAGTCAAGTTCTTTGCTGTTCGATTCACGTGGCAACATTGATTGTAAAACAGCTTGGCATTTGTGTGCCTCATCTGCTAAAACATGAATTACACTTGCCGGACCACCACGAGCGCCAAACAAATCTAATTCGTTCATAGCTTCTAGGGCTGCTTTGGCCATGCCAATTGAACTAGCATTTAATTCCGGCTCACCTGTTCAAAAATATTATATTGAAAAGTTTTTCAAACATTGGCCTATATTTTTACCGTGATTAGTTTTATCCCCTCTTTCCCAAATTCCGTAATCGGGAATACAATAAGCTGACTCTATATAAAATACCAGATTTTGGATAAAAGAAACTTCATCTAAAGAGAAAACTATCTGCAATCCTGAGGCTGTCATTTGTGCTAAAATCAAAAGGTATAAGGAGACGGCATCGATTTGCAAATGACCCCACTCTCCATCACCGACAACCGGTTGTCCGTTTTTGCTTGAATATTTTGCATGCAATGAGTCCAATGGATTTTGCGTCATCTTAAATCGTTCGACTTTATCTTTTTGATTCATCATTGCCATGAGTAAACCACGCATTAATTTCACGCAGCTTTGCTCCAGTTCATAGCATTTAGCCCGATCTTCATCTTGGTCAGCTATTTTTTTATAAGCCATCGATAAACCCCATACAGCCAATATACAGTACACATTATCGCGTATCCAAGCATGTGAATTAATGTTTGAAGCTGGGAATAAGCCCGTGACAGGCTCTTGATGTGCCATGATCAAACGATGGACAATTCGCTGGTAATAGTCCAAGCGAACGCCTGAATTGCTACGCGAACGCATTTTATTATATATTTATATATCAATTCTTTTATAAGTGCAAGTGAGATCAAACTATTTCAAGCGCACTATCTGGGGGTTCTGCTGGCTTCACTTGCAGCCCTCCCTGCACTATCCTTATGTAAGATTTATGATTTTTCTGGAACTTTTTCCTGTAATTCCATCACTGTTAGTTTTCTACATAATTATTTGTAATAAGAAATTTTTTACCAATATACAGTAATTAACTATTTAAAATATTGAGAGCCCGAGAAATAAAAATATTGCCAGATGATCGTCGCAGCGCTTCCGTCTTTCAAAAATGTCACACCAATGTCAAAGTAATCACAATGCCAATCAGCTGATGAAGGCAATCAACGAAAATTAGATATTTTTTAAACATAATATTTTTTAAAACAAGTTTGGTTTGAAAGAAGCGAAAAATAATAATAATACCAGTAAAATGAACGTTGACTATTAACGCTTACTTTTTACGTTTTGAATATAATAAATAACTCGAAAGTTAGTGTCTTTCGATTTTATTTTGAATTGTATGCACCATTCACAATTATGAATTTACATTCCACATTGAGATCGAAGAATCATTCATAATAACTCGTAAACCCTAATTGGTATTATTTTATTCTCTGCTCTCTTGCAAATATTTTAGCGCAAATCTTGATTTTTGGTATATTTAAAATAATTATTTGGAATTTCGAATTGCTAAAAGTTTTTATGTAGCGAACATAATTTGTAGATACATTTGAGTATTGCGGTGTGAAAAAATAAGTGAAATGCGAAGTGTTTTCCAGGAGCACAAAAAGTGTTGACAGTTGCTGCGGAACGAAAACCGAGAGTTATTGCAACGTATTGTATACAAGCTCGATCCTGGTCCAAAGCAAAAGAATTGTACATTTTGAAATATCTAAAATAAGAAAGTGCATCTTTTAGCGGAATTCAAAGTGATTTAACTACGCATAAAGTCATACAGTAAAAGAGAAGGTTTCTAAATACGTATGAATAATGTCGAGAAATGTGTTGGATAGTGATGGGTGTGGAGATGGTGAAGGAGGACGTGGAAACTATAAGGATATCTACGAATTATTAGAAGAATTGTGTAAAAGTTTAGCTGGTCCTACTGAAAATCATAGTAAGAAATTGAATAAATGGAATCATAAAAATTATGCTGCTTCAATTGAATTAAAAAATATTTTGTTAATAAAAAAGTTTTAAGTACATACATGTATTTATGTACGACATTCAATCAGATTGTAATTATTTCAAGCCAATTACGAGTTTTAATTAGTTAAAATTGAAATTAATTTTTCATGAACTGTTTCCGTGCGTAATATTAAATTAATTTGTAGAGTGCATGTTTCTTAATGCTTTTGGTTTGTATTTGCAGGAGAAATTTTGCGTCACGTAACCCAGTACATATCAAATTGTCCGACATCCTTGGGATCCACATTGCCATACGACGAAACTTCAATTTTGACAAAAATTACACATCATCTTGACGCAACTGCGGCTAGAAGTGCAACATCCACTGTAAATCCTTCCGAATCTCAATTTTGTTTAACTAGAGTTGATAGTGAAAGCTTTATTGGGGAATCAAGCGGTATTTTACAAAATAGCGCGTTGTTTTTAAAGTTTCACGAACAACTTAAAGCATCGGTAGGTATTCGTGGCTAAGAAAGTTGAATCATGTCATATAAAAAATATTAATCACGTACCACGGCGCTGTTTATAACACAAATGAATTCATAAATTTTTAGAGATGATGTTTTTATTTTTTAGCTGCCTGATGAGCATAAACGAACTGCTTTGCTGACTTTCTTATATTATATGGCAGATTCAAAGTATTCCAATGAAAATGGGCACAATATTGGTAGTGTTAACAACCACCGCAGTCATTCAATGGCAAGTGCTAATTCCGCACTTCAATCGATCCGTACTCATTTGTTGCATAAATCTGCAGCTCAAAACCTTTCGAAGAATTCTACTCCTTCTACTTCTAATAAAGCTGCAAATGTAAGTAAAATGTAAAAAATAAAGTTTTTTTTTTTTTTAATGTTTTTAATGTTTTATAGACAAATGTATTAAATCGACAAAATTTTATGGATGGTGGCAATAAATCAATTCCAACAAACTCAAATACCTTTAATCGTGTTTGCACAGAAAATGATTCTGCAGGTGGTAGTGTGAGTAGTGGTCAAGGATCACACTTTTTATCTCTGCGGGCTGACAATGGCAAATCACTCGAAGTTCAGCAAAACATCAACGACGACATAGTACAGAACATTATATACGTATTTACGGGCATACAAGGAAAGTACCTTAAAAAAGATTTAATATCAGGGCGTTTCAAGTTGGATACAAAGGCGAAAGCTTTAAACGTTGTTCAGGCGGGTATGCTATTGAGATTGTCTGAATTAGGGTAAGGTAGAAGATATACATTTTCTTTTGCGTATTAAACTATGTTTCTTATATTTTACACTAAGTTATTACCATGATTTGGTACAGTCATACACGGATACAAAAAGCGGCTTATGTCCTTTGGGTCTCATGGGCCAAGGATTTGTTTCGGCACTGAAAAATGAACTCACTAGATATTATGGTATGGTTGCTACACTCCAGGAACAGGTATCAAATAAAACATAATGTTTATTAAAGTTTAGTGCCATAATAACCGATTTTCATGGTACTCATTCTTTCAGTTAAATCGGCAAAGAGAATATGAACATAATACTATTATAAAAGGCAATAGTATTCTACCAATACGGCATGAAAGACTAACGCTGATGAAAATTCTGGTTTGGTCGGTTGATTCACTTAAGAGATTACAATGGCTAGCCACTATTGCCGAAGCCTGCCGAGAGAAGAAAGGCGGCGCTCTTGCTTCGACAGTACATGCTTTTCTCAACAATGGCAACCCAATGGTGAAGTCTCTGGTGCGTGAACTTTTACTTGCCGTTTGCGGACCTCTATATCAAATGCTGTCCCATTGGCTGCTCGAAGGCGAAATCAACGATGCACATGGCGAATTCTTTATTGAATGTTTGGCAGATATTGGCCCCGATCGTTTGTGGCATGACAAATATAGGTTGCGTTCGTCTATGCTTCCAAATTTTGTCTCAACCGAAATGGCTCACAAAATTCTTGTAACGGGAAAAAGTATTAATTTTCTTTGTGAAGTATGTGAAGATAAGAGGCCCGTACAAGGGCGCGATGAACTCCGACAGTGTATTGAAGAAAATGGTAAGAATTGTATTAAGATGCATTTTTTAGTGACTATTAAATAAACTATTTTTCATATGTTTGTTCATATCCAGCGGAACAGATATTTGCTCAAGTCGCCGATACAAAATTGCATTCAACGATCGACACTATCTACCTAAATACTTCGAAACGAGTACTTGACATTGTTATGGGGCCACATAAGCTTCTTGAACATCTTCAAGCAATGCGTCGTTATTTGCTATTGGGACAAGGTGACTTTATTGGGATTCTTATGGAGAATTTAAAGTATGTATAATTTTGAATTAACGGAAACTGATAATTCAAATAATTTTCTACATTTTATAGATGTGAACTAGATAAGCCAGCTAAGGAGTTATACTCTTATGACCTTTCATCGATTATGGATGCCGCAATACGATCTACCAATGCACAGTATGATGACCCGGAAATACTTAATCATTTGGATGTGCGATTGTTAACACCGTGTGACGGTGATATTGGTTGGGACATATTATCTTTACAATATACCGTACGGGGTCCATTGGCTACTATGCTGGAACCCTGTATGGGTATTTATCAAATGCTTTTTAAGCCTTTGTGGCGAATGAGACACATGGAGTTTGTCCTTTCTTCAAAAATTTGGAAGGATCAAAAGTGCAATGCCAAGGTAAGTGCAAGAATAACAAAACATTTTTGTAAATATAATTCAGTTAGAAGTAGAGGTATTTTGCGAAGGTGAAGAAACTACTCTTTACATAATGTTCCGAAGTAAATTGGGCACTTATATATAAGTAACTACACTGCCAACCAGACGGCTAGAGTGGTGGCCGAGGGCTTTACAAAAGAAGTTGTGTTGCCTTACTTAATATTACGAGTATTCTTAAATGAACGTAATACTTACTTTTTCAATAAACTAACAATGGGTATATGGTATCATCAATAGCCATAGTCCCACAGTTGATGAATTTTGAGTAAATTTGGTTTGCATGTTTAAAATACGTGAATGTATGTATGTATACTAATGATATCCACAACAACATTAATTATTTATGAGATGATAATTTCTTTCAGTGTGTGATGACTTTTTAAGGATTGATTAGCCGGTAATCTAATCCCACAACGAACTTTTAACGAACGGAATATGTATGTAAAAATATTCTAGAGTATATATTGATTAAAATCGGTTCTCAAAATCAATGATAACGTACAGTAATATATGTATATACATATGGGTGCCTGTACATATGCACAGAAAAGAGTACTTTTTATTTTTTATTTTCTTATATAAAATACAATTCAAGTAATCAGGTCGTGCTCATAAAACATTTTTCTCAAGCCCTTTGCATATTGTATAAAATTGAGCTGAACCCTCGAATTTTGAACTTATGTATATATGTTAAAACACCAACAAAGAATTCCAATCGTAGAGAGTTTAAACAGTTAAAAATAGTACAGAATGTTTGTAGTTTATGTTGCAAGACTTATTGTCATGTCCTTACAATTTGGCTTCTGTCTTGAGCAGAGGTGCCAATTTTTGTGTTAACATTATGTTGCCAGAGATTTTGAGTTTTCCTTTCATGAAAGCGGCCTGTGGATTCAGTTTTCCAAGAGCAATGTCTACCATGTCCTCATCAGCTACAGTTAAGGTAGTATCGACTTTGATACCTTTGGCAGGACCCTCGTATGCTTTAGCATTTTTACAATCCAACGCTTTAATTAGAATAAATTTAAAAAGACGATTTGAGACATATGCACTTTGGACTTGCACAATTTAATATGTGATCAACTTTATACTTCGCTATTTGATATTTCTTTCGATATTACTGTCTAAAATCAACATGCAGTATTGAAGTATATACATAACTCTGCCTAGTAAAACTTACTCCATTCTTTAGCCACTTTGCCGTCTTTGGTGATTTTGTAGAGAAATACTCCATTTATTGCTTTTGCTTTAGATTCATTGCCTTTTAAGCCATCGATAATTTTTTCAAACACGGCATCAGAAGCGAGTGACATTTTCAATAAATTACAGCAATTTTTTTATTAAAAAATTAAAATCTATATGCGACTTTATATTGCACTATAACCAAAGTCCACACTGGCTGATGGTCGAAAAGACAAATGTCAAGTAAAGAGAAGAACTGCCTAGCGTGTGGATTTTATGTCGAGTGTTCATTCAAAATGAGTTGAAATATTTGTAAACATGTTCCTACAAAGTTGTCAACATTAGTTGCATTGCAACATTTGGGCCACAGAATTTGTACCTTATTAAAAAATGATTACTCAAGAATAGATCACAAACGTAACGAAATTTCTTACGTCGTTGACGGTTGAAATTAAAAACTATAATTTATTAAGCATAAAACGTATAGCGGTTACAAAACACCAATGAAAAAAAAAGCATATATAAATATGTCAAACATAGGTCTCGTTTATAAACATATACATACATGCATATATATATGTACATAATTATAAAATCCGTAATTTATTGTTTTTCAGCCGCTTCGTTCAATGGGAATTGAGTTGAATCAAGTGCTCTATCGCTTGCATCTTCTTACATCCGAAATGATACATTTCATACATCAAATGCAGTATTATATACTTTTCGAAGTGATCGAATGCTCTTGGGCTGAACTCCAGGATCGTGTGCAACAGGCCAAAGCTTTGGATGACATTCTCGATGCCCACGATGACTTTCTTAATGCCATTAAATGTGGCGCCTTCCTAGATTCCAGTTCCGGCCAACTTTGTCAAAATATGGAAAATGTTTACGATGGTATTATACGGCTAGAATTATGGCAGGACAAATTCTACGAAATTTGCTTCCAAGAACTTTCAGCACGGAAAGAGTTTGAACAGCGAATTTTAACATCCGAGGTAGCAGGCGAGTTCGGAGTAACAGCTGAAAGTCAATTAGAGCGGGATCAGGATCGGAAGATTTTCGATCAATTGATTGGCAGCTACCACAAATCCCTAGATAATATTTGCGCCGACTATGAAAAGGGTGTACGCTGCTTTCTGCTGGCATTAAATTCACATAACGATCATAACCTACAGCTTTTCGGCATACGATTGGACTTTAATGAGTATTACAAGAAACGTGATCAGCGTCTCTGTGTGCCATTGACTTTCGAGCATATGCGAATGAGTATTATGTTTAATGGGAATAAAAGCTTGGCGGGTAGCCGTTATTCAACAGTGAATTGACATACGCTCAAGTCACTTCGGTGCCAGGGGCCATTTTACACAAGAAAGCACAATAGTAACAATGAAAATATTAAATTCAACAACGTTTGGAATTTACCCTTATATATCTATGATACTCAAACTATGTATTTGAAGCACTGTCTTGAGGGGCAAAGGAGTCATCGTTATATGGAAATCGGCGAAGTAGAGGGAGAAAATAACAATCACCACATTAGTGCCAATGAAATTTTGCCATGTTTAAATACAAGTACTTCAGTTGCAACTACAATACGTCCCATATTTTTAGCTAATCCAGAGAGTGGTATTTATGTGTCTTGTTGTCAGATTTTGTAAAAAAGAACTGTCAAGGTTACATGAGTTTTTGGGAATAATTCGGATTTTTCTACATAAAACATCCACATGAAAAAGGCAATATTTTATCTAAGCATGTAACGGAACGAAATTCACAAAAATATTAAATGAATTAAATTTTTAGTAGGGATTGGTTTTGGTTACAATTTTTAATGAAGATAATTTAAAGTTTATTTCGGTATTTATTAAAATAAGGGTCGCCACATTAGTGGTTAAAGAGAAAAATGCTTGTTACAAACCTAATTGAATTACGAAGTTTCAAGACCTAAATACAATACAGATTCATAATATTTCAAAGTGGATTTTTCTTATTTAATGGAACTTATTGTTTTAAAAGAAAAACCATTTGGTATTATATCTTCAAAATAATTAGTGTTTACATATTGTTGATGAAATATTGAAAGATACTTAAAAAAAAATTTCCATAAAAAAACCGAAATTAACAGTATATTATATTAAATTTAAAAGTTCAGTTAAGACCGTTCTACATTTCTACAACAATAAAAAAAGTCTCTCTGTTGTATGTATTTGTATATATTAACAATATGTAGAAGTAAAAGTGTGTAGAAAAAATAATACTCATGGAAGCAAAGTGCGTTATAGTTGCTAAACAAAATGATTAAAACTTGCCAACTAATGAAATTAAATAAATTCATTTAAATCTAACTATCCCATCTCTTATCTAACGTGTTTGTATATTAAATATATCGAAATATAAATTACTCGATTAAATGGAATTTTTCGCTCGGACTGCAATTCCTCGAATATTCTCTGATAACAGGCTTTCTTTTTTCTTTTTTTTTTTTAGTATAATACACTTTTTCTTAGAAAAGCTCACGCAAAATAGTAGGGCGTTATTAATCCTATTTTGTTGGAGATTTTACGATATCAGAGAATACTTTGATGGGAAAATTTTTAATATTGACGATATAATAAATTTGATAATATTGACTACTGATTTTTATGTACATATGTAGGTGTATAACTTTATTTATTTGATCGTTATGCATTCACTTTATAAACTTACTATGTATTATACAATAGAATCATATTTTATAAGAATTCATATCTTAACTAGGGATTAAGTAATGCATATTAACGATTTCCCTTTTAATCTGCTACAGTAGGATATACGATTGTTGATGCATTTATAAATCAATATTCTTTGTGTTCATAATTCATATCTCGACAAACTGTCTGGATGTATAAGCTTATATAATATATATATATATATAATTAAAGTTTCTAAAGCAAAGAAAGATGTTTTCAAGTGTTTGCAGTATTAAAGCATACACATGAGACAAAAATGCCAAATTTATACAGCCGAGGAGGTGTACAAGTTTTGGTTCCAAACTGTTGGTTGCATCAACGATACACATTCTTCTGGCGTAAACAAATAAATTCTATTTACATTGTTAAATAAAATCCATAGAGATGATTTTGTATATATCTTAGCAATGGAGTACGTCTTTCACAAAGCTTTTAAATGTTTTTAAGAACGAATTTTAATTCATACAATTCGCATTCAGTGTTAAAAAAATTAAAAAAAAAGATAAAAAAAACCTGTTGCAATTAAAGTTTCCATTTCTCAATCAACTTTGAGTTGCGAAATATATCATATTGAATATCTCCTTGTTTCGTGTCGATATAAGTGTCTCTTCTATGAAACTTTACTTCACAAAGCATAATTGACCCTGCCCATTTTACTAATCCTATACATTTATTTTTCAATTCATTATTGAAGCTTGCAAGAAAAAAACTGCAGAGGACGGTTATGCGCGTACAATGTAACAAAAATACATTGCTTAAATTAAATGATTTCCTTGCTTGGTGTTGAAATGCCAATGGCTTCTTCGTAGCCTCCTATTGACGATGCATTACTATCCTTTTTCTTCTCCTTACCTTCGTAACGGTGATGATGGCGTTTGCTCTTTTTTTCTTTCTTTTTGATATAATCTTCTCCACTGATATCTTTAGATTTATGCGATTTATCCTTCTTTTGTTTTTCTACAGTCACGGACATCGGTGCTAAGCTTTCCTCATTTTCTGGAGAAATGTCCAACAAGTTGGTGTTCTTTGCATTATGGGATTTTTTCTTTGTTTTGGATTTAGTGTGCGTTTTCGATGCTTCGGTTGTCTCAATGCTTTCAGATTTCAAAGCAACTGAATCTTTCTCCTTGGATTTTTTCTTTTCTTTTTTCTTGTTACTGATAGTATCGCTTGACATAGTTACAGGATTGTTATTTTGATTACTCGGCGCAGATTTAGCTTCGCGCTTCCGCGTTTTGGGTTCTTCTAGATCGGGACTTGAAATGAAAAAATATTGTATTTATCATTGAAGAATTCAGAAAGTTTTGCAATGTATGACTTACATGTCCAATTCAATATTTAGCGCACGATGGGGATCATTTGGATCAAACTTGGAGTCTTTATCTTCACTGTCTGATAGAGCCACACCCTCTGGCATATCCATAGTTGTATTAACTATATGGAGCGGCTTGGAATCTGAATAGTAATATTAAAATGATTTAAATTTTATATTTAGTGAGTTCGGTGATTTTTTTTTTTTGATATCTACCATCTTCAGATTCGGAGCTACTGTAAGCTACTTTATTTTTTGTCTTTTTGCTTTTTTTCGATTTCTTATGTTTCTTCTTCTCCTTATTTATTGTCTTCTCTTGCATAAGGTAGCGATCGGAACGTTTTACTACAATACAAAAGCATTATATTAACTTCGTCAACAACAAGTAATATTGGCTTAGTCAACTTACCACCTATCTGTAGTGGCACATCCAGAGATAATTCCGAAATCGGTATGTCATCGATATTATCATACTGATCAACATTGTAATTTGAATTGCTTGCACTTGCTGGTTTTTGTTTATTTCCATCTGTTACTGAAGGCAATGACTTCAAATAATGTGGATTGTGAGACTGTTCTATCAGACGAGCCATTCGATTCCGTTCAATCTGCTCTGGGGTCAGTTCTTCGCTTTTACGTCGCTTTCCCAATGTTCCCTCCTCACTATGCGCGGCTGATATAAATAGTTCATCTTTGTCCTCCTGCGACGAGTTACTGCTTTCATCTTCAGGTGGCCCATTTATCCACTCATCCAAATCGAGCCCTTCTGGTAGAGGCACTTTGCGTTGTGCTTTCGGTGCTACTGGTATAAGCTCACCATCAAATAGTAATGCCATTTCTTGCACAATTTCAATAGCAAACGTTGGTATAACAGTGAGCGGCTTGGCCAAATTCTTGTTATCATCTGTAGAGATGATATCGAACGAAGTTTTTGTCTGATTTTTGTTATACAATTCAGACCTACTATCAGACACGTGGAATTGCGAACGAAGCATTTCAATTAGAATACAAGCTGAATTTGCACGTTCTTGCACTTCAATATCATTTATACTGCTAAATGTTTGCAGTTTCTCCAAAACATGGTTGCAAAGCTGAAAATTTTCTAAAATTTTTAATCTAGTCAAAAACAAAAGTTAAAATTTTAACCCACTCGAATTAAACTCTCTACATCTTCACTTTCCAAGCATGTAGTGGCCAGTCTTGTAAATATTTTAGTAACATTTTGCACAAATACGCCCTGTATATGGCCGGGTAATTGCCGGGGACGCAATAAAATATTCAACGTCTTCTCCGCATCTTCTAAATCGCTGTAGAAATGAATATCAAAATAAATAGTCGCAAATCCCACACATTCTACGGGCAATTTCTACAAACTTTGAAAATTCGCCTACAATCCATGCTGCTGCATAAAGCACCTCGTACATTGAATGACTTTGAGAGGACACGGGAAATGTGTCTAGCAAGTTCGTCATTTCATTAACTGCAAATTGTCGAACAACTGGCACACGTATAGCAACGTCCAACAGTTGCTCAGCGATTAAACGACCTTAAAAAATAAAAAATCGGCATGAATTTAAGTTACCGAAAAATGAAATGTCAATGTAATTTTCCCAAAAAATAAAGGAATGGGGTACTAAAATTGAACATGTATTGGTAAGTGCAAGTTGCAATTAACCTTCTCCTGCTAACATGGCTATTACTATTTCTGTTAAGTATCGAAAGTAAAGGTGTGTATCGCTTACCATGCTTGGAACCCGCCTCCAGTTGAATTAATTCCACCAAAACAGTTAAATACCATTCGAAATTCGTAACGTACAAATAGGAACTCTGTGAGCAAATCTCAATAACTTTGTAGAGCAATTCATCACGATATAACGATCCCTCCGCGCGCTCCATATGTCCCAATAAACGTTTGACAATTTCCATGAGATTTTTCTTCGATACCATACCATAAAGTAAATCAAGAGACCGAAGCCGAATAGATTCGTCCTTATCGTCTAGACATGCTAAAATCAAGTCTTTGTGTTCCTGCACGCTTTTCGGGTGAGTTTTCAAAATCTTGGACATGGCCAGTAGCCCCAGATATTTCACTGTATGAAGTGTATAAATACATAATTAATTTTCAGGAAAAAAGGATCATTATATTCTTTATATATATATAATATATATATATATATGTTAATTACTCACAATTTTGGTCGGAGTCTTCGATGAGTATGCGCAATTTTTGCACACAAAGCTGTATTGAGGCACTGTGATTTGGCATCCCGCTGCTAATGCTTATCAGCACTGCGATTACTGTATTTATGCACTCATAAAGCAAACTCATTGCGGAAGTACTATTGGAGCAGAAATGAAAGCACATTTTTATTTATTATTTTTAAAGGATTTTAAATAAAACAACCAAAATATATAAAAAGAATTGATAGTGTGTAAATGAATTTTTATAATATTAAATTTAAAAAATATTGCAGTTAAAAGTGCTTAAATACGTATTTGCTTTTGCAACAAAATGCAAGAAAAATTAAATGAAAAAGCATATTTAAACTCATGAAGTTTGTATTGAGTTTGCCGAATTTTATAACGAAAAAACGGTAATTGTCATAAACAAAAATACATATATTTATGCAGTTGTATGTACACACACACACAAAAGTTTAAATATTCGAAATTATAAAGACAACAACATGACAATGAGACTTGCCTATGAATAAGATTTGTGAGAGGTTCTATTAATTTCTTTCCTAGCCGGGGTTCTAAAGGAGTTAAAGCGCCAAACTGTAAATGCAAGAGAAAAAGAAACAAGCAAAGAAATTATAAATCATACATAATCACATACAGAAAAATTACTTAAACTAATCAATATTTCTTCTTTATTTAGATTTGGCTTCATCAGTTAATTTTACAGCATTAACACTGAATACACAAATATATGTATATAAATAAATTATATGCATATATAAAAAGAAATATACAACTATTTCAACAAATTTTAATAACCTTTTTCAAGATCAAAACAGACCCTTCCTTATATGTATATAAAGCTTTGAAAATTAATTTTACCCAAATTCTGATATTTTTATATGCAATATAATCGCATCCAAAACTATGAACAGATTGTTAATTTTAGAATATCAAGCTTTAAAATAATTATTTCAGCAATCCCGAATGGAAATGAAGCGTTGAAAAACTGGACACTAGCCGATACCAATGGCCAAAAGAAGTATAATGATATATCTATTATGTATCTAGATGTGAGCAGCAGAATTTATTTGTTTCGTATATTGGAAAACCCTGCCAACTATCAATACAAACTTATTCAGACAAAAAACAAAATTAAATTTGAGTAAAGTACACTCTTTTGCATCGAAGTGTAATATAAACAAAACAATAGATAAGTAAATCATTGAAAAAAAAAGATATAATGAAATAATTTTAATGAAATACGCAACAAAGCTCTGCGTGCATAGAATTGATTTAGCAGAATTATATGTTTAAAAAGTGGTTTAGAAAATCAAAAAGATTTAAAATAAATTATTACAATTTAAAGCGGAGGCTGTGCAGCCAGCACTTTGGTATAAAAACAAATTAATATTAAATCGTGAATTAATTAAAAGTAATTCAATAAAAACCTGGAAATAATTTCAATCAAGGGTTGCGTTAATTTGCGTCCTAAAGCTGGCTCGATTGTCGTAAGGCTTGCAAACTTGTTGTGAAATGTTGTTTATTATCGATTTGTTCGATTTCAGCCGCATTATTAATATTCGATATAATCAGTTGATTTAGAGGAGGCAAAAGAGAAGTACGGAATAGATTATAGAACAAATTTTATAAGAAAACTTTCAGTAAGTTTCTTCTACGTAAATATAAGAAGTTTACGAATCCATAAGGAAAGAAGTATGAAAAATTTAACTACATACATACATTATTTGGGTTTGCCACCAATCATTTTGTTATTAAAATAATACTTATATAACATAGTTATATTTAAAAGTTTAATTTTAAAGGTATAACTTAAATAATATATATTATATAATATTCATATGCATTTCAGCATATACTCACCAGCTTAATTATTTTAATTAACATCCAGTTATTGGTTGAAGTTGTCATGAGCTTGAAAAATACAGGTGCTAAAGGCAGATAGTTCTTAGGATTTTTGCGAGCCAACTCACAGATCACATTGACAGCTGCGGATTGGACACCTTCGAAGACATATACAATATATATAAATGGTTCACATGTATAAAAAAAGAATTTAAAATTTTTAACTTACCTGGGTCAGGGTCTTCAAGTTTTTCCTTTAATTTAGGAAATGCAGGTCTCAGTGCTTCTGGATAGCGCAAAAATACTTTATACATCATAAGGACGGCCTTCATACGTAAATAAGGTTTAGTCGAACTCATCTAATAATATGTAGAATTTGTTTTATATATTAATATTACGTTTGATGCATATTTAACACCTACCAGTGTCATAATATCATTTGCTAGATCTCGTGATAAGTCCGGGGAGATAAAACAGCTTAGTCCACTTAGTGCCACGCCAGCATCATATTGATTTTGTGAATTCAAATCTTTTCGAATCATATTTGTTGTTAACATTAATAACTAGGTAAGAGGTTTGTATAAATGACCATTATTAGTTATATAATGGTAAATATGTATACCGAATTAATAGAGTGTCACTTACTTCGCTTTCAGGATGAAAACATTGACTTGCCGCCAGGTACCCAATGCGTTTACATGTGAACCGAGAGGAACTCATTACCTCAATAATATTGAATCCGGCCCAAGAAATGTCGTATCCAAGCATTTGTATCTATAAAACAAAAGAACTTTTTCATTAATTACTTGCCTTAACTCATAAGAATTCAATTGACATATAATAAGAAAATCAATAGCCACTTGCCACTTATACATATGTGAATGTATATAAAATAGGCTATGGGTAAAACAATGCATTTCATTGATGACAAGATTTACCGTCTCAAATCTATTATACCATACTCACATAAGTTAATTTAGCTACAGCATTACATTTAACGCTGATGTTATCCTGGCGCAATTCCAGTTTGATTTCTTCTATACATTGTGCTATATACTTGGCCTAGAATAAAGATTGAAGAAGAGATGATTAAATTATTTTAACATTAAACTTTTACGCTTTTAGGGGATGAAGAAGATTCAGTGAATAAATCCAAAGTGGGCTTAACGACTTTTTTAATAATTTACAAACGTCAATTACTGTTTCCAACCGCAAACACTACATATGGTATGTGCTTTACTACCACTGAAGTGTTTACGGCCGAGCTCCTTGTACTTAGTTGCGCCTTTTATTTTAATTTTTGTTTCAACAAATGGAAGGTTTTAACCTTCATTCAAACGGACAAAGTTCTCGAATGGATTGACATTTCCAATTCTAGACATTATTATTATACTGGTCTGACTCGAAAGGATTCGAGCACGTACTAAGTGCTAAGGATTCAATATACTGGTACGATCAACATCCAAAAGTTATAGAAAATTAAATTAATTTTTCTAATAGCATTCGCCCTTCAGCAGGGAATTTCAACCCCTCCGAGTGTATTTCTGACAAGAAATAAATGCTCCAGTATAGTATAAACTGTTGGACCCTCCATTTGTTGTAAAAACGCTTCAGCGGTTACATATATATAATATTTAAAATGTACTCAGTCAATAAAAAAGTAGAAATGTGATAATAGTGCGCAAGAAATTTCTTAATATATTTTGGTATGTTATTGGTCTTACCTCGTTATCCTTATTATTCCTTATACCACGCACCAAATCAGTAAGGTTCTTGTCGAACATACGCTCGAAATTCCCTTTCACCTTCTTCAAAGCCATTTTGCTCAGTTAATAATTGGTTCTCAAATAAATGGTTATTAATATTCAGACTCTTTTAACTGCACATATAAGTTAGTTCATTTACTTGATTTTTATATTTCTCTTTCCTTTAAAGTATTTTACAAAGGGATATTCTACAAAGTTGCGCCTGTAATTTTTTTCCCTGGCATTCACACTATTGATGATGTCGACAGATTTTTCTTCACTTTTTTGATTGATTTTTTTTTTTTCACCTAATAAAATTGTTTCACTATATTGGAGGCGATTAACTTTTTCTGTGCGCGATTTATTAGTTTCTATTAATTAATTAACACTAAAAATAATTTATTTTCTAGGTAATATTAGCTAAAAACAAATATAATGCAAATTTCAACATAAATTCGTTTTCAGCTTTCTCACAGTTTCTCATACCGATAAATGAATAAAAAGGAAAAAGTGTAAAACTGGATGCAGCATAACAGCGTTACCGTATTCAAAAAAAATATTCAAAAATTTTTATTAGGTGGCTAAAGCCGGCGACAGATAGAACTCTTGGACGACGTTGCGCGACTGATTGACTTTACCTACGAAAGTACCCTTATAAGCAATGCATTCGCCCTTCAGCATTAACGCCACACCAAACGATTAATAAAAGAAAATTTCCATTTCCCCTTTTTACGCAAATTTCATAGAATTGAAGCAAAAATCTTTAAGCCTTGCAAAGTTGTGATCAATTTAAATTTTTCTTACCCCTTTCATTATAATATTATTAAAAAAATAAGAATTTAACTAAGGGAAAATTAACTTCGGTTTCGTAATGGAGCGAGAAGTGCATATTTCACGCTTTTTCGGACAATCTTCATTTCACATCAGCTGCCGTTAAATATTAGTTATGTTCGGTGACTAGATGGGTAGTAACAATTTATACTGAATTTTACTGAAAACTCAGTAAAATTATTAACGAGATGGTACAGTTTTGAAGTTTAGTTTGGAGAGAAAGTTGCAAATTCGTGCTGGAAAGTTTTAGCTAGTCGCTTCGTCTTTGTAGACGACTGTAAGAAAAAACATATTGGTATATTTATCAGTGGACGACTATAAAACATGTAGAATTTCATCATAATTAGTAAATTAAAAATTCTATATTGCCAATTTTAATAAAATACTTAGGAAAATACTTAGAAACAAAAAAATAAGACTTATAAATGAACGGACTCAAATTTAACTGCCAAAATAAACAGCTGTTATGCAAAGCAGTACTGTTATGAAAGCTCAGTAAATTTCTTATTCGGAGTGTGGTCAAACTTCTGGGTATGCAGTTACAGCAGCGGCAACCCTTGTGTAAGATGCGGTAACCAACCCGTGACCGTAGGGCTTGAAGCAAGCGGCTCGCTATGTAAATGAGTAAAAACTTTAAGTATACTCGCCTAGCGAAGTTGTGCGCTGGGTGTGGAACCTGTCACGTAGAAACCATCTCCAATGAAAAAATTTATTACGCCTTGGCATGCACCTGGAATGTCCGTCCCTTAATTGGAAAGGTGCCGCTGACCAGCTGATTGATGTCCTCGTAAGAATTAACGCTGACATCACCGCCGTCCAAAAAGTGCGATTGACGGGACGGAAGGGTGTAGGAGATCGCATGCGCGACTCGACGCCCACGCCACCGCTGACAGTCATAACTTTGAAGCCGTATATTTCGGAACCAGTATTAACACCAACAACAATGCCAGCCTAGAAATTCAACGCAGAGTCGCTCTTGCCAACAGGTGTTACTTTGGACTGAGCAGGCAATTGAAAAGTAAAGTCCTTTCTTGACAAACGAAAACCAAACTATAAAATTCGGTGACATGCACGATGACAACATCTGATGAGTCGGCATTAGGAATTTTCGAGAGTAAGAGTTGGGAACGACGAATACCGCAGCCGATGTAATGATGAGCGCTATGAGACCAGGTTGAGGATTTGGTGAAAAAAATGGTACAATTGGCTATAATCGCGTAAGCGGTGTCTACGCCAGAATATGAGAAGAAGACATCTTGTTCTCTCAATTTCTTTACTGGCTAATTTTTTTGGACATTTCTCAACGAACACAGCTATTATTTGGCCAACGCTATGTTAAAGAGCATATTCCTTGAATATAGGTTTTTAGTAACGAAAAAATTATTTGTCTAATAGATCGTTTAATCAGGCGTAGGAATCTTAGACATTAATTATAACAGCTGATTATGCTACTATTGTCTTCATTGGCTTACTAGAAATCGCCTTAGATACTGTCCTCTTAGATTACTCTGTGAATCTGAAATAATAATCTTATCTAATTTCCGAACGATGCTATGATCCTTATGCTTTGGCTAAACTAGTATACGTGTACCTAGTTTATTGTGTATAATGACAAATCTGAAGCCAAGCGTAAGTTTTTTAAGTATGTATAACTGCACCTAATTTTTCTAATTTGGTTTAATATCGTCATTATTAAAACATTGGACGTTTAGGTTAAGATAAAATACTTCTACGTATTAAATTTATTTAGGCAATAAATATTTCGCACTCTCAATATATTGGAATACGACTTATAGAATGTTAATAAAGAAATACAAAACGTTTGGGGTGTTATGGGATGAAATATTTTTGTCATCATTAGAATATTAAAAGTTTTTCGACTTCTTAAAATTAAATGAAACAAAGTGAAATATTTATCAAGTTGATGTACCCACAATATTACATATTTACCTTTTACAATTTTACACAAACTTTAAACTCTTTAATAATTAATATGTATGTATATGCTCATGCATCTCATGATTTGTTGTTCAAATATTTGGTAAGAATAGCTTCATTCGCAATTCTCCTAAAAAATAACAAATAAAACTATATTTTAAGTATTTTATAAAATAAAAATTATAAAAACTGTTGCCCGAAAACAATATATAGTATACCGGCGTTGTGAAAAAATAATTAATACATATTATATTTCTCTGTGAGAGGCAAAAAAAATTTGCAAAAAAATCATTATTTTTATAGTTTAAATGCATACTTTTAATATATTATTTTCGACAAATCAAAGCTAATACACCAATCTATAGTTTTTTTCATATCAAGGTTTTAATGTTAACTTAAAGTTGGTTGCATTAAGAGGTCCCTATATCATAAATTCTCTGTTATTAATCCTGATAGGTATTAACTTTTCCTTTGGCATTATTTTGAATAATGTATTACTGTTTAGATTAATGCATAATTAATTTATTTGTTTCACAACTCCGAATATATACCCCTCCTTCTTAATATAGCATGAAATATGTAGGTGCATACAAAGTCATTATTGAATAATTTACATAAATAAAATTATTCCTCCAATAAATATGCGATATTTATACTCTCGGACTCGGGCACATCAGCAGCAAGATGACTTTTCCGGCTCAGCCATAACCAAATTAAAATCTAAACTATTTGGTCGGGCAAACCCAGTTTTTATACCATCCCAACCATCCTCAACTTTGTATTCTCCAGAACGTATTCGCGTATATACCTCTTGTGTAACCATACGAAAAGCCTCTTCTACATTAACTCCATTCCTAGCTGATGTCTCCACAAAATGCAGTCCATGTTCCTTGGCAAATGTCTGTGCTTCCTCAGTGGATACCTCCCGACGGCCACCAGCGTTAACTAGATCTAACTTGCAACCAACCAGCGCGAAAACAGGCCGATGTGGTTCAATATGACGTTGGGCTTCCATCATCCAAAGCGGAATATGTTCGAAGCTAGCGTAGTTGGTGATGTCATATACTAACAGCACTCCGACGGAGTTCCTGTAGTATGATTTTGTTATTGAACGAAAGCGTTCTTGGCCAGCTGTGTCCCATAACTGCAATTTTATTTGCGTTCCATCTTTCATTTCCATCAGACGTGCAAAAAAGTCCACTCCCACTGTGGGGTCGGAGAGCTAAAAACGGAGGTTGGTTAATCATAATGCAAATAGTTATAAACGCAATAACATAATTATATACTTAGATAAGTATGTCAATACCAATATTAAAATGATCCAAGCATTTGCCCTGTTATAAAAGTGGGTATTATCAAATATTATATATGTATATATGTAAAAGTGTGTTCCTTTGTCTCTAAACAATTATGTAATTTACATATCATTATTATTTGTTTGTTACTGCGTTTTTGTTTGTTTTCATTTGTTTTTGGTAAATGTTGGGATGCTCAAAATAAGATTTCCTCACCTCAGCGAATTTACCATCTGTAAAAAATTTCAAAAGTGAACTCTTGCCCACTGTACTATCACCAATTAGAATTAGTCTGAATTGGTAATCGAAAATAGGTTCAACCATCCTTTAACTGTTTTATAACAACAAATGTAATACAGCAACGTTGCTATAATTCTGGCACCCTTTATTCTGGCGACGAATATATACTTTTCTTAGTCACTTCCAGCAATTTTCCTTTTATGCGTTGAACTTTTTAATATCAAAGTATTAGATTTTACTTTTGATAAATTTTTATTTGACACCAATATTCATTTTTTTTCTTTGTGTATCTTAAGGTTTTTCAATTTTATGCTTGCTTCAAATATATTCCCATTTGGGAGTTCAATTCAGTCTTAATTTCTCCCCGGGAAATTAAGTCGTAAATATAATTGAATGTCCACTTGCTCCACTTATGGTACGAAAACTAATACTTTGTTTATAATATTTGGAAAAATAGCTAATTGTTTTTGTTATTCACTTCATCGTGTTCGTTAAGAAAATTTGTTGCTGATAATCGAGTGTGAGGGTGATAAAAAGTGGTTTGCCTTCAAATGTCAGAAAAAATTGACAAAAAAAGAAGTGGAGTGAAAATAAGCTAACACGGTAAGCCCCGTTTTGATAATTGTGAATCATGTCTATGACAATAAAAGTAAATTATTTTGTATGCTATCGCATTCACCTACGTTTTCTGGTCTCTTCACCGTGAATAGTAATGAGCACACAATCCTAGAAGAAGAACGTAAACAAACACATGTGGAATAGTTTCTGTACAATTATTAAGTAAAAAAATTATAAAGTAAAAATCATCAGAAAATGGCACGCAAAAGAAAAATTCCTGCTCGGAAACACCATGGAGTGCGAGATCCTCTAAAACAACTTGAAGAAAAAGAAAAAAGGTATTGATATATAAGATGTTTCATTAATTGCGGTACCTAATTAATATATATAACTAAATTGTTCAGACTTAGTAAAGTTACAAATAACCCACCTGAGCGGGACCATCAGCAAGTATCTTTCAAATTCACACAATTAAAAAAGTTAATTGATGACGCAAAAGCTGGGAAAAAACTTAAACGCATACACAAAGGCCAGGAAGATAAACCGAAAGATAAAGTAACGCATACAAAAAAAGTTGGCCATATACAACAGTTGAAGGAAGAAACGGATGAAGATTATCTTAAGCGCGTAAATAGAATCACTTCACAGTCTTTACGGGAAGCACAGTACGAAGCTAAGTATGGGGTTAACGTCATACGTAACCCTAAAACTGGAGAGATCTCATTAAGTAAGAAGCCAAAAAATGAGATCGATGAATTAATTAAGGAAAGAAAAAAGAATAGAGGTAAGGGCAAGAAAACAATTAATGCTGGAAAGCCTTTGGATCCCGTAGTTGCGAGGGATTTGATAAAACAGGCAATTAAAGAAGACAAAGAAGAGGTAAAATTTGTATAGTATAAAATTTACACTAATGCAATTTATTTCTTTTTTGCACTATTTCCAGAAATCCAATGAGCATCTTGATTTTGAAGAGTACAAACAAGATTATGTACGCTTTGGAGAAGTTGTACATGCTCCTCCAACTCTTTCAACATTGCCACGAAAAGCTCAAAAGTCGGAAACAGTGCCTAGGGTAAGGCAATAGGGTTTTTATTTTATTTTGCAAAAACTTATATTCCATTTGTTTTTCAGCCTGGTAAAAAGTCCAATTTATTACTCAAATCACTACTACCAGAGACTAAAAGTGAAGACGTATCATTAGAGAAAAAGTCTAAAATTACTGGAGGTAAAACAGAAAAGGTGAAACTTAGTGGTAAAAGAAAAAATCTTTCAACGGCTGCAAGGAAAATGATTGAAGAAGAACAAAACAAATTCATTGAGTTATATAGGAGTATGAAAAAAGCAAAAGTTAAAAATTAAAACAAATAAGCTAAGCTGTACATTTTAATTTTTATTTTGAATTAAAATATAACAAAGTTTTAAATAAAAACCCCTCATTTAATTGGTTTCTTCCTTCAACTAGTGGTTTATAGCCAGTTCTGTGCAATTTTATTTTGATAAAGCAGTATTTTTTTATAATCATTTAGAGTCTAATAGTTGATTAATATACACAGTGTAGATGACCGAAATATAGTATTGGTTCGTTTAATTTCAACTCAAAAGTCGAAAGAGTTACACACTTATTTTAAAAAGCCTCAGACCGTTTTTGTAAATGTTGTGCAAAACGTTGCGTGATTAGTAAAGATGTATCAATAAAACGATCAACACAATTGCTTAAACATGTTTCTGTTGAACTGTCCAGTTTTGATCCTGGTTTACCGATGCACTTTTCCCAGCAAATGTCGTTGAACTCATGTATCTGTAATAAAAAGTATATGTGTTTTGAAGTTAACATTTGAATCGTTAAGAAAGGTTATAATTTACTACTAACCTGCGCGTTCACTTGAGCCTTTTGTTTCTCAATCATTAAGAACTCCTGAAGTTCTTTGTCACTGGCGGCCGACGAAAGTGAATCAAAATCAGACATCCTTACTACTTTAATTTAAGCAAAACACCTTAAACACAAGAACTAAATTTCACCAATCTCTTTACAAGTTTCTAATCAAAAATTTATATAACCTCAATCGCATTATGTTCCACAAACAGACAGACACTATTACATATGTTTTGAATTATAACCAGACGTCTAGACAGAAAAAATTGGTTAGATTAATGTTACCTGTTGGCCAAAACTGAGTTAGGATATTGATAACCTTTGTTCGAAAGTGAACTGCTACATCGCCGACCTGTTCCACTTCTCCATTGCAAGACAGCTTAAGATACTACCGAGACGAAAATGAAGAAGGAAATGCGATGGACGAAAAAAGAATGGAACGAGTTTTTTTAACATATTGCTTAACCCATGATCGCTGCCCCCGCTACAATGTGAAACTGTGCTCAGGTATTTTAACGCCAGGGTGAGACCCGAAATATGAATGGCTGTAGTACTATTGTAGATTCCAGTACAAGAAAATAAATCAAGCTTCTTGGCTATCTCCAGATCGTAAAACACAAAACTAGTTGCATATCCTTGCATGCATACATGTCGTCGGTGTATCAAAACATGATTGATCCATGCAAGGATACGCATCCTCTTCTGTGCAACAAAGAACGCGCGTCAACATTCAGCGTTGAAAAGCTACATTCACAACAGATAATCCAACGTAAAAGTGGAAGGTGCCCCTAATAGCGAGAAGGTTTTTGGTTTAGCTCTTATGACATTCGCTGTCATCGTTATTGTAACAGCTGTTTTTTTGCTTTATCTGAAAGCTGAAAAAGCAAATAAATGAATTGTTTCGCCGCACATAAATTAAAAACTTTTTAATAGTTCGTTTTATCGAATAATATTAAGGATCTGGTGGCAAAAGTTCGATTGTGCACATAAATACAAAAGGAAACTTATGATGATCTATATAAAATTATAATTAATATCTTAATGTCAGATAGACGGTTAAAATTCTAAATCATCATAATGAAAGAACAAAATTTATTGCTTACACTATCACAATCCCTAATTGGTAGGTATTTTTATGTTCCTAATGTCAACATTTTATTTATCGTTATCAAAAACGAAGTTTTATTCCTTTAATATAGAATATCTACATTTACAAACTAATGTATGAACATATGTATGTACGTATGTTGATATTTAGCAATATTTTTGATAAATAATAAACCATTATTTCATAGGCACCGGCTTTTTCTTTCTTTATGTGCAACATGTGCGGTCGATATTTGAGTCCCGTACCAATATTGCACATTTAACACAATTGGAACGAGAGTCATTGTTTCGACGTGAAGACTCATTATACTATTCATTTTATAAGACACTCACAGATGAAAATGACTTTTGGAGTGGTTACAATAAATTAAAAAATGTATCTGGGATTGAATATCCAGAAAATGTTAATGTACTGCAACGGTTCCATGTACTTCCTGAATTGACAATAGCGTATGTAATGCGGAGATTAAATCATTATCAAATCGGTTTATAAAACACAATTTAATTTAATTTACAGGTACCTTTATCACATTTTAAGACGCTATGCCTTCACAGAAAAGTTTCCGATTCTTAGCTGTTGGCACAGTAGTGATATAAGTTTACCCTTGGAACATCGGCATTGTGATGGAATGGGCCAGCCCATGCAATTTTATTTGGAATTTGTATGGCTGCTTGGCGGTTTGACTGTACTAGTGATCTATATATATGGGACATTACTTAGGTTGAGTACCAGAGAGTTTTACAATATTTGTAATTAATTAATTCACTAAAAATTTCGTATATATTTTCAGTGAAAACATTTTTGGTGGCATTTATGCAGTGATTTCTTATGTAATGTTTCATAGCTTCGCCTCCAAGATTTACAATACTCCTCTTGCTCGTGAAAACTTCGCGTTTCCTGTCATATTTATGCAAATGTTTTATCTTTGCTTGTGCATTGATCGGGTCACGCAACGTAGAGCATATCATATGCGTTTCTTTATTGTAAGAAAAATTTCTTAATTATATAATATTTTGCCGAAGGTGTTTAATTATTTAATATTTTGTATGTACATATATATTTTGCAGACTGTGAAATTGACATTGCTAACCACTGTAGCTCTCCTCTGCTGGCAATTTTCTTCAATTATTTTTGCCACCCAACTTCTTATTATGATGACACCTTGGTCCTTAAGTCCGGTATCCGAGGTGGTTTCTAGTGCATTTACCATTGATTATTCGCTTTCTCAACTAATCGCCACTGTACTTGCTTATTACTTTTCTTATTCTAACAAAACATACGTTTTTTCTTGGCATGTTGGTCCGGCATTTGGACTTTTCTTGCTCAGTGTTGAAAGGCAAGTAAAGCCACAACCTCCTAATAGTGGCTTTTCCCTTAAAAGCATGTGGCCTGGTTTATTAGCGGCGGTAAGCGCACAAGGAACCATAATTGAACTCTTTGAGAAATCAGGGCTGGCACGCTCAGTTGATAACGGATTTGCTTTGTATCGTGATTTGATTGTCCATTGGGGCTTGCAGGCAAAGGTTAATTTCACAACGAGTCTTGCTGCATGCAATCCAGCCTATCATAATTTAAGTATATCCAATTTGTGGGAGCTCATAAAAACGCTAATCATTAAACCATACTGTATGTATGGTGTTGTAATGCTAGCAAAGTTTTTTCGCAAATGGCGTAAGGGCAGTGAAAAAAAGACTCCCAATAGAGATAATATAGAGCGAGCAAAGAAGTACGTGCTTGAAGATTATTTAGAAGAGAATCACATATCAATGGTTGACATGTGGAATAAAGAAACAGAAAACGAATTAAATGAATGTCTCAAGCTTTTAGAAGAATGCGACTTTGATTACCAACGCTACAAACAAGAAAAGACAAAATCCAAAAACAACAAAATTGATGAGCATGCAGAGTTCATGAACAACATAAAGTTGTTAAAAGAGCAAATAAAAGAACGAAATCAACAAAGAGAGCATGAAAATACTAGTGCTGCGACAAATGCAACTAATTTTAAAAATATACAGGCCCAACAAGCCAAAAGTACAGATGATAAAAAGCCGTCCAAAATTAATGTAGATGCAGTAGATGGCGACAGGTCAAGCGCAAATACAGAAAATGTGGAAACAGTGACTGAGACGGTTGATGAAATGAACAGTGAATCAAGTAACATTGGCGACGACAATAAAGGAGCTCGCCGAGCACGGCATAAAGCTGCGAATTGTGCAGCTTCCAGGGCTGAATATCATAATGACATATTCAGCTTTCACTATCTCTACAGCTTCATGCAAATGTTGGTTTTTACTGCTTTCGGTCTCAGTATCAAGAAATTATTCTTCCTAAGCTTTACTCAAGGTTGTGTGATTGCGCCGACAATATGTTCTAAGTTTTGGTATCGCAAACAACGGAATATATTTTGGTCAGTATCTCTGGCAGTTTTCTTAACGAGCGTGGTAAATCCCGGTTTTGTGGTGAGTATTAATGTAAAGACTATTTTTTGATTTTAATTGAAATTTCATTTCTCGTAGGTATGTTGAATTATAAATCAGTGATTGCACATAACAAAAATATTTTAAATTCATAAGAAATTGCATTATTACAGAATATACACGAAGAATACTTTCCTAATCGACAAGGAGTTGTTAACGATGATTTGGATAGCATGTTGGAATGGATTAAAATTAATACTGAACGGGATGCTGTTTTTGCAGGTACATAAAAATGAAGTTGGAATAATGGACCCATCAAAATATGACTACTTTACAAGGTTTATAGAGTAGAAGGTTACAACAAAAGAGAAATCATTTGTTTAATGATGAAGTTTGTTCAATTTGTGGGTTGTCGAAAATTAAAAAATAAAAATACATAATTTTGTCTAAGAAAAAGCGTAAAATTTTGGTATAAAGCCCTAAACCTTGCGTGGAATTTTTTTGTTTAATTAATAACAATGTATTATAATTTTCAAAAATTTTGAAAAATAATCACATTAAGTAAATTAATATTTTTTTAACAAATATTTCTATAGCTAGCAAGTCTAACTTTTGGTGTCATGTAATATGAATGGCATTAGGAAATATTGCCAAAAATATAAAAAATGATCAAAATTCTATATAGAAGCCAATAGAAACCGATTTTCTTCGTCTGCTAAAAAGCTTTTAGTAAATAGATAACACTTATTTTTTGAAAAAAATCGTGTTCAAAAATTTGAAAAATAAATGGGAAGTGAAGAATACCGACTCCTCGCACCGGTGAAAACTAATTAGTTCCCCCTTTTTCACGAATTTAATTTAATTATTTAACATTTCTTGTGCAAATTGATATTACAGGCGCCAGGGGGTGAAAAGGACCGACCTCCTAATTTTAAAAAAGCCCATATTTTCAAAACTGCTTAAACGGTTTTCTTAAGAGTGGTACCCATATATATACATTTCAGGTGTACAACTTTGCTTCCGCCGTTTTCGAGCGAACAACTGTCACTGAAACGGGTATGACAATTCGTTAGGCTTTAAAGGCATCGTTAGTATTTAAAAGTAAATTAATTAAATAGAGTGCAAAATTTTCTTTAATTTGATGTACAATATGTAAATATTTAAATCACCGTTTAAGAGTTATATACATTTTTCCCTCTTTGTCTTGCACTTCATTCTTATGTGAAATATCTTTGTAAGTTGTAAATTAAATTATAACCCTCAGCCGGACCAACACCAGATTAAAGCCATCTTTGCTAATTTAAATAAAATGTAATAGGTACACATGTTTTTTATAACAAGTCAACATCTAATGAAATTGGGTACTCTAATCTAATTTAAAACAGGGACAATAAGCCACTTTTTTTAATAAAATATTTGTTTTTCATAAAATAATCTTTTTTTTAATCCTCTTTTTGTTTAAAACTTTTAAGTATATATATAAACATCTGCATATCAAATTAAAGGTATTTCATTTGTCCTTTGGTGACAGCTGTAAAGAAATCGGTTAAATTTGGAATTAACCCCTTTACCACCCCCTGGCGCCCATAATATTAATTTGCACAAGAAATTTAATATATCCTTGAAATCGCTTAAATATTCCTAAGAACCCCCACAATTTAATTTTTCCCTGGGCGAGGAGTCGATATTCTGCACTTATACCAAAAGTTGTGTGAGTGTTCTGAAAAATTAAAACATACATTCGGTATTGTTGCATATTCGTTAACCCCCATTTAATAAATTTAATGATACAGTTTTTTGGGATGAAAACTTTAAGCTTTGGCATTAAGAAAACTTGAATTCATCGGATAGTTAGCAATAGAATATATCTGAAAGAATGAAATATTACAAAAAAAAGATAAAGCACTTATTCACATTATGTCGTCTTCGGCAATCAAAACAGCCCACGCTTTGCACCGTAGCTCGTTGTTTGCTAATTTTGTGCCTAGTAAATAATAGTCAAATTTGTGGCTGCGGCGTACGGGGTTGAGTACGTAAGTGCAAAAACACAAGTTGTATGATTTATGCTTTCTTCTGTATAGAAAAGTTTTCCCATGTTTACAGACATATAAATTTTTTTTAAAAGATAAAAATGATTTATTTTTATTATATAAATGCCAAGTACCGCCCACTGTATATATGACGAAGTTGTTTCGGCGACGTCAACGGTTGTCTTAACCTTTTATTCTATAAACCTTGAGTATTTTATTTATTTCAGTCACTGTTTGATTTTTCTTTGACATAATTGAAATTTGAACTGCCGATTAATACTATTTTCTTAAAGATATCAAAATCCTTATAATAGATATCAAAATCCTTATAATTAAATTAATTTCAAAATCCAAAATTTAATTAAGTACCAGGGTGGTGGAGTGGTTTTGAATTTCCTCAATTAGCATATTTTTAATTCTAAAATTAAATTAGCTTACGTTGATTGCAGATCTAAAGCTTTCCTCATCGAAATACATAAATCGAAAATAAAGTTCTTTTCTATTTTTTTTTAAAGGTCCAGTAGATATTATTGGCACAGTTCATTTAGTTACCAGACGACCGATTGTAAACCATGCGCATTTGGAAATGCGGCATATTAGGTAATTTAATAAAGACGTAACTTTTGAAAAATTAACAGTTCATTGACAATGGAAAAATGGTCCTATATTGTAGCGAACGTACCGAACATGTCTATTCAGTGTTCAGTCGTCAGCAGTCGTCTGATATTTACAACCAATGTTCACAATTGAAAGTGCAATATTTGATTATATCTCTCCAGGATTGCAACAACGATATTCGGTATATATTTTTTGTATAAAATGTATATGAAAGTACATACATATATGCGATTTATTTCTTATTATAGTGACGAATGTGACTTACTCTCCATTTGGGATGATATGCAGCCATCATATCGCAAATATCCGCAATTCTGTTCGGAATTGGCCCACAAGAATATACCCAGCTTCCTAAAAGTATTCTCAAATGACTTTTACGGTATTATTAAAATGTTCTCTCAGAGTGTACAGATTAATTTGAAGCCTAGTAAGATGCCCGAAAAAGTGATGTAGCCATGGGCATTTAACGGTTTTCTTGATAGTAAGTAAAGAGAACTCAAATTATGCGGAATTGGTCAAGCGAGGACCATTTCATTTAAGTTACGTTGCTTCTAAACAAAACCTATACTATTTGCGCTCGTATTTTGTATTTATAAATATTTGACGTGAGGCATTTAAACCTCGATTTACTTTGATTATCATTTAGTATCTAATTAATATATGTAAATGTATGTGCTAGTTGTGGTTAAATTAAAAATGAAAACATTTTTAAGAAACAAATAAATATAAAAAGTATATACATATGTAGATCTGTTATTAAAAAATGGTAGATATCTACATACCTAAAACTTTTGCTATTAAAATAACTTTGCAACTATCGAAGAATCGATGTTACAGCCGGTATATAGATAGGACTCTATTTTTATAAGTTATATAAACTAATTTTTATTTGTTTACACATATGTTCTATACTAATTAGTAAATTAAAATTGTTCTCAAAAATTAACGTTTAGACCAAAACAAATTCTCTGAAGGAATTTGGAAAACATTTACCTTTTTGGTTGAGTGTGTCATATACTTTTAATAGACTGCCCGCTTGCATTCCCAATCAAGCTTTTAGCTAGTATCGTTTGACTATCAAAAGAGATAAAATCCCGGCATGAACCGATCTTATATAAATCTTATATATATTTGTTTTTGTTCTGAAAGTCAGCATAGGGTCATTATATATCTATGACAATTTGGCAATAATATTCTTTATAATGCATACATAAAAATACGTAAATATATTTAAACACCTTCAAGCAAAGCTTTTGTTGGCGGACACTGTGCGAGGAATGGGAACAAAGTCCTCTTCATTTCATATTAAAAACAATTTTCAATGTTATTATATAAATGTTTTTTATTATTATTTTATCAATATTACATTAATTTTCTAATTTACTTAACTGTATAATATAATTTTGAACAGTAAATTAAAATTTAACGAGTCTAAATCCATAGCATATTAAAGCTTTTTAAAAAATCCAACGGTCCTTCGAGGGTAGCTCTTGAAACCAACTTAAATAGAGATAATCGGTTTAACGGTTAAAAAACTTTAATTCTCTGTAAAATATATACGTATATATGTAATTTTAAATATTTTATGCATAATATATTATAACGTTATAGAATTTGAATTTGCTTTTTAAATTTAACGCATCTTTCATAAGTCTGGTAAATACATACCATACGTAAACTGCTGTGGCCTTTTGTTAAGCGATCTTACTAATCTTACTAATCGTAATCGCACAGTGTTCGTCTAAATTTCATGACAAAATAGTAAATTTAATACATATATACGAGTTATAAAACACCATAATTCTAATAAGCCTTTTTACTCAAGAATTATCATCATTGTGTCAAACATATGTATGTATGTATGTATATGTATGTGTATATATGTATGTATTAAGTAAGATAGATATGCAGTATTCTTATTTTGTATTTGTTTTCTATAATTCATCAATAAACTGCAGCTAAAACCTCTTTTATTACAAGTAATAAGTAAATGAAATCTTACTACGCGGCATGTTTCGTTTATTACTAAGCACCATAATTTTAAAGAAAATATATATTTTGTGCTTCTTTTTGTTCCGAATGTATGTATTGGTTAGTAAATTGTGATTTAAAAATAAAGAAATTTATGAAAATGAACTAAAATGAATATGATGATAAGTTGATGAGATTGGTCTCTTCAACTTGTATTAATTAATTTTTAATATACACAAACAGAAGTAACTTCACTCACAATGCTTTCTCTTGACTACATAAATCTCAAGGCACTCAGTCAATCTGAAATCCATTGAAATGGAATGCAGAGTCTAATAGGAGTGATATAAGTGCTACATCGAATTAAGTAGGCAATTGAAAAACAGTCTTCTCTCAACGAAGTGTAATCAAATATAATATAAGAACTTAATCATACCCGTACCGTTGTTGTTGTTGTTGTTGTTATTGTTGTTGAAAGTAGTGACTTGTCAATCCACTGAGACTAGTCTGAGTCACCGAAGTCATATAATGGGAGATTCGAGGAGGCCAGCATGGTTATTTAAGTTGGCTTTGGGGGCATGCAAAGAGGTGGTTAGTGTCGTGCGGGTTCTCATTACATGCATGTCTAGATAGGTTCGAACTATATTGGATTCCGAAAAAGGTACTCATAGGAAGGGTTTACGAACTCTTGGTGAATGCCGTTTAAAGTCTGTCGGTACGCTGTCCTGTTCGGTTCTTGTCTATTGCTGTATGAAATCAAGGAAGTCTTGTATTCGCACCCTGATGTATCCGCAGACATTGCTTACACAGCATAATATTATGATCAAAAACTTGGGGCATAGATGTTTTACTATGTAAGAGATAGGTTGTTGAATCGCCTACGATAACCCCGTTTAGGCAAGGTTAATTAATCTAAGTCACCGAGGTCATCTAACTGGAGGTCCAAAAAACGTGCTGCCTCGACGGGATTGGTCCAGAGGAAGAGGGGAGTTAGATGTGTCGGCTTAAGGTGGCATGTGTAGATGTGGTTAGTGGCGTGAAATGTGAGAGTTAAATTTGAAATGTAAGGAAATAGGAAGATTACACCGCCTACGGCACCCCTGGGTGTGTTAAATGCTGTTGCGCAGCAACGATAAAATCGTCTTCGATATTGGTAAAGGGAAAATATCGGCCCATAAGACTCTTCTTTGCTCGATCAAGTAGAGGTTGTAGGACTTTAAGCGTTCCTCGCTTTTTGATCTGCTTATGCAGACTGCATTTGTTCCGAATTTTCTTATTGAGTTTCCTGATCAGTAGGAATGAAATGAGTAGCAGCGAACACGACTACTCGGCCGAAAATACATTCACCTACGGTGACGTCGGTTGGAGAGATAATTGAGGTATAGTGGTCTGGTACGTTGGTCAGATCAGGTCGCTAAGCTATGAATGGTTCTATTCAGTCAATTATCTCGTTGATGGTGGCCGTGATGGCAGAGTGGTTAGCATTGCATACTGCCATTCGGAAGGCCAGGGTTCGTGCCCTGATCCGACCAACATCCAAAAATTATAGAATTATAATTTACAAAAAAATGAATATAAGGCGTAAATTATTTTATCTCGTCGATCTTCCCATGCAGTGAAGCGTGGATATCTGATAGTGGTGCAGTATAACCCGCTCGCTCTACTAAGAGGTGTTGTCGAGTAAGAATTGCAATTGACGGATGTTATGTTCCTACGCACTATGGTCTTACACGCGGGTCAGACAGTGCGGGGTAATTGAAGCTACCCCGGAAGTGAAACTGGAACTGGATGTTTGTGAGAGTAGGGGTAGAGGGGAAGGTTGGAAGGCATGCTCTGGGGAGTTCCGTTGGATCGAGGATGTCTGGGGTGAGGGCGCAGAAGGTATAGTCCGGGACGTTCGGCTCGGACTTTAGCCCTGGTAGCTCTCTATGTATCTTAAGGCCTGTAGGGGTTTTAAGGGAATGTGAAGCCCTCCGAGTATATTTTTGACATGATATAAAATCTCCTCAGGCGGCTAGTAGAAACTATAGATCCCTCCATTATATATATATATATATACGCGCGGATATTTAACTCACCTTGCACAATATTCATTTTATACTCAGATCCGTATTTGAAAAGAATACAAACGAATAGTGCATACATAGGTATGTACTTATATGTGTTTTTTTCGATTAATTTTTATTTGTATGTATAAATCCATTAAATTACGAGTACAATTATCTAGAAAGCGGAAATATCTAAAAAGCTTTAAATACAAGGTTTTAAGCGCTTTTAGTCGTATTTGTGTGTTTTGTGGATTACGATCAATCTATGTGGCTTTCTTCGTGTATATACTATAGGGTTTTCCAATAAGAGTGATGCAATTTCTTCAAAACACAAACTCACTATTAATCGATACAATTAAGTGCCGATTTTAACATCATTGAAATGGCCTCCACGACTTCTTTTCCAGGAGCGATTTCGATGAAACCTATTTTTGAGTACTTTTTCCACTAATTCAAGTCGTATGTCGTGAATAGCATGCTCAATATTGACTTTTAAAGCTTGAAGAGAGTATGATTTATTGCTAAAGACAAACGCCTTCAAATAACCCCACAAGAAGTAATCTAATAGTGTTAAATCAAAACTTCTTGGAGGACATTCAAACCTTTCTCGCAATAATTCGGGTGTTGCATGGGCTGTGTAATACGTAGCCCCGTCCTGTTGGAACCATATGTTGTTAAAATCAACTTCTTCCAATTCTGGCCAAAAAAAGTTGGCTATCATCGATTAACAGTATCGGTGCTACCAGCTTCATTTCGAAAGAAGTACGGACCGATGATTCCACAAGACCAAAAACCAACCCAAACTGTCAATTTATGTGAATGCAATTTAATCGGCTCCGACACAAAAATGTTTTCAATTTTTTATTTTCATAACATAGTTTTTCACCTAAAAATACATTAACCTAAATTTGTCTTAGTATTTTTTTGCTTACGCCCTATATGCCGAAGTTTGAATAGCAATAGTAGTCTCGAAGAACAAGAAAGCGGCGGGTGCTGATAGTTTCTCGGCTTAGCTAAGCAAATTTGACGGTGAAGAACGGCGAAATACATTCAGCTTCTGCAGACGAAAGTATACCCAGCTACTGGAACCGCAGTGTCCTCTGCCCAACCAAAAAAAGGGAGGCCGTTTGCGGCACTTACCATGTGATGAGCCTCCTCAATATCGTACATAACGCCTTTTTCAGCGTATTGTACCACCGTCAATGAAGCGGGTTGTCATATATTCACTATGCATCAAATCTGGAAAATACCCGTGAGAGCAGTCTTCAAAGCAGCCCTCGACAGCACGAATAGAAGCTGCCTTTACGCCGCTATGTCTGAAATTGGTATCCCCGCAAAACTTATTCGACTATTAAAACTGACATTAGGCAACAACAAAAGCACAGGATCGGGTAGGACCTATCCGAGCTGTTCTGTATCAAACAAGGTTTCAGAACGGATGATTCTATATCGCATGATTTCTTTAATTTATTGCTGGAAAAAATAATACGAGCTGCATAGAGAAGATTTTATCTTCTATAGGACAATGATAATGTCAGCCTAGAAATACTGAAGATTAAGCTGACAATTTTTTCGAAAATCATATGAAGTATTTTTAAAACCTGACGTAATATGTAAATATAAAACATGCAGGAAATACATCTTATCAAACAATTACCAATTCGTTCGGACGACAAAAATAACTTTAAGGCAACCCTACATAACGAACTAATAGTCTGTAAAGTGTTCACAGGACTCACAAATTGAAGAGAAACTCATATACATGCTCATATACATGAATATAATTGACGCTGTTTTTTGCGTCTTGATGTTTTTCACACGGCTGATGGGTTTTATAAGAAGTATTTATTCCATGTCGGAAATACGCTTTGAGACTTAGTTGTGCCACTTTCAGTAATAATAATCATCCATTTGGCCGCCACGCACCTTTTACTCAACGCGAAAATTCAATATATCGTATATATGTATATCGACTAAATCAAATTTCTTTATTTTTTCTTTTCTCATTTTCACAGCAATGCCTTTCCCTGCCATGGTGGGGCTGCATTTGGAAATAAACGTTTTTTTTTTTTGCAATTTCGGCTGTTCGGACCCATGATCACCTATCTAAGTGCTATCCTCTCGGCTACAGCGGCTGTCGAAATCAGAGGTTACATTGGATTATAATTAAGGCATCCTTTTAGGCATTCTGTGACGTTGTCAGAATTACAATAGAATAAAGGAGTACTCGTATTTACACGTAAGCTATTTATTACAAAGCTCTAACTTTAAGTATGGAGTTTTTTAATGAAACGAACTCATTTCGTGAGATCTCAGCTTACAAAATAATTAGCGTACATACGGGTGTAATTAGCTAACAAATGATTAAATTATACACGTACATATATTGCATATTGACAACGGTAACTAAATACATACGCATTTACATATGTGTATGTTCGTGTGCATTGGATTTTGAGTTTAATACTTATTTTACCACGTAATTACCTGGCTTTGTGTGTTTCAATAAACATTGCGCGTGTTCGTTTTAATTCTACAAAAATCACAAATTATTTAGTTCTCGTTAAAAAATGAGCGCTTGCATTATCTAATGTATCAACAACATTCTAATATTTTAATAAACTGTATAGTGCGTAGCTTTTTCAATTGAAATATTATCACAGCAATAATTATTTATGCATATCAATTAATCCAATACTTTATAACAACTACCTAAGCATATTTTTTTATTTCCAAACATATCTTTGTAAATGTTTATGTTTGTTTGTGCAATTGAAATTAGTAGAAACTTGATGTGAATGACAAAACAATTTATGAAATTAAAGTCTAATTTCTTTTCAAATTTTCTCCATACTAAGAACAAAGTATCCTAATAGGATAATAAACCTTAACCATAATCATACATTTCTTAAGTCTTAAATGAGGTGGTGACACAGCTTCTGAGGTGCAAGTAAAGGACGAAATCATAGGCAAATAGATATAAAAAACATCACAGCGAAATAGATTTATTTTAATTAAATTTTCACAGCGATTAACTGCTAATAATAAATTTAAAAAAATTTTGATCCCGAGTAAATTTTCATATTCTTTAATAAGTTCGATTAACATTGCTTTGAAAAGGCAATAGGCCAAAAGTAAGTGATGTGAAAACGTTTTTTGTCTATCGTAAGCTTCACGCTAGCTAGTTGTTGATGCATACTCGTAATTGGAGCTCTATAGCCGCGAGCTTCGGCTGTCTTTAGTTTTAAAGTTTTAAGCCAGCCACCGGCGCCCGTCTGTGAGTTTTTAAGCTATGCTATTGTTTATACATAAATATGTTGTATTGCAAAAGTATGAGGTTAGAAAAAAGTTTCAGACGAGCTTGGCAACAACTCCACCTTTCACTTGATTCCATATGGACTCACTGAGACTGGTCAAATTATTCATTTGTCTAAAAAATATCGGGGAAATTTTATTAAAATATATGTATATCAAATTTATTTTTCAAGATCTACTCCTCAATTACTCACACACGCATCACGATATATATAAAAAAAATGCACTAACTACCGCAAGGGGTCATCTGATCCATGCAAAGATTCTGCCTTGATTTGTATTTCTTGTGATACAAAACGGCTGTATTGGACATCTCTGCTGTTGTGTAAAAAACATATTTTGCTGCATTTTATATTTTTTATCAAAAATATTTTGGGAATCAAAAATTCATATCTCATCATTTTACTAATAATACTAATAATTCGTAACCACAACATTTTAAACTTTACAAGTTATAAATAACTTAGATGAAGGGTTTTCAGATTTTAGTGAAAAATATGGGAAGTAAAGAGGATAACATAGGCTTATTTGACACCACGGACAAATGTGAGTTCTCAGGAACTAAAGTGTGAGCGCAAATATTTTGAATTTACGAAGGGGATCGAAGGAATTTGATATGGGAGACTGATGTACTGAAATTTTGCCGGATGATACAATTTGGCAGGAGCTGATCGAGCTCCAATTTAAAATATTTAATTCAGGTTCAAATTCTCGCGGTCAAATGGGTAACATCTGGTAGAGAGGAAGCTTCGGTGGAGTCATTCCGACTTATTCGGTATAAGGGTTCACTGAAGTCTAAATGCAGCTTTTGTTCAGCAGAGGTGCGGCTGCGAGCGGACGTTAGTCATGTAGCAAGCGGTTCGCTATATAAATGTGTAAAAACTTTACACTTACTCGGCTATCGACCCACGCAAATTAATAAGGGATCACGATTTGAGGGCATGCACTTGAAAAATACGGTCCTTTAATTGGGAAGGTGCCGTTGCCTAGCTGATTGATGTCTCCGTAAAAATAAAGGCCGACATCACCGCCGACCAAGAAGTCCGATGGACGGGACAAGGACGAACACGAGTGGGTTCTTGTGACATTTACCACAGCGACCATACAAAGGGTATCTTTGGTACGATTGTTGGAAAATTCAGCCTTCACAACGAAACACTCCTAATGGGTTGGGGTGATCGACTTCGCCGGGGCCCGAGATATGGTTGTCTGTAGTACTAGATTCCAGCTCATGCTTGGCTGTCTCCTGTTGGAAAAACACAAAACCAGATCGATCATGTTGTGATAGACGGAACACATGTCTCCTGTGTTCTTGATGTGCGTACACTCCGAGAACCCAACACTCGCGATGAGGACTGCCGTGTCGCAGTGAAGATACTGTCTATCTCGCAACCTTGCAATCGACCACAACATGTGCGGGATGAGACATATACCGAGAGCTGAAGAGGGAAGCAAGACGCTTATGCAGACAAAAAAAGAAATAGAGCGAGATGCGTGAGTAAGAGCACACATTAGAAGCTGGCCGACAATAGTGATGCTCAAGACTTCTATGAAAAAATACGACGACTTACGGAAGATATCAGAACGCAAAGGTGATCTAGCCCCCGATACCCAGAGCATATTGAATTTATAGAGTATCTGGAGAATGCCTTTACGCCGCTATGCCTGAATTTGGTATTAAAGCTGACGTTAGGTAGCACTAAAATCTCCGACAGGGTCGGGACGAACTTACAAAAACGTTACAAAATTTTTTTTACTTATAGTTTGATTATTATGTAGGTAAAATCAGCCTATTTCTCATATCAAGTGCCCTCTTAAGCTAAGCTGAGCTATTCGTAATTATGCATAGGTGAGCTTTAGAGCTGATTGACAATGACAACTGTCAGTCAGTCTACAATAATCAGTCTCGAAGCTTTCGTATATACCAATGTTTACACATCACTTTACACATCGCCAGCAATTAGTACACCGCTCCGTCGTTTGCTCCTCCTTTAAGGATCATTTCCACATGTTTCAGTCAATTATTTCGCTTTTATAAATAACATTTGATAAAATTCACAGCACCTACGCAGTTGTTTTGAAAAGCAAAGTAGCGTTGAAATACACAATAGCGGTATAACGGTTTTGTTAAAAGTTCTACGAAGTAAAAAACTTAAACGCGTTCGAAAATGGACACATGATTCTGTGATTGCGCGTGCAGCTATATAAATGTTTTATTTTTTGTATTTTTTTTTTTTTTCAATATGCATAACAATTTTTTCCTAAGTGTATTTTTTCTTTGATTCTAACTGATTTTAACTAAGTGTTCGTACGTTTGCTTGCGTTTATGTTGTTACGTGATCACGTGACAGTGGCCAGTAACAATTTGCTTAGGCGTTAATTTACAAAATTTGATTCGTAACAAAAGCTCGCTCATATTTACTTAATTTTACGGTATTTTTACAATTCTTCTAACTTTTGCTTATTATTATTCTTTTATTTTATGTGTATTATATGTTTGTAGTCACTATTATTTGACTTATTATTTCCTTTTGCGATTACTTGATTTTATTTGATTTTATCTTTTATTTTATGTGTATTATATGTTTGTAGTCACTATTATTTGACTTATTATTTCCTTTTGCGATTACTTATTATTATGTGCACCGTTTGACAAGATGCGAAATGAACATGTTAAATTCGCTTCATAATACCATAAAAAAAATTTATATCGAGTTCTTATATTTCCTAAGCAAAAAAAAAGAGAAAAGTAATTTTACAATCAACAGTGTTAAAATGAAAAATAACTCACACTTACACATGTACATAATTGTACATAGCTGAAAGGCATGTAAATCTATATAATATATAACAAATTACAATATTACTATAAATAAACACTGTACTAATACAATATTGAAAACCCCTACCCCCACTCCCACACCACTTATCCGATTTGACTCAAATGCGTCTTATTGTGGGCCCTGTAAAGAACACCGAGACCTTTCGTTTGAATTTCTCCATCGGCGGCTCATGATCGGACTCTTCGCTCTCGTAGCCGTCGCTCTCGTCGTCCTCACCAAAGATAATAGTGCGTGTATAGGGCTGAACTGATTCCGGTCCATCCGATTCGCAGAAACCTGGATTCAGTATTATGTTCGGTATTAGCTCTATGCTCTCCCAACCTTCTTCGAAATCTGTATGTGCGATGTGGTATTTCCGTTTAAATGGTTAAATAGACGGCGATATGCATTTCAATGGATAGAGAAATTGAGAGTGTAGATGAGTAGAGTAATTGTTATATTTTACATAATTGGAATGATTGAAAACGGTTATATTTTGTAAATTTTTACAACGCATAAAGAAAACGAAAATTAAAAACAAAGCGAGCGTTAGCGTTAGAAGGGAGAGAGGGAGAGAGAGAGAGAGAGAGAGAGAGTAGAAAGAAGAAGAGAAGAAGAGTTGTGTTTGTTTTTCAGAATTTCTTTTGATAACTGTAAAATTCAAATTTCTTTCTCTGAGATTTCAATGTTGATAATGGTGGTGATGTGCGAAAGGAGTACTGCTAGCATAATTGACATTTATGTATGAAAATCACTTCTTGATAGCAAATAACTGTAACAAAAAATTTACATAAATACAATTACATACATACAGCATCAAAATAGTTCACATCAATTGTAATTTATATAAATCAGGCGAGCATTTTTAAATATGCATATTAACTTTTAGCAACAACGACAACAACATCAATAACAAGAACAAGAGCAATGACATTTAACACACATTAAATAATTTATTTCAACATATATACAGTTTTAATATTGCAATTTTCTACTTCATTTATTAGTTTTTTATGCATTTCGCTAGACAAATATTTAATAAAACTTAAGGCTAATTGCGGGAAAGGTGTTAAAGTGTAAATGGCTTTCAGTATAATATTTTTTATAATATATATATATATATATATATATATATATAAATATTTATTTAAACTGATCTATTGTCTAATAAGTTGTATATTTTTAATTTGCTTTAAGCTTTTTTGATTGTCTTTTCAAAATGTGCTGTCTTTATGCTATTTGATTGTGTGCTAAATCTACATATGTATTTACACATATATGTATATTCTTTAAAAATTTTGCTATTTGTTAAACTTTTTCTGTATATGGCGAACAAAAAAAATCTAGTAATGAACTAAAGTTTTGGCACAGCAAGATTCAATTATAACACCCTTTTTTGACCACTCATGAAAATATATTTAATTCGAAAAAAAAAAAATACTGGGCAGAGGGACCAACATTCAACTATTTTCACTCCAACTCATTTGATTATCTCTTATGTTAAATTAATACTAATTATCAATGTAAAAAGTACTAATTTTCACCAAACAAAACGAAAGATAAAGAAAAACAAATAGAAGATTATCTTCCGCACAAGTCGTTAAGGAAGTGTTGGGAAAGGATATTCACCCGATAATTGTTCGGAGAGCACTGCATGAAGCTAACTTTCATTCTCGTGTAGGCAGACGCAAACCCCTAATTTTAAAAGTGATCCAAAAGAAACGCTAAGGAGTACCTAAGCAAACCAATTGACTTTTGGGACAATGTACTCTATTCGGATGAAAGTAAATTCGATATCTTTCAATCTGATGGCCGTCAAACTGTGTGGAGAAAACCTAACACTGAACTTGTAAAAGAGACTCTTTCTGCGACTATGAAAAATTGTGGTGGAGAAGACATTGTATGGGGCTGCATGTCCGCTGCAGGTGTGGGTGAGCTGGAATTCATTGACGTCATTGTGAACAAGAATTACTATATGGAAAAACTTGCCGAAAAAATTTCTCCGCGACAATGATCCGAAGCATAGCATATGGGGCTTGCACACCACATCAAACATATACTGCCGCATCCGCCCCATTGGCCTGGTCTATACCCAACTGAACATTTGTGGGAAGAGCTAGATCTTCTTCTTCTTTATTGGCGTTTGCACCGCTTACGTGATTACAGCCGAATTAATTATAAGCGCCAGTTAGAATACCAAAAGAGGTCAAGTCACTCTCCTCCTGACCCTTCCAACAGAGTGGAGGTCTTCCTCTTCCTCTGCTTCCACCGGCGGGTACTGCATCGAATACTTTTTCAAAGCTGGAGTGCTTTCATCCATTCGGACCATATGACCTAGCCAGCGTAGCCGCTGCATCTTGATGCGCTGAACTATATCAATGTCGCCGTATAACTCGTACAGCTCATCGTTCCACCGTCTGTGGTATTCGCCGTTGCCAATGCGCAAAGGACCAAAAATCGTTCGCAAAACTTTTCTCTCGAAGACTCCCAAAGCCGACTCATCAGCTTTTGACATCGTCCACGCATCTGCGCTATATAGTAGAACGGGTATGATGAGCGACTTGTAGAGTTTGGTTTTCGTTCGCCGAGAGAGGACTTTACTTTTCAATTGTGTATTCGCCTTTTAGCGAGAGTGATTGTGTATTAGATTTCACGGCTGACATTATTGTTGGCGTTCATGCCGGTTCCTAGATAGACGAAATTATATACGACTTCATAGTTATGACTGTCAAAGGTGACGTGGGAGCCAAGTCGCGAATGCGATGACTGTTTGTTTGATGACAGGAGATATTTCGTCTTATCCTCGTTCACTACCCGGCCCATTCGCTTCGCTTCTTTATCAAGCCTGGAGAAAGCAGAACTGTCAATACCATCGGCGTACGCCTGTAGTTATACACTCTTATAGAATATTGTACCTTCTCTGTTTAGCTCTGCAGCTCTTATACTCTCCAGCATCAAATTGAAGAAATCGCACGACAAAGAGTCACCCTATCTGAAACCTCGTTTAGTACCAAACGTCTCGGAGAGGCCTTTTCCAATTCTGACTGCGCTTATGGTGTTGTCTAGCGTCAGCTTACAAAGCCGTATAAGTTTTGCGGGTATACGAAATTCAGATATAACGGCGTAAAGGCAGCTCTTATTCGTGCTGTCGAAGGTTGCTTTAAAAACGACGAAGAGGTGGTGGGTGTCTAATCTCTTTTCATGGGTTTTTTCCAAGACTTGGCGCATGGTGAATATCTGGTCAATGGTTGACTTAACAACACTGATAAGGTCCAATCAGTTTGTTGACGGTTGGCTTTAGTCTTTCACACAAAACGCTCGGTAGGATCTCATATGCGATGTTAAGGAGGCTTTTCTCACGGTAGTTGGCCCAGACTGTGGGATTCCCTTTTTGTAGATTGGGCAGAGTAAACTTAGGTTCCAATCGTCGGGCATGCTTTCATCGGACCATATTTTGCAAACAAGCTGAATTATGCACCTTTTCAGCTCTTCACCGCCATGTTTGAATAGTTCTGCCTGTAGGACGTCAGCCTCTGCTACTTTCTTGTTTTTTTAAGCAAGCAATCGCTATTCGAACTTCGACATGGTCAGGTAGCGGAACGTCTGTTCCATCGTCATCGATTGGGATTTCGGCCAGGTTCTCAAGCTCTTCGTACTCACGCATTTCGCCTTCTTTCTTTTTTGTCTGCAAATTCGTTTTACTTCCCTCTTCAGCTCTCGATATCTATACCACCCCGCACGTGTTGTGGTCGACCGCAGGGTTGCGAGGTAGGCAGTCTGTTTTCCCTCCACTGTAGCTTGACATTCATCATCGTATCAGCTTGTTTTATGGTACTGTCGAAAACCAATTGTTTCCGTAGCGGCGGTACACAATGAGTTTGAGCTGCCGTTCCACAGTTCCCTTATATCAAGGTGCTGATGAGTGCTCCCAGAAAGCAGGTGTGCAAGCCGAGTAGAAAATCGCTCGGCAGTCTGTTGTAATTGCAGCTTTTCGACGTTGAACCTTCCTTGTGTTTGTTGACGTATGTTTTTTGATACACAGAGGCGTGTGGCTATCCACGCTGCAACAAGATAGTGATCCGAGTCGCTGTTTGGTCCTCGAAGTGTGCGCCCGTCCAGAGCATTGGAGAAATGTCTTCCGTCTATCAAAACGTGTTCGATCTGGTTTTGCGTTTTTCGATCAAGGGACAGCCAAGTAGCGCTCCTTTATATGGCCGCAGTAGTAAATTTCATAAGGGCCCACCTTCTTCCGTTCTTGTCCCGTCCATCGCAATTCTTGTACGGCGGTGATGTCAGCCTTTAATTTTATGAGGACATTAAGCAGCTGAGCAGTGCCACCTTCCCAATTAAGGGACCGGATTTTTCAAGTGCATGCTCTCAAATCGTGATCCTTAATTCGTATGAGTGGGTCGTCATCAAAAGAAGGTCTCTCATTCGAGTCATAATGTAATTTTTCATTGGAGTTTATTTTTCATGTGGTGGGTGCCCTACACAAAATCGCATGGGATTCCACTTCTCACTTTAGCTCGCCTCCAAACGGATGTTTGTTGGCTACCCAGGGGATACTTGGTCTAAGACCAGAGTCAAAAAAGGTGTTAAAATTGTGTCTTGCCGTGTCGATACTTTAGTTTATTACTGTATATATTTACATTAAATTATGCCGGCGATTTTTAAGCAGGAAAGTATACAATAATACAAATGAAATTATAGAAACCTTTACAAATATGCAACAAAAACAACATATACACATCCAAGCCCTTATTAGAATAGTAAAATGAAACTAGTTTTTCGGCAAAGCCAATACAGCAAATAAATTAAATATATGGTTTTCAAGAGGAACTTTTCACTTTCTGGATAAAAGCCCAATAATGACAGGTTTCGAATAACCAATTTTATAAATTTTAGAGTATTGAAATTTAAAAATAGGGATTAAAACAAAATACAAAGTAGTGCCATAGAAAACGAGACTAATAAAATTTTTTTTTGCAAATATCAATAATTTTATTCGAAAGGCTTTATCTAATACCATACAACAAATCAATCATTTCCGCTGTCTCCCATATTCATTCCACTAAATACATAGAAAACCAGCGGAGCCACTTCATATGAATGGAAGATTTTTTCAAGAGTATTTCGGGAGCTGTTCGGAAGAGAGAATGCTAGGCATACTAATATTGTACTCAAAAATGTGAATGTGAAAATGAAACTTTTGGGGGTGGTGAAATAGACTTTCATTAGCCGACAATGACTAAGTACGACAGAGTATCGAAGTCCAAAAAAGCGGGAGCCGATTGCTTACCGCCTGAGCTATTTAAGATTGGTAGCGAAGAGCTGATTTGATCAAAGGAATGCTTGACTGACAATAGGAATCTCTGTGTGCCCTGCCCAATACACAAAAAAGAAACCTCTCAATCTGCGCCAACTATCTTGGGATAAATGTGATAAGTCTTATCTAGCGAATTGTCTGAAAGATTAAAGCCCACCGTTAACGCACTGATTTGATCTGGCAAATTGATAAGATATTCATCATGCGTCAAATCTTGACGCTGAGCAGCATTAAAAACTCCATCAAAATCGAGGACCTATTTGCAGTGGCACCGTTGACTCTGCTTTCTTCAGACTGGTTAAGGAAGCGAGGCGGATGGGTCTGGCGGGTAGGGAACAAGGATAAGATAAATATTTTCTGTCATTAAGAACACTGATAACAGTTATAATTAAGTTCAACACAATTGCTAACATTTGGAATATCTGGTGGAGAAGCACCAGTAGTATTTCCAATTGGCACCAAAATGTGTATACGCCAATAAAGATGTAAAAGAAGAAAAGGGCATTCAAAAGGGCTCAAATTTTCATATTTTTTTTTGGTTCATTCCTTTCATTTATCATTAGTTTTGAATGATGTTCTTTAAGAAATGTTCAAAAAATGCCATGAGATTCTTTCAATTACAAGAATTTTTACTTATACAACCTGTGCAGTGTAGAAGTTGAGTTCAAATTCAAATTTTATGACAATTTTAAATTAAAAGTAGCTACAAAAATACAATGCAGTCGGCAATTGGAGAAGTGAAGCCAAGTGAACTAGACCCAAATGCCTCGAGAGGAAACTTAAACATGTAAAGCAAAATACGCATGCCAATTACACCATTATATAATGTTTACATATAATTTTATGTACATAAAGTAAAAGCAAAAATATGTAGATATATAGTTGTACAAAGAATAAAAGTGATTTGAGAAAATAATAAAAATGATAATTGGTTAAGTTAGGATACACTGGCCGGCTGATACGCCTTAGGTAGAGCCGTTGGCCCGTGATAATCTTAATTAAAATAAAAACTGAAATTGAAGAATTGGGAAATAAAACACACATTTCAATAGAATTTAAGCCATTACAACAACATTCAAATTGCGTTCAACATCTGCGTTATTACGAGTAGCTAATGTAGCACTGGTGGCTGTGGTGGTGGTGGTGTTGTTGGTGTTGTTGGTGTAATTTGTGTTGCTAGTGATAGTGTTTGTATTATCTGTATTATGATCAATACCCGATTGCGATGATTGATAACATTCTTTCGATAAAACTATACATAGTCCAATTGCTAATATCACAAGAGTTCCAAGTACAACACTGACGGCGATTATCCAAATGCGCGGATCGAAATTATCTAAGTCGGGTTGTATAAGGCGTATTAAATCTATATAAGAAAAAAGAAAAAGACATAAAAAGAAAGATACGTGGATAGGCGAAATAGAAACAATAAATACTCGTACTCGTACTAGTGCTAGCACTCATAAATACAACAAAATTACTTATTAAAGAGTTACAAGGAAGGAAGCCGAAATTTAGTACGTACTCGTATTAATTTTATCAACAAATTTCTACCTACTGTATATTTAGATGTATGTATATATAAAGATGTATGCGCGAAATATGCATGTGTAGATATTGATGTATGTATGTTTGTGATTGATAGACACACTTAACGTTATATATATGTAAAGGTCTACACACATTTAATTCCAAAAAAAAAACAATTAATTTAATATTTAATAGCGTACGGAAGGGAATATATGTATGTGTATGAGCTAATTTAAATTAGAAAATATAGCGGAGAATATGTAATTTGACATACATATGTACATCAAAATCATTTAAATTCGAATTAAAAAAAAAAAATTAATTTTTAAATTTTATTTAGGTTTTATTTTTTTAATCGTCTCTTTGGAAATTATCAAGGCGAATTGATGAAAGTAAGAACAGCAGAACACATACAACAATATTCCCGTTCGGTGACCTGAATTACGATGAACTGCGTTCGATGCTGCATTTAAACCGAGAGAGCGCAATTTTAACAATTCGTTACCACAGGCATCTTTCACCGAAAAGAATTAATAATTAGTAGTCAAACATGGCAAGGCTTGTGGCTGCAACGGTCAAGAACTACTTGGAAACACCTGACCTTGCTTCTTTCGACTACAGGGTTTTCCTATGGATGCCAAACGACTTTGGGGGCTACCGATTCTGGTCTCTTGAAGAAATCGAAGATTGGTTCAACGTTTGAATTGAGGGCAGGCAGGACTTTTTAAAGATAGTATTCGAATATTACCAGAGAGATTAGGAAAAGTAGTCGCTTTCGACGGAAAATACTTTGAATGATGTATTTTGTACACTTTTTCCAAAATAAAGGGCTTTTTCGAACACAAAATAGGTGAATGATAACAACAATTCAGCCATGTGGTAAAGGTACACGTTAACGAAAATGTGGTGGCAGTAGAGTGTACTGCACAGGGATATACAAGGCGTACAATTATGACAAATTCCTATTTTTTTGTGTGTTAATATATTTTGTATTCCTTTAATTATCTTGGAAGAAGAACCGACCCAACGAGCGGAAATACAATACATTTTGAATACAATTAATAAATTTAAAAATTCATTAACGTTATTTATACTTAAAAGCAGAAAACAATAAACTGTATACACGTATGTAAATGATCGGATTCAAATGCAATCACCAATATGAACAGCTGTAATAAAATATACTGCATAAGTTTTGCTGCCGTGGTAAGTTCTCACAGTAAAATTCGCCTTGGTAATTATAGTTAATTAACAAAGAAAAAAATAAGTTGAAGGAAAAATGAAAATAAAAAACGATACAAAATTATTTGAACATTTATCCTTTACGCCTTTTTTTCACACCGCTTACTTAATTTTCATTTCATTAATTTTTTGTGCACCATCAATTTCCGATCAAAATTTGGTCTACAAATGGATTCGTCGTTTAATTCGAAAATTACAAATGAGGGAGTGGCCACACGAATCTGAGAACAAATAAAGTGCTGTGAACAAATTGTAGAAGCCAAGTACATATAAGCAGTGTTGCCATTTTAGTTTTTTTCAGTTAGATTTGCCTTTTCTTTTCGACGTTTAATTGGCAAATTTTCAATTTAGTCATGTCTTTTTTAGTCACAAAATTGAACGAAGGGACAGATCTAACACGACAAAAGTTAATTTAATTCACTCAATAACTATGACCAATTTTATTTTTTATACATGTATTTTATAAAATTAGATACGCCCGAACGAAAGAATTAGCGGAATATGAGAAAATTGCACTTAGGAAAATGGTTTAATTTGTTTTTAAGCCCGGCTTTGTTCTCAAAAGAAAATCGGCGTTTTTTGGTTCGACTTAAGTGGAATTGAAATGTATATATGTGGAAAGCCCTGCACCTAAAAAATCCTCCTTTACAGGAAGTGGTATTAAAAAAATTCGCAATATTATTTATTTGGAAAATAAGTAGATAACACTTTCGATCAAAATTGAATTAAACTAAATTTTGAGATTTGTTCATAAAAGGCAACTGATAAAAAAACTTAATTGTAGGCTTTAAACTTTTGACCCATTAACATATTAGATTTTTCCGGGAAATTTAGCTTTTTAGTTCATTTAGCTGGATCGCTGAAAAAAGTCTGGCCACACTACTTATAAATACATACATATGTATGTATGGATATCAGATGCAACGGCTAATTCAATTCATTTTTGATTAAGATGCCGTCAGACGTAGCAATTTTCAAGCAAATTCGAAATTTGTTGCCAAATATTTCAATTAGTTTCTGCAATTCAATGTCAAGTCAATTCAATTTAAGACAATTTTTTTTTTCTTGAGATTAAGTCAAAGGACTTGAGTATTGGCAAAGATTTCTGATAAATTGTTTTGAAATATGCTACTTTTCAAAAAATGGTTTCTGATTGAATTTAAATTTCGAAATTGGTCTTTTTGACATACAATTTGAAATTAATTAATCGGTACGTCTGACGGCACTAAGGTCATGTCAGCGGTGTTTTCAAAGGAAAATTTGTGAATGTATAGATGGGAGAACTAATGGCAGATAATTCGAAACATTTGTATATTCGTACTCAAAACGATGTAGTCCCTTTCAAAATATGACATTTTAAGCTAGTAATTTTTTTATGATAGTTTTATTTACAGACCTTTTAAGTTCTTTGTTTAGATAAAAGAAACTATGTGGAGGCCTTAAGTATTAATATGCTTTGATTTGAGTTCGAAATTGAAAGGGAAGACTATTTCACCTTTTATTTCACCTGTGATTACACATTCTGACGAATTCATCCACGCACACAGCCTGCACCAAAACTAAGCTGCTCACCGGCAACTATTCGGTTTGTTATTTAAGCTAACAGTATTTCAGTGCTCTTGGCTTCGGTTTTACACAAATTGCACACAAACTCACCTTCCTCCTTGGTCTCAGGAAGCGTTGTCACATTGGTGGTAACCACCTCGCCGCTTCCCAATTGGTTGTTGGCCCATATCCGAAACTCGTACGTGGTGTTGGGCTCCAGTCGATACACCTCCATTTGTCTCTGAGGTAGTTTGGAGATATTCCGTAGGGCAGTAGCGTAAAGAGCATCAAAAATTATATAAATTCATATATTAATTTTTTTGAGTAAAAAAATAAATCAGTTCAGCTCTTATCGAATGAGTGGTGGTCAAGATGTGACTGCGAGTGAAAAGTACTGCACGCAACTGACAAGTTTCGTACATCGTATGTATGTTTGTGTCCGTCGCATGCAATTGTGGAATAACAGAAGTGGATCATGTCGTGTGAAAATAATTGACCGCTTGCGTGTACTCGTATTTATATATTTGGAGTAGTTTGCCCCGATATTAGTCAATTATATATAGTCGATAGATTCTGGCCTTGATAAGAGATGAACAAAGGGCAATTAGTGTTAACGCATGCATGAAACATAGACCAGATAAGCGAGTACGTATGTAAATATATTATATAATACATATGAGCTCCAATTTGAGTTGGGTGCGGTTCGGATGGAGGATCTGCACTTTATACTAAGTCGCCTTCAAGAGGCCGGTAATTTTTTATGGGGAGTTTTAATTTTTATGTCAGAAAGCACTCGACGCACTGCTCGGCGTAGTAGGTGCAATAACCTGCACTGGATCGTACCATCGTGGTGCATCCTCGGCTTCTGAAAGGATTTTTGGTTTCAGGTTAATCGGGTTCTGATTAATTTGCACTAGTCTGATCCTTGCACAGGGCTTGCAGGTCAGGGGAGAAGCCACCGATGAGGGTTCTATTCTAGAGCTATACGCTAGCTTTACGAAACAATAGTTAAGCCTATGTTGTTTCACGGAGATTTTGTGTAGTAGAAATCGTTAGAAAGGATCACATTACAAACCAATAACATTTTTAGAGCTTAAGCCCATATTTTGCCGTTAGACATTAAATGCAAGTCTATCACTGCTAGATACGTGGTTAGAAACAGGAATTTTTTCGTCGATCGCCTCGAAGGTAAGATAATTCGGTGTTATCGTCGAACTAGACTTTGTTCTCAGTTGCAGGGATCCTTGCATTGCCAAATTGATTCCTCCTCACCTTAACTCTTCATGGGAGGACTGAAGGAAAGGAACACGATATCTCTTTGCGAGTAGGTACAAGCTGAACGAATACACACATATAACGGCAGTTCGTATTATCATTATTTAAATGAAATCAATATTGAAGTTGTCTCAAGGAGGAAACGGTATCATCTACGTGAAAAAATGAATGTATGTATTGTCTGTACGTTAAGGCGTTATTTTTATTGTGAGATGGAAAAATGTTTAGTTTTTGTATTTTTCGACTACCCTAATGCAGATAAGTGCATTTTGTTACTTACAACATTGGGCGCAATATTAATTGGATCCATGCGACTCCATTCGTGCTCGAACGATTTGTTGTAGGGCATTTCACTGTACGATATATTGCGGAATTCGGCAGTGAAGCTGCGCACTGGGTAACCACCGGAAAATGTTTTGTTGAAGCGCCAGATAAGAAAGCCCAGTATGGTCGATGCTTTGAAATAGAGTTGCGTAACAGGCCCTGGTGGTGTGCGTACAGTTAAATTAACCTTTTCAACTGCACGATATTCCTCAGAATCTGTAACTTCTTCTTCCTCACCATCTCCATCTTCTTCGTGATGTTGTTGGACAACAGTCAATATCTTATCGGTCGTGTTTCGTCTTCTTTCCGGTGTTAGGCTTTCAATGAACTCTACAGGCACTGCTCTGATTGTTTGGTCACCGTTATCAAAGGTGCTGCTAATAATAGTAGTGCCGTTGGCTTTGTCAGCAATTGAAGCTTCTTCATGTTCTACTATCGATGTGTTGGTTGTGTTCGTTTTTCTGTTTGCATTTGTGGCTGTGGCTCTGTCTATAGCGACGGCTATTGTAGGCATTGGCATTGAAAGCGATGAGGTAGTTGAAGCTTTTGTTGTTTTTGTTGCATTTACAATTATAATTGTTGCTATTTTTGTATCTTCTGTCAATGACGTTGATACTGATGATGTTGATGATGATGTTGCTGTGCTCGTTGTAGGCAAAGATGCTGAAGATGTTGATATTGATTTTCTCTGCCCGCTTGTTGTTGTATTTATTGTTGTCTGTGCAATGGAGTCAGTTTTGGGGGCAGAAAATTGACGAGATGGAATCGCAGCGAAGCACACGTACAAACCGCCTTCGTCGGCTGATATATTGGTGAACATCAGAAATTTTCCTGTCTGCAATGACAAATTGAACGACATGAATAAAATGTATCACATCCAATGAAATTCAAACAAGCCCATAAGTATGTACATACACACCCAGTCGAATTATGTAAAAAAGTATTTTTAAGGCCCCTAAGTGAAGAAGCGCGAATAAATTCAACTGAAACGCATATATATACTTATATTTCCCTTAAATTTTTCCTGCTGCCTATGCGTAAATATATATAATATAAATATAAAAGTCTTCGGCCTTCGAACGGCCGTTGGATTTTTATAAGGAGCTTTCATTTCAAGTCAGAAATACACTCAAAGGGCTTGACATTCCCTGCCGAGGGGCGACCACAATTAGACAAATTAATTTTTATGGTCAGCTTCATTGTTGAAGAAATATTTACCAATGATACCCTCCACAGGTTGAAAAAGTATCAATAGGAGCTTGGTCGAAAATCGCTTCAGCGGTTGTGAAATCGCTTGTCCACTCAGATAAGCCCGAAACGTTTAACATCTTCCAATTGCTGCAAAAGGTAGACGAAAATTGAACCTCTTGCCAGGGGTTAATTGGAGTCAGGCCCGGCAGTCACTTGCCCGAAATCACTTTTAAGCATAAAGGCAAATCCTTTTCTCTATAATGAAGTCAAATTTTGGTCATAACATAAAATTATAAGCTTTTTATTTTTTCATGAAAACCACATGGCAATAACATTCGCATTTAATAGTTTTATCTATTTTTTTTTATTTATTGAGCCCCCATAACCAAAATTGTTATGGAACTGGTTACAATGTTTGAAAAAAATTTGGCAGCACTGCTTTTTTCGTCCATGTCAAATTACATTTGCCGGTCGATAAGGTAAAAGGAAAAATATTCCCATCGAAAAGGAAGACGGTGCACAAAAAAATCAATAAGTTTTATTAATTTTTTTATTAAACCATAAATATTTGAACCTAATTACGGAAAATATGCCTGGACAACAAAAAAAAGCTGAATGATAACGCTATCTTACAAATTAAAAGGGTCATTTGTTTCCCGCAAACTTTTTAACATACGCCTTTTTCAACTTTTTTCTTCATCTTCAATGAATTCCAGGCCAACAATATGCCTACAATATGCCATTTTGGTTTTTATTTTTTCTGAAACTAACAACACAAAATCAAAAAGCAGATTGTTTTGTTACCTCCTATTTTGGTGGTCACAACATTTACAGGGTGACAGTGAACTCAGAATACGAAATAGTAACAAAGCTTACTGAATGGTAATTTTTAATACCAAAGTAAATTTTGTTACCTCGGCAGAATAGGCCAGTAAATGTAAAAAAAGTAGGAGGTTGAACATTGTGATAGTCATAACTTTATACTATGTATGAAAATATATGTATGAACCTCTACTATGTATTAATGCGATCGCATTTTTGATAGATTTGCTAGTGAACAAGTACAATTTTGAATTTCCTGTTTTCTCAAGTGGAAAGGATTTTAAAGCATTTCCCGCCCTTTGATTTCATGCCACTGTTAAACGACGCCACTGTATGTACGAATTTAATACGAATTCATTAAATATATTTTCAACCGCAAACCTTTACGGCTGCCCGAGCATCAATAGTTGATTTCATAACTGATTGTATGAACATATGTATTTATATATGTATGTATGTATATTAAACTTTTAGGCCTGTACGTCGCAACGTGAGCGTGCCTTAATATAACATAACACTCTGCATTTTATTATAAGTGCATATTATGAATGTAAAATAAATATATGCACATACATACATTCATATATACATACTCGTACACACATTAATTTTGTACAACGAAGTGTCCATTCGCTCACCTGTATTATAGTGCTGTTGTTGCCGTTTTCCTTCACCCACATAACGTTGCCCTCCGCTGTGCAGGGTATGGAGATATTTTTGCCCTTATCCGTCACGTATTCTTGATATTTAATAGATGACGTCAAAACCGTGAGAACTACGGAGGATAAAAATTTAAATCAAATTCATTTTTTTTTTTGTCAAATCGCTGAACTGTAGGCGCTGAAGAATGCAAATTGTAGATTTTTTAATCGATTTTCATAACAAAGCCATTATTAAAAATTAATTGATTCGTTAATTAAGAATAATTACAAAAAATACAGCAAAACAGAGAGTTTTCGACCTGCTTATGAGTGTGGCAAGCGGTGAGCAATTAAAATCAGCTTTATTGGTGCGGATATGTGAGGAAATGATGCATCACTGGCAATCACAGGTGGCTCTGCAAGGACTTTCTATTCGAAAGTAAAGTTAATTAGACGAGTGATGTGCAGGCGGTAGACTTACATGCGAGTACATATGTACATATGTATAAAAACGCCGCCGTAAACAAACGCTTTTGTTGCTAAAGCTTATATACATATACGAACATTTGACTCTGTAGGTCAAGTTCCTGAGTCCGACGGTGTCGAAAAGCGCATGACGTAGGGACACTGAACCCATCTGCACGCTTATCATCTTTAAAGCCTCAATGCCCCAATAGCTGAGTGGTTAGCAGCGCGTACTATCATTCGGAGGGCAGGAAATTCAAGGTGCTAGTCTCGACCAATATCCAAAATGGTACAAATAAAGGAGAGTTGTCTTCCATTTACTTACCATAACAGCTCAAGCTCAATTTCAAGTCTTCTGCTCCCTACATTCTATTATATAAGCTACGACAGAATAATCCTGATTCTCTGGCCACTTTAAATATGGGCTCATCAGTAAAATTTGCTGATGCTTTTGAGTAACAGTTTTCTTATATTTTTATTAAATCGCTCACTACTTTTTAGCGTTCAAATTTAATCTCCACATGAACTTTTTACTTATTTAAGCTACTCAGTATGGCAGCGACATACAAACTCTTGGATATATTTAGAGAAAACAAAACCATCGCGTCTACATAGAAATGTTTACTTTGCACGCAACCTTTAATCAAAACGGGCGTAAAAAACTAGCAAAGCTAGAAATCGGCAGAGGTGTGATGTAGTAGAAATTATGGTAAAATATACGAATTCACTTATTATATTCAGTTGGTCATAGTAAGCCTTCTGCCTTACGTCATTGTGTGGGCAACACTACCATTACCTTAAGTTTCGCCCTTCTGATTTTTGCAGTTTGTGCAACTTTGAACGTCGTTTCTATTTTTAAACATTATTCCAACTTATTCTTCTAACCAACAACTTTTGTTAATTCATGCCAACGACTAGCCAATAGGCCATCACGGCAAAAGATCATCAGCAATCCAAGCGTATGCAATAGTCGGCTTCCACTGAACGTCGTATTCACGTGCACAAACAATTAAACGTGGCGAAACAATACAAATTGAGCGAAACTAGAGTAGAAGCAAGGGTAATAGAAAAATCCACACAATGAATGACCTTGAATTACGTAAATAAATTGATCAATTGATTTTCCTTTCTTGTTTGTTGTTGTTGTTCAGTATTATTCCTAAATAAAAGTCGCTATATTTATTTATGTCCATGGATTTGTTAGCTCAATACAATTACGAGCTATTTTACACCCAGCAAGGAAAAGCCGTAGGCAAACGGTTATTTATGGGTCTAGCTTGAAATTAACATCATATATGTATGTACAACATAATGAGTAATCTTGCTGGGAGATTAGTTCTGATCGGTGTGAAATGTCAGTAAGAATTAGCCATTGACGAAATTGGAACATATTTACTGAGTTTTCAGCGAACCGGATTCCATAAAAATTATCCAGCAAGTTGCACATCAGCTGTTTATTTCGGCGTTTTAATCCGTTCATTTACAAAGTTTATTGTTTTCTGCTTTCAATATATATTAGGTGAGTATTTTAATAAAATTGGCAATTATAATTTTCTAAAATTAATTAAGACACGAGTATGTTTTTTAGATAGATTAAGACATTTAAAGTTTATGTTAAACTTTCTTTTGCAACAATTTGTCACTTAACAAAAGAAGTGCTGAGAAATAATTTAAAAGTCGATTTCCGGAAACTTTCTGGTCTTAATATATATATTTGGCGCTTTGTAACCACTTTAGTGGAGACTACTTTCTAGCAAATTTAGAACATAGAATATATTCTAATTCTTAAGCTTCAACATTCCTCACTTTCTCACTTCCTCAACGTAGACTGTGCGGATTTTCGTTTAACGAGTAACTTCACTATTTAAATGATTCGTTGTTATTATTCAGTTAAATTTAACGCTAACCACTTCTTTTTTAGTAAATCATTGATTTATTGATGTATTAATTATATTTTCATTTTAAATAATTTTGATTTCGTTGCCTAAAATGCTGTTTTGCATGCTTCCTAATTTTGACTGGCTGATAATTTACCGAATTGGCAATTTCCACTTCAAACTAAACGTTAAAATTGTGCCCTCTCGTAGCAAATTTTACTGGCTATTTGCCCCACCGACCGCGGTTGAGTAAAATTGAATAACAATTTTTACAGCTCCTCAGGCCACCAAACTGGGCTATTGAATGTTTAGAAGTGATCGAAAATATACATATGCACATATGTACATATGTTTGTTATTGGTGGGCAATATTCGTAATGATATCCAAAAAGAAATACATATCTGACATAAATTTTTATTCTTGCACTGCTCCTTGATGGGGAAAATAGCGGTCAAGCAAACCAGAATGTTATGGCCTGCCAAATGAGGTGGTAACACCAGGAAACACCTATCGTTGCGAACGATCTAAAATAAAAGTGGCGTTAATTAGCTGCAATCATAAGGCTATCAAAAAATCGAGAATCGTGTTGGCTTTATATTCCATGAGCATTCAGCTATGAGAAAGCTCTGGTATTGATTAGAAAACTGGAATTTTTGAACCGATATTGACAATTAATGAATTATGCACCCATCACTTCGCTCAGGAATGAATTTGATTCATGACCTGAATGAAACTCTCTAGATATGCTGTCTTGTAACATTTCCGAAACCTCGAATTTGAATTTCATCTTCATATATTTTTTCCAATGCGGCTTTCCTCAAACTTAAAGATTTCTCAGATCTTGGACTAATTTTGGGCTGGGGTTTCTCGCGTTAATCACATAAGTTATGTGGTTCCAAAGTCTTATGAAAATTTATCATTTTTGAGACATTATGCAGAGTTCTTTCGAGATCCTTATGCTAAGAAAACGTTGTACAACTCCAAGTTCGAATATGGCTTTTTAACTTGGAATCTAATTTATTCAGCACATTCCATACAGTTGAATGCGTACATTAAAATTTTATCCACTCACTGGGTTGAAACTTATTTATAAATGAATTGTTTAATTGCAGTGTATTTTAAAATATAATAGAAAATGAAAATGTCTTTACGTTGCCCTAAGGTCTAATGTTAGGCAAATTGTCTTATCCATTTTTCAACAGAGGCTACCTTGAGATTCATATTTGTTTACATATATTGTGGAAATAAATTTAATGTTAATAGCCGACTCTGGCGACAGAAGCATTTCAGTAGGCGAATAACACTGGATGCACTCGTCGTTCTTGCCGCCATCATTATTAGCGGGTGGGACGGCTTTATACTCGTGCATTGTGTTTAATAACTGTTGTTTCGTAGTCCACGAGAGTTTTTTCTGAAATAAATTTACATTCGATAATAATGCGATTTACAAAAATAAAACATATTATAATTATCAAACAACTCTCTGTGGAATGATATTTATATATATGTACGTATGTGAGTATCTTTATAAATTATGATTTCGCTATAGTAGAAAATGTATATTGACAATTTCTATCACGCAATATAAACACATACACGTGTATAATATGTACGAGCACTAAAATCCTCCTCTTCCAAATCAATGAATATGTATGAGTAAAAACCGGAAGTTGGTGTAAATGCAATAAATTAAATGCTTTTGAATTGCAACGTAAATATGAACGTATTATACGTGTATGCTGATACAATTATTATTATCGACATGAAATATTGATATAAATTATATAGTAAGCTTAAATAATATGTAACAACATGAATAATCAGATAAGTCAGATTTCTATATACAGAGAGGGGTCCGATATTTACCGAGTTGGGTTTTTCGTGCAGCGTCGCCTTAAGTAATTTTATTTTATGTTCTAAAAGAAAATGATATACCAAATACAGTTATTTAAATTCATATTACATCTTGTCTTTAAGGCAGTTCATTTTTCATACTTTTTACATTTATTTATTTTTCTGGTGAATAATATTATTGGCAAAATTCTCGCATTCAAAAGTTATCCAAGGTCATAATTTGCACGTAACTGCTCTGCTCTTTGCTGCATGGGCTCAGTTCATAAATTTTATCTTTAATCCGGTATTTTTTTTTACTTATAAATCTATATATATGTATAACCGCTTTGCCCTGACTGACTGACAGAACAACCCACAGCCCAAACCACTGATCGTAGAGACCTGAAACTTGGACATTGTCTTTGTAGATGACGTAGGCATCTGATAAGAAAAGATTTTCCGGCGCCTGTGGACCTGTCGCTTATCTATTTTTATTTTTCGTTTGATTTACATAAAATTGGGAGCAGAGTTAGCTTTGTTTGTTATATGAAACATGGTTATGTGTGGTAATATGTGGAGAATATTTCTTTCAGGAAGTGAACTAGAGATCGATCTATTCCAAAAAATCATATTTAATCTTCGACGTGCTTGATGTCTGGAACTTAGATAGCTCTTTTTATGGTTTGATTTTCTGATATGTTGAAAGCTCTTCTTTATCTTCCATACCATTTTCCTTAACATAATAGCTTACAAGATATAAGAAAAGAAATATCGCAACAACTTAATAAAAATCTTACGAGAACCATTTTGGAATTTCAAGCCCACGAAGTTGCGGGAAAACTTTAGTATTCTCGTATTATAAGACTCGTCCGCTGCTATATTCGTATAAAAATTAATTATAAATGTCACTCTTTACATATATAATATAAATATAAGTTATATATATATATATATATAT